CACTTTGTTTACTTTGCAACACTGTTGTCAATGACAGCTCTTAAAATTCTCCCTGCAGTTGAACATAGACACATTTAGTTTTGCCAAGACATCCTAAGGCGCTGAAATTTATAAGAAAAGCACACATCCAAATTCCTCCCTTATTGTGCTTAGAAAAGTCAATGTTGTGAATCAAATCAGTTTGAAACGTTCCACAGAAACACTGTCAAACATACAGAATAATCAGACCTTCAAGTGCTGCTCAACATTCAAGTCCAAAATTTTTGCTTAATATTTTACAGCAGGAACAAAAACATACTTGCTTTCTTCAAACGTTCCTGTAATATAGAGTCCTTCCATTGCTCCTAGCAGGCTTAAAGTGCTCAGTTAATTATGCTTTGGAAAGTAAATGAGACTTTACACAAGACAAAAAAAAGAGAACTACTGCATCTTCGGGCAATTGCCGACTGTGTCCTCAAATAGCCTGGCAACAGCATGCAAATTTAAAACCACCCAAACAAAGTATTGATTCAAACAAGTCAAATAGTGGGAAAGATGCATTACAATGCAACATGCAATAATTCGCTAGTCACTTATCCGTCACAAATTACTGTTGCTATGTTTCAATTGTGTTTGTTTGATTTATACTATACCTATTTACCATCACATTTCACTGAATTTTGGAAACTTCAATCAACATTCGCTGACATATAATAATAATAATAATAATCCTTGCATTTGATATAGCGCTTTTCACGTCGGGAGGACGTCCCAAAGCGCTTCACAGAATAGACTGTAAAGTGAATTGACTGTATATTTGTGGGCGAACGCGGCAGCCAATTGCGCACAGCAATGTCCCACAAACAGTCGTAGATTGAAAATGACCAATTTATTATTGTTTTTTGTTTTGGAGGGATTATTATTAGGCGTGTGGAGTAAGGAAACTTGCCCAAGGTTTCGCCCTGCCTGGAATTGAACTCAGGTCTCTCACTCGCAAAGCGAGTGCTCTAACCACTGAGCTACAGGACTCCATATAAATAGGCTTGTGCACAATTAACAATGATCACTTTGATCCAAGCAAGGATGTTTGAAGAGTTGGGCACTTGAATTCTTAAACTTTAATCTTCTATTGTTTGTGCTTTCCCTTGGGGATCTAAAAGTACTTGTGACATTTTTTTGGCTTGAAGATCCTACTGTCATGGAAATATATTGTTGCCACCAAGGGTTAAGCAGGAGAAGGTAATTTCTCTCAGTATCCTGGCCAACAAATCTCCCGAATATAAGTTGGTTTCTCACTCCATGGCTGTTTGTGGGACATTGCTGTGTGAAAAGTGTTCATTCAAAAATAAAATTTATGTCCAAAAGAAGCAGGAAGATTGGATTCACAAAACAGGATTCATTGGTGGTGCAGGGCGTAACCAGCCAGTCCATAATACTGTATTTATCACTGGCATCAATCGCTTAACCCACCAACCAAGAAAGCCCAGAGAGAAGTTACATAATGATTTCATGCAGTCTTCAAGAATAAAATAATTCAGTAAGACATTAGAAAACAAATTAATGGTGAGAACAAATGTATCAGTAAGATGGGCAACCACTGAGCCAGGAAAGCAGCTGAGAGACTTCTTTGAAATTGGGAGAAGGGTATCACAACTCTTCAGTTTGGCATGTTGGGGGAAACTGCTGTGCATAAATTGTACTGCGGTGTTTGCCTACAAATAGTCCCTTTACTTTACAGTAAACCCTGTGAAGTGTTTTGAAATGTAAACTGTTTCATAAATTGTATTGTATTTTGATGATGTGATATGACACTATATCATATGCAAGGATTATGATTGTTATTAAATTTAACTGGGCTATCTCAGCCCAAATTACAAAACGTTGTTCTATTATTCTAAGATAAAAAAGAAATTTCAGACACTTATTGAAACGTCACCATTTTATACGAAAAGCCAAAGCACTGTCTGCAATTCTGCAAGATTATAAATGTGTGCCACAAACTATATCATCTCTAGTACAACCATTAAGGGATATGGAAAATGGATTCAATAAAAAAAGCATGACATAAAAACATAGCTGGCAGTACTACAAACACAATGGGGATAATGGTTTCCTTCTGTGATGAAAATGTTTCCTGTTCCACAAATATATGTATTGTTAGTGTTCTGCTCTGCCACTGTCTCACCCCGCAGGCTGCCAAAACCCTCATACACAATTTCATTACATCAAGGCTTGACTATACAAACTCCTTGCTTGTCAGCCTCCCCAACTCTTCCCTCCACAGGCTCCATGAACCTATCACCCCCACCCTCGCCCGATTCCACGAGCTCCCCATCACACAAAGGATACAGTTCAAGATCTTGGTCCTCGCCTTCAAAGCCCTCCATGGCCTTGCTCCCCACTACCTCTGTGAACTCCTAACCCCATACCATCCCATTCGCTCTCTCACTCATCAGGCTCTGGACTACTTCACGTTCCCCGCCTCGCTCGACCCACCATTGGGATTTGGGAGGGTAGAGGGCAGGAATGGAAGAAGCAGGATGATCGAAAGCAAGGTCGAAGAGGAGGGTCTTGAGATGCGTCTTAAAGGAGGCAAGGAAGGGGGCGAGGTGGAGGGACTGTGGAATGGAGTTCCAGTGGGTGGGGGCTGAGTGGCAGAAGGCTCACCTGCCAATGGTGGGGCTGGTGTGGCGGGGGACGTGAAGCAGGCCAGAGCCTGCCGAGCATGGGCAGGATGGTAATGGGTTCGGAGGTCGCAGAGGTAGAGGGGAGCAAGGCCATAGAGGACTTTGAAGGTGAGGACCAGGATGTTGAACAGTATTCTCTTATGATGGGAAGCCAGTGGAGTCGGGCGAGGATGGGAGTAATAGGGACACGGAGCCTGGTGTGGGAGAGGACATGGGCTTCAAAGTTCCGGATGATCTGCAGCCTATGGAGGGAGGTGTTGGAGAGGCCGACAAGCAGGGAGTTTGCATAGTCATAATAATAATAAATAATCCTTGCATTTAATATAGCGCTTTTCACATCTTCTAGACGTCTCAAAGCGCTTCACAGAATAGACTGTAAAGTGAATTGACTGTGCATTTGTGTGTCAAGCCTCGACATTATGAATACATGTATAAGGGTTTCGATGGCCTGGGGTGTGAGACAGTAACGGAGCCGGGCGATGTTGCGGAGGTGGGGGAAGGCAGAGCGGGTCATGGATGTGGGATAGAAAGGATAGGTGACGCCATGGATCCGGACTGGCTTAGTAAGGTGGATTGTGCATCCATGGATGGTGATGCTGTCAGCGCCTGAGGTGAGGAGGCGCCGACAGGAGCCAATCAGGAGGGTCTCGGTCTTGTTGATGTTCAACTGAAGAAAGTTTGCTCTCATCCAGGACTTGATGTCCGACAGACATTCTGCCACGACAGCAGTGATCCTGGAGTCAAGGGTGGAGGCAGAGAGGTAGAGTTGGGTGTCATCCACATACATGTGGAAGTTGACCCCATGTCTGCAGATGATGTCACCAAGAGGGAGCATATAGATATTGAAGAGGAGAGGACCAAGAACAGAGCCCTGAGGAACATCACACGAGACGGTGCGGGGGCTAGAGGAGAAGCCATTTTTTGGAGATGTATTGGAGGCGGTGTGAGAGGTAGGATCTGAACCATTCAAGGACAGAGCCATGAAGGTTGAGATGAGAGGTGGATGAGGATAGAGTGGTCAATGATGTCGAAGGCAGCACAGAGGTCAAGGAGGACAAGGAGGCAGAGGGAGCCCTGGTCGCAGATGGACAGAATGTCATTTGTCACTTTGACCAGGGCTGTTCCTGTGCTGTGGATGGCACGGAAACCCGATTGGAGGGGCTTGTGAAGGGAGTGGCAGGAGAGGAAGGAGCGAAGCTGGGAAGCAACAACTCGTTCCAGGACCTTGGAGAGGAGAGGGAGGTTGGAGATGTTGTGGTAGTTTGAAAGCAGGAATGGGTCCAGGGAGGGTTTTTTTAAGGATAGGAGTGATGGCGGACGTTTTTAAAGGAGTAGGAACGGTGCGGGTGGGCAGGGAGAGGTTTATGATGTCTGTGAGTAGAGGGGCAAGGAGGTGGAGCTGGGAGGTAAGGAGAGGGTTAGGGATGGGGTCGAGGCAGCAGGTGGTTGGTTTCACTGTGGGTTACAACGGTCCACCAATCGACTAACAAACGGGTTCCTACTTACTGTTAGGTAAACAGAGGTGTGGGAAAAAGGAAACTTGCCTAAGGTGAGGACCCGCCCGGGAATCGAACCCGGGTCCTTTCGCTTGCGAGGCGAGCGCCGTAACCACTACGGTACGGGACTCAAATAGCAAGAACGTTCCCCCGAGCGTGTTCAACAGTGCCCTCACACAGGTTTCCCTACACAGAGACTAAAGTACATCAGTCGCCAGCAAACAGCAACCCAAAAGGAGCCCAATATTATGCAGTGTCTCCTATGGGTAGCAGAGTGGCCAATTTAGGTTAGTGCTTTTGAAATTGTGTAAGGTCATCAAAGGGACACACACACACACACACGCTTTGCAGGTTTAACATTTTTTTAAAAAAATTAGTCGTTCCCCCCCCCTCGACAGTGTAACAACAAAAACACGCCTGATTGGGCGTGAAACCCGCCCAACTGGGCGTGAAACCCGCCCAAATGGGCGTGAAACTCGCCCAACTGGGCGTGAAACCCGCCCAACTGGGCGTGAAACCCGCCCAAATGGGCGTGAAACTCGCCCAACTGGGCGTGAAACCCGCCCAACCCCCCCCCCCCCCCCCCCCCTCAGACCGAGCAGGCGCAAACGGGCGGATGGGAGCGAAAGTTCGCGAAGGTTCTGGCAGTCGCCTCCCCCCTCCCCTCCCCTCCCCCCCCACCGTGTGCACTCTGCTCCCTGACGCGCCGCCACTTCTCTTTCCAACCCCATCTTGTGCGGGTTTTTAAACATTTATTGTTGTGTCTTGATCTGTATCTGTACCAGTTTGTGATTCTCAGCCTCTGTACCCCCCCCCCCCTCCACACCCCCCTCACCCCCCACACACCCCCCTCCTCCTCCTCTCCCAACCGCAATGTCTCTACTGTGTTATAACAAAGGTTGCGGACAGCGCTTCGATGCGGATGCAAACAGCGATGGTAAGTGAAGGAAGGAGGGGGGTAGAGAGAGAGAGGGAAGGAGGGGGGGAGAGAGAGAGAGAGAAGGAAGGAGGGGAGGAGAGAGAGAGAGGGAGGAGAGAAGCCTCGGTTGCTCCGGGTTGTGTTTGGACGCGAGGCGGGAGGGGCCGCCCAGAGCTCCCGGGCCGGTACCCCATGTCCCGCCGGTTGGACTCGAAACCTTCACCGCCAGAGGCAGCTGAGCCGGACGTGATTCCAGAAAGGTCACAGCCGCCCCCCCCCCCCCCCCCCCCGCACTATCCCCCATCCCCGCCCCGCACTATCCCCCATCCCCCCCCCACACTATCCCCCCATCCCCCCCCCCCCGCACTATCCCCCCATCCCCGCCCCCGCACTATCCCCCCCACTATCCCCCCCATCCCCGCCCCCCACAATCCCCTCCCACTATTCCCCGCCCCCGCACTATCCCCCATCCCCGCCCCCGCACTATCCCCCCCCACTATCCCCCCATCCCCGCCCCCGCACTATCCCCCCATCTCCCCCACACTATCCCCTGCCCTCCGCACTATCCCCGCCCCCCGCACTATCCCCCCCATCCCCGCCCTCCCACTATCCCCCCCACTATCCCCACTGCCCCCGGACTATCCCCGCCCCCCACTATCCCCCCCCCACTATCCCCTGCCCCCCCACTATTCCCCCCATCCCCGCCCCCCCACTATCCCCCACCCCCCACTATACCCCCATCCCCGCCCCCCACTATCCCCCCATCCCCGCCCCCCCACTATCCCCCCCCATCCCGCCCCCCCACTATCCCCCCATCCCCGCCCCCCTACTATCCCCTCCCATCCCCGCATCTGGAGTCCTTAAAGCTGCCAGTGAAGTGACTGCAGTTCTAATGTTAATGTTTGTGGCTGTGTATGTGTTGTTGTGTGACCGCTCGCGGGTGGTAGCGCTCTCGCCTTTGAGTCAGATAGTTGTGGGCTTAAGACCCGGATCATTTGTGAGCACACATTCGTACATCCAGCGCCTGGAATCCACCTCGATTGGTCTACGACCTACAGAGAGGCGAGCAACTGCTGCTTTAACTTCACACCTCGCATAGGTGGAACCGTCGCTCAATGGGAAGGGACGTGTGGCCGAGCTGCAGACAGGAAGATGGTGTCAATGCTCTCGCCCATTTCATGCTTAGCTGCGGTCCACCGGGATCCTCGCAGGGAGGTCTTGTTACCTACTATCCACCTAGTGAGGCTTAAACACGCGCTTGTCGGATGTTGAACTCGTGACTTGTCACCTTGGAACTAAACTGTTTTGCCCACAAAATATACAGTCAATTCACTTTATAGTATATTCTGTGAAGCGCTTTGAGACGTCTAGAAGACGTGAAAAGCAGTATATCAAATGCAAGGATTATTATTATTAAACTGCCTCCAAGGTGATGTACTTGGCAACGGAATGTCGGAATTGAGCGAGTCCACAATATTCCAGGGAATTGCTGATGACAGCGCAGCCAGCCTGGCTCATTGGCAGGACTTGGAAGGGCAGCCTGATCACTGGGGACAGGAAATCATCCCACTCAGCTCCTGTTAAACCTGCAAGCCAACGCCTGAACAGGCAGGGTGGTCATTGCTGGACAAGCAGCAGGAAAGCTTGCCAGACAGCGATAGCAATGGCAAGCTATGTGGGTTTAGCTGGTCAGATTCCAGCAGTACCCCAACACACACTCTGGGATCCCCAACTCTTGGCTCTTGCCAACCTGTGCCTAATATTTTCTGGAATTAGGTAAACAGGATGCATCCCTCCAGGGAGAGAGTGCAGATTCCATTCCAACAATCTATCTGGAATTTCATGTGTAGGTGGATGCATGGAATTCTAAGTTGGTTTGTATACTCTTAACCATGGTGATCGGTTTCCGCATGTGTCAGACACCCAGCTGACCAAAAAAAAGCCCGACATTGGGACTTGGAATCGCATAGTCTGACATTCGAGTGCAGTGCTTAGGGGGAGAGGGGTTTGCATTGTTGGAGGTGCCGACCTTCAGATGAGAAGTTAAACCAAGGTTCTGTTTGTTTGTTCAGGTGGGTGTAGGATATCCCATTGCATTATTTGAAAAGAGAAGGGCATTTCTACCAGTGTCCTGATAAACAATCCCTCAAATAAAAATAGTCACTCAATTCATAGGACGTTATTGTATAATAATAATCCTTGCATTTGATATAGCGCTTTTCACGTCAGGAGGACGTCCCAAAGCGCTTCACAGAATACACTGTAAAGTGAATTGACTGTATATTTGTGGGCGAACGCGGCAGCCAATTGCACACAGCAATGTCCCACAAACAGTCGTAGATTGAAAATGACCAATTTATTATTGTTTTTGGTTTTGGAGGGATTATTATTGGACGTGTGGAGTGAGGAAACTTGCCCAAGGTTTCGCCCTGCCTGGAATTGAACTCAGGTCGCTCACTTGCAAAGCGAGTGCTCTAACCACTGAGCTACAGGACTCCACAAATGCAAACTGGCTGCCTAGTTTCACCCACAAATACACAGTTAATCCACTTTATCGGATACCCTGTAAAGTGGATTGAGATGGCTTGCTGATGTGATAAGGCGTTATATTAAATGTAGGTATTTTTATTATAGTCTAGCCTCAAATTGAACAAAAGTCTCACTTACAGCCTGCCTTCCCCCAAAAATTTCCAAGATGTTCTAAACATAAAGAATCTGTCAAGGCCTAGAAACCTTGAGCCATCTCTAGCAGATGCCCAATGTCAGTAGTTAATGTGTGTGTTTTAAGTGACCTGCTTAAATCTGCCTTGTTTTAATACGATTACTGAACACACCACACCAAGTCTAAATGGTTATACAGTTTCTTGATTTGTTTATTGGTTACAAATGCCACTCCCAGTATTCACCTTGCATGTTGGAGCAGTTATCAGTAATATCTTCAAGTGATATTTGAGAATTACTTGTATGAGTGATTCACTGTATAATAAATGAGAGAATGCAGCCTAAAGGCAAGTTGAATACTGAAAGTAAAAAAATTCTACATTTTCTAATTAACCAACACTGACATAGTAACCTCAAAACTGATTGTGTCAGAATTATTAGTTTCAGGAATTCTGTCTTGTTACATACCAGTGGTATGGGTAACATCTGTCAATATTGGGAATAGTATTTGTGGTTGGTGAGGCACATATAAATCACAAATTTATTTAAATAATGAGCTGTATTAATATTTAAAGATCATGTACCTTAAAATAAAACATATTCATTTTTAAATGAAAAGTTATTTTCATTTCTAATGGTATTATAAACTTATACATTATGAACCTTACCTTTAAAATTTGTGAAGCCAAACTAGATTTATATTATATTAGATGATATGATCTGGCTGTAGTCATCTCAACTGTAACTAAACTTTTTTTGTACCATAGAAATGTGTAATTAAAATATAAAACTAGCAGGTCCTATTTATCTGTAACGTTCACTTTTACTCTTATTTTTCTTCTCATGGCGAAGGATTTGCTTTTATTTTCCAGTGAACTATTTGACATTTTTTTATTTTTTGCTCTCCCAGTGCCTCTGACTCTTGCTCCATTATATTCACATGAATTGAGGCAGGTTAAATTATATTTTGCGTTGAGACCATTGGGTGAAGCAAAAATTGCACATTTTTGTTTGTATTAAAATAAATGAATAGAAGGGATTTTAACTGGGAGAATTATGCTTCTTATGCATAATTGTAATTATTTTGTTAAATGTATGTATATTTGCTTTTTAAATACATGATCACGAAGAGTTTTTTTTTAGGCTGAGCAGATATTTCAGTTATGAGCTTGTTTTCAGAACAACTTGCATTACAGTGCTCTTCATCCAGGGTAGCGTCCCAGAGTGCTTGACAGTGGCGGAGCCTGACAACGAGCCAGTGGGTGGGGGTGGGGGGGAGAGGTGACCGGTGCACGATCAAAAAGGAAGGTCTTGAGGTGGGATTTGAAGCTGCGGAGGGAGGGGGCAAGGTGGAGGGTTTGAAGGAGAGAGTTCCAGAGTTTCAGGGTGTAATAGCTGAAGGCACGGCCATCGATGGTGGAATGGAGGGCATGAGGGACAAATAGGAGGCTGGAGGCAGTGGGTGGTGGAGTGGGGAGTAAGCAGGTCGATAGGTAGGGAGGTGCAAGGGAATGTAGTGATTTGAAAATGAACATTGAGGGAAGAAATTGCATCTGGTGTAGATTTGCTCTAAAGCGTTTTAAAGCATGCAAAATTTGGCAAATTGATTAATTCAGTTTGAAATTTGAAGTTGTTTGTCTGTAATTTGTAAAAAGACTTCAAAATTCAAAAGGCTGCTGCCCCTTAAGAGTATTATAATTGTTTTCCCCTTCTGTATGTGAGTCCCACATATTAGAATCAGCATTGGCCAATTTGTGAACTGGGGTCTTGAAGTTGTTGATAGTAGAGTTGTTTGCTATAGAGCAAAATGAAATCCAAAAGTGAAACGTGTATATATAAGATAAATGTTTCTTTTTCGACGGTGCTCACAGTCACCTCCTCTCCCCCGACTCGGAGTGTTAGGCTTTGCCACTATTAAGCGCTCTGAGACACTACCCTGGGTGAGGGTGCTGTATAAGTGCAAGTTGTTGTTGTAGTGTTACTAGCTAGCTGAAAGGACTTTTACTTGTACTTTTTTGTCCTCTCTAAACATTTAAATGAGAAGAACAAATTCTATAACTGCTGAGCCTGGAAATTATCTGTTGTGTCAGCATTTTATTAAAATCATAATCCTAGTGGTCTATCCTATTCCTTGCAATGTAAAACTTAGTTTAGAGATCAGCAATTAACATTTTCCTCTTTTTTACAAGATGCTTGCACATACCATCCTGGTGTACCTGTGTTTCATGATGCGTTGAAGGTAGGCTCATTGTTTTCTTAAAATAGAAATCACAAATAGAAAACTATTTCCCAAATGCACTTAGATCAAACTTCTTCCAAGGGAACTGAAATCACTAATATAACAGAAATCCATACTTGGATAATTGGTTATCCTGTAGAGGGGAAGGGTATACACAGCTCTAGTTTAACCTGAGTGTAACCTGCAGAAACATTGGTCTGGCAAGCAGGAGTGCTTCATCTAACTTAATTTCGTGAATATTCATTTATATTTGACAATTTTTTGATGGTAACAACAACAAATAACAAATTGCAATTATAAAGCGCCTTTCACATTGGAAAGACATCCCAAAGCGCTGGAACATTACACAGTTTGCCAAATAATATATAGAACTCTTAATTATGAGATCTAATTACAACAACAACAAATTACATTCGTATAGCGCCTTTCACATCAGGAGTATATCCCAATGCTCTGATTTTTTGAAACGAGTGAAATACCAATAAACAAACCTCTAAGCATGTTGACCAGCTTCCAGATAGTTTATTTTACAACATTCAGGACCATAGTTATATGATTACATTTTATGTGTTCTTTAAAATCTTTTCTACTTTATAAGTAAAATTATTTTCAGTCTGAGACATCAGAAACAGCATGTTTGTGTACCATATCCATTATTTCTTTGTTTTGTTTCCAAGTCAAATCAATATTTTGCACATATTTTTAAATCTGGATGATATTAATCTTATAGTCAGAGGAATTTGTGGTACAAAAGCAATTTTGCTATGTCAGAAGTAGAATTGTGAAAAAAATAAATTTTAATTGGTGACCAAGTCATTTCACCCAAGAGGTATTTGTTTTATGGGACAGTAAAGTTGTGAGCCTTTCTCCCCACTTTTCCATACATTGACTATGAATTTTGGAGTTAAATGTAATTAAGTTTCAATAATAAATCTAAACTTAATATAATATAATTTTCTGATCTAAGTGAAAATAGATAGTTTTAAGAGATCAAATGCTGTTGCCTAAATACTGTTTGTTATCTACCATAGGGATGGTCTTGTTGTAAGAGACGAACTACGGATTTTTCAGATTTCTTAAATATTGCGGTAAGGTTCTTCCTGTGTTCTCTGTATTTGAATTGCTCCTTTGATGGGTAAAACATTGTTTTCTAATGTTATCAGAAATTTCAAGTTGGTCAATTTAATAGTATTTTAATAATTTCATGCAGAAGTACACAATCAGGACATCTAGTCTACTCAATATCCCACAACATGTTTGAAGATATGTACTGTATCTCTAAATCTAATAATCCTGAATACTTTTAGCTAACAGGAACTTGTCCAGTTCCTTCTTGGACAACTTTGTAGTTTCTTGTTCCCATCCTAGCAAGTAGTTTATTCCAGCAGATCATTTTACAAGGGTTTCCCTGCATTCCCTATTCTCATCTGTTGTCCTTATTTTGAAGATATGACCTCTTGTTCTTCAATTTTGCACATGTAATCCATTTTTATGGGTAAAACATCCCGGGATCCGTTACTGTAAAGCGCTCTGAGATGCCGTCCTATATAAGTCCAAGTTGTTGGTGTTGTTGTTTTACAGTATTGTTTGTTCACCTAAAGATTGATTGTGGAACCTGTCACTAAGTTACAGAATTAATCGAGTATCTTGCATTATATTAAATTGTGTTTAGAGCCTAAAATGTTAACTTGAAACTCCCACTTTTTTCAGGGTTGCACTAAAGGCCAGCACAGCAATGAAAAGCCTCCAGAGCCAGTCAAACCTGAAGTGAAGACTTCATCGGAAAAGGAGATAGAACTAGAACTAAAACCAAAATGTAATGAGTATGTTATCCAAGGACCAAAGCCAATTGAAGCTATTGTGAGGCCAAGGTAAGAGAGAGGGAAATGGTGATGCTGCAGTGCAGTTACTTGCATATCATTTCTGTTAGATAGGAATAGGATGTTCATTTTTTTAAATTCTTACATTTGATATAGCACTTTTGTTGTCAGGAGGACAACTCAAAGCCCTCCACAAAATATGAAAGTAACAGGCATATGAAAGAGAAGGGCTTGAAGGGGTATGTGGATAAGGCAGGGGAGTGGAATTGAATTGATTTTCTTGCTCTGAGCCAATGCAGACTCAAATCGGCTGAATGGCCTCCTTCTCTGTAGATTTCTGTGTTTCTATGTACTGTAAAGTGTAGTGCCTGTGTGAATGATCAGTTTTCTGATTAATTTTTGTTTGGGGGTGGGGGAGAGTTTGTTGGTTAGGACACCGGGCGAAACTCCTTCCTTTTTAATTCCCTAAAACACTATACCAAGTCTTTGAACATACACAAAACATACATCTGCAAAAGAAACCAATATTATACACATTTTGTTTTTTTAGTCAAGATGAACCTTTGGTAAAATTGGAACAAAAGGTCTCTCCTTCATTGAGACGGACACTGGAAAAACTGAAATTATCTACTGAGAATGGACCAGAACGCAAAGGTAAGTTATATAGTACTACATTACTTTTTTTGTGGCCAGATCCATGTACTGAATTATCTGGGTGGACATTCTTTCTAACATTCTGTGGTTCAGTCGTATGTCAAAAAGAATGAAGGGCTAAATGGATCCATTAGTATTCAGTCCCAAGTCTAATCCTCAACAGACAAGCTAGTCAGTGTGTTGCAGAATATTGAAGCAGCTCAGGATGTAAAATTATAAAAATGTAATATGTTCTTTTCTCCCCCCAAAAAACATACACTCATAATGTATGTACATACACACACATATGCACAAATAATGAAATAAAAACTTTCTGTATTTTTTTTTATTTACAGAAGAAGAGGGAGATGAAGTAAAGATTGGGGTCCTATGTAAAAATACAGGTTGCAACAAGGTAAGTTGAATAAAACAAAAATAATGTTTCAGAACTGCTCCTTTTGTAAAATTAATAGGTGGGTCTGTTAACTTTTTTTTACAGTGGAGCCTCTTTATAACGTGGTGGTTGAGATCCACTAGGAGCAAAATCCAGGCTCACTGCATGTGCACACGGCCAACCAACTTGTTCCCTCCACACCAGCTGACTCTTGCACCCAAAATAGGCAAACTTCGGGTCATGAGGTCGCTACTGATATCACTTCCTTTTTGATATGTGAAGCAGGAAGTGACATTGGCAGTGATCTGATGGACCCAGAAGTTTTCCATTTTCACGTAAAAGCCAGTTAGAGCACGGAGTGCAAGCAGGTTACATGCACAATGAATGCGAATCCACCCTTCAACAAATTTATAACGATCTCCACTATAAAGAAATGTTTTGTATCGGGCTGCACTGTATGAATGTTTTTTCTGTTGCTGGGTACTCTTGATCAGACCCATCAGCAACCTTCATGAAGCTAAGTAATATTTTAAGCAGTCCAACTTCCTTTCACCAACCTATAACTTATATTGGAATCTAAGATAGTTTACTGTTAACTAAACAAAGAGATTGGGATGATTACTTCACTGTCTAGTTTTCGATCTTGAAGTTCAAGAAAACAGAATGAATCTAATCATTTGAATACAATATGCATAATCTCATGTAGTTATCTAATCTATGTGGAAAACTTTGACACAAGGACTACTAGAAATCTGTAAAATAATCCACGGGTTTAAAACCGCATGGCATTACACAGCCATCAATTTGTATTAATTATATAATTGCAGTTCTATTGTTAAAGTTTTTCATGTTTCTATGTGATTACATTATCAATTTACCATACATTCACAATAAGGACATTTAGATTGCATTTAAAAGGGCAGATGAAATTTGGAGGAAAAAATGCTAAGGTCAGAAGAATTTTGAATTTACTAATTCAGTGCAAAGCCAAATTCAATTATACTCTTTATCCATCCTTTCCAGCCTTTTGAAGGTCCAGACAGCAATCAAGAGGTATGTGATAGTCACTCAGGAGTACCTATTTTCCATGAAGGGTAAGTATTGTTTTTGTGTTAGGATCTAGAATGGTTCATTTGAAATTGTTAGGTCAGGCATACAGTTACCTATCCTGAAAGGCCCCAGGGAAACACTTGTTTTTGTTTTAGAAGATGAGCTCAATATGTAGAGGAGGAAAGAATTGCAAAGCATTGATCTAATCAAGAAATTTGATTTTTCAAACTATAATAATATAGTTCGATCTATTTATTCATTTCATCTCTTTCCCCTCGTACGGATGGCTTGCATCCCAGGGTTTTAAAAAAAGGTAGCTTATGAGTTAGTGGAGGCCTTATGTCTCATCTTCCAAAATTCCTTGGATTCTGGAATAGTCCCCATGGATTGGAAGATCGCAAATGTCACACCACTGTTTAAAAAAGATGGAAAGGAAAAAATGGGGAACTATAGGCCAGTTAGTCTCACATCAGCGATAGGAAAAATTTTAGAATCGTTGATTAAGGATGTGGCAGTGCGGTATTTAGAGGAGCACAATATAATTAGGCCAAGTCAACTTGGCTTTACAAAAGGGAAGTCATGTTTGACAAATCTCATAGAGTTTTTTGAGGACATTTCCAGTAAACGAGATAAGGGTGAATCAGTGGATATGGTCTATTTGGGCTTCCAGAAGGCATTCGATAAGGTGCCGCATAAAAGGTTAGTCCAAACGATAAGGGCCCATGGAATTGTAGATCTCAGCCAGTATATGTAGATCTGGTGTCAGCCAAGCAAAGCAACACGTTTTAACCTCTGTAAGAGTTGATTGGTATATGTGAAGCTGCCCGAGCACTTGTTGGGAGCTGAAACAATTGTTATTCAGACCATTGTTGCTCGAGCTCAAAAAAAAACTTCCACAGAGCTCCATTCTGGCCTACCTGCTTATACTGTGGAGTCCTGTAGCTCAGTGGTTAGAGCACTCGCTTTGCAAGTGAGAGACCTGAGTTCAATTCCAGGCAGAGGGTGAAACCTCGTACAAGTTTCCTTACTCCACACAGAGCCTAATAATAATCCCTCCAAAACCAAAAACAATAATAAATTGGTCATTTTCAATCCATGACTGTTTGTGGGACATTGCTGTGCGCAATTGGCTGCCGCGTTCGCCCACAAATATACAGTCAATTCACTTTACAGTGTGTTCTGTGAAGCGCTTTGGGACGTCCTCCCGACGTGAAAAGCGCTATATCAAATGCAAAGATTATTATTATAATTGGGGGGAGCATATTAACGTGGAATGGGGAATAGTTAACGGGTAGGAACCGAGGAGTAGGGATAAACGGGTCCTTTTCGGATTGGCGGGATGTGACTAGTGGAGTGCCATAAGGATCAGTCCTTGGACCTCAGCTATTTACCATGTACATCAACGATCTAGATGAGGACACCGAAGTTAATATATCTAAATTCGCGGATGACACAAAACTAGGAGAAAGTGTCAACACAGGGGACGATATTAAAAAAATGTAGCGAGACATAGATAGGTTAGGTGATTGGGCAGGTAGGTGGCAGATGAAGTATAATGTAGGGAAGTGCGAAGTCATCCACCTAGGTAGCAAAAACAGTAGAGCAGGTTATTTTTTAGAAGGGGAGAGATTAGAATGTGTTAGTGTCCAGAGGGACTTGGGAGTCCTTGTACACCAATGACAGAAAGTTAGTCTGCAGGTGCAGCAGCAATTAGGAAGGCAAACGGTGTGTTAGCATTCATTATGAAAGGATTAGAGTATAAGAGTAGGGAAGTCTTGCTGCAACTGTATAGGGCCCTGGTGAGACCACACCTGGAATACTGTGTGCAGTTTTGGTCTCCTTATTTAATAAGGAAGGACGTACTTGCCTTGGAGGAGGTGCAGCGTGGATTTACTAGGTTAGTGCCAGGGATGAAGGGGATGAGTTACGAGGATAGGCTGACCAATTTGGGCCTATATTCTCTAGAATATAGAAGAATTAGAGGGGATCTTATAGAAACCTATAAGATCATCAAAGGGCATGGTAGAGTAGATAGTGGGAGATTGTTTCCCCTGGTTGGAGAAACTAAAACCAGGGGTCACAACCTTAAAATCAGAGGCCAGCCCTTTCGCACTGAGTTGAGGAAGAACTTCTTCACTCAAAGGGTGGTGAATGTATGGAACTCACTACCCCAAAGGGCTGTTGACGTTCTGTCCTTGAACATATTCGAGACTGAGATAGATAGATTTCTTATTGCAAAAGGATTAAGGGATATGGGGATAAGGCAGGGTCAGGTTATTAGCTGGAGTTAGATTAGAAGATCAACCATGATTGAATGACGGGGCAGGCTCGAAGGGCCGAATGGCCTATTCCTGCTCCTACATGTTATGTTATAATAATCCATACATTTGATATTAAAATAATCATCATCCTTGCATTTGATATAGCACCTTATTTAATCAAAACTTCAAATTTATAGCAAATGTGTCAACTGATCTATGCACAGCACTATTCCACTGTCAGAAAGAGAATTCCCAATTCAACTGGATCTTAGAGAGAGGTATAGATATGAACACTAAGAATTTGAATATGGCCTCTTTACTGTTCTTTCTATGAATATTTGTAGAAAAGTTTACATTTGAGTTCAAGATGCCACCTTGACAATGATAGTTTTTTACATAGAATGACATGCAGTGGAAGTAGACCATTTAGTCTTAACTAATGTATAGTTTTTGCTTCAGTATTTTCTTCCATTTTTTGTGAACCATTATTTAAAGTATCTGCAATTATTATTGTCTTTCAGAATGAAATACTGGAGTTGTTGCAAACGAAAAACCTCTGACTTCAATTCTTTCCTGTCTCAAGTGGGCTGCATAAAGGGCAAGCACATGTGGATCAAAACAGACACAGTAAGTCTGCCTGTGTTTTTCATTTGTAACTGATTTTACATGTAAGCCAATACAGTAAATCTTAGTGATCTAATTTACATAGTAAAGATATGGTAGCCATGCAGCTTGACTTCATAAAGTGCAGTTTTTCATTTTAAGCTCTTTGTAGAAAAAGCGTGAAGCGTACACAGGGATTGGCTTCAAGGAAAAAATAGTTAATGAAACCGAACTGAGCCAACAATTGCATACTTTAGTGCTTTGTAGTAGAAACTTCATTTTCCATGAGGATTCTCAAGTGTATTATTCATACCTGGGATGCTATCCTTTTGGTCCATCGATTTATGTGTGACATGTAAATTTATAGCAACAACAACAACAAAATTACATTTATAGAGCGCCTTTCACGTTGGGAGGACATCCCAAAGCGCTGAACAGTCAGGTGTCGGTGCCCAAGCATGGGGGAGGGAAGGCAGAGAGGTGGGGGGGAGACCAAAGGCATAGGAAGGAAGTTTTAAGTGGTACAGTATGTTACAACAATTGCATGGCGATATGGGATAGAGTTTGCATTCAAGAGTCTCAATTCATTGAACTTCTAATCTTAGCTTGCTGTGCAGCTATAGAGAATCCTGGGTTGTTCCTACTTCTTGATATTCTGCTTCACAACAACAATTTTAGAAGCTTGGGAGGAGGCTATGAATTTCAGTTAGGGAAGCTATGATGGGATAGGGTTTGTATTCACAAGTCTCAGGACATTAAACTTTCAATGTCACATCATGTGCAGATGCACACTTCATTATAGCATGAACTCACAATGAATGGAATTACATTGTGGATCCCATCCATTGCAAATGCACGCCGCCTGCCTGCTGGCTTCCTGGGCCCCCATCGGCTATTTGCACAAAAGATTAACTTTTGACAGCTGTTGACATCACTTTCCTTATATGCATGTGCAAAGCAGAAAGTTGACATAAATGAAAATTTCGTTATCTGAAAGTCTACCATTGTTAGTTTCCTTGCTTAAAAAAAGTCACTTTGGGGTCTCATCATGGTACAGACAACGTCCAGGAGCACTAGCAGAGAATAGGAAGTGATGGAAGTGGGCATCTGCCCACGTCAAGCTGCATCAGAGTAGCAATCATAGAGTTTAGCTGAAATTAATAAATGGCTCAAACTATATTATTACAGTTTGAAATATCAGTCCCAAATCTCTGCCTTCTACAGCAGTGGTGGGAAACCCGTGGCCCGAGTGGCCATCAAGAAGGGACCTGCCAAACATTCGCAATAGTCTTAAGTGAGTCTGTTTTAAATTAATGTTTTGTTTCCATTTTTTTTCTTTGTTGAATATTTCTTGATTTTGTGGCATAAATCAATAAATATTCAATCAAGAAAATGTATTTTGTTGGTCACCGCTGTGTTACAGTATAGCATGAACAACGTCAGCTTCCTCTCCTCCTCACCCCTCCCCTCACTTCCCAGATAGGTCAGTTGGTCATGTGTAAGTGAGGACGCATCTTATTGGTGGAAGAGAGCGTTTCCAGTTGGAGGTCATGCAGCTCAAGCTCCGGGGAATATTTATCCAGTTATATGAATAGTTTGGTTAATTGAATAATATTCACTATCAAATTGAGTACAGTAAAGCCCTGGGTTACTGGATTGTGGGTATCCAGAATTCATATTAGCCAGACCCAAAACAGATTTTTTTAAAAAAACTTCTGCAGGTCCCTCCATTACACTCTGTCAGCCACTCCCTTGTCGTGTGCCCCAGCTTCCTGGACCTTGCTGGCCTTCAGTGGCCAGGGATATCGATTTTGCTCAGTTTGAATCAGATAGCTTACCTTCTGTTCACATGTTTCAAACAATGCCGGTACCGGCTCACCAGACCGGATCTTCCTGGCCCCACCGCACCCTGGCTAGCCAGGGTTCAAATGTATTCAGTCAACAGCATTTCACTGTATGATGATTGTCTATTTGTTTCATGTTGTGAATATAGAGCTCTAGATCTACGCTAAATACAATTTACATGAAATATTGTACACATCGTTTACAAAAACGTTAAAAGAAAACCATTAACATTGAGTTATATAAACTTGTTTTGATTTTTTAAAGTTTTTCATGAATATTTTTGCAGGGCAAGGAAGTTATTCCATGCAGACATGATTGGCACCAAACTGGAGGACAAGTTATTATTACTATTTATGCCAAGAACTCGATCCCAGAGCTTTCTTTTGTTGAAGCTAACAGCACAGTGGTATGTGTTGTTCTATATATTTTTGTAAGATCTTATTTAGGTAAAAAAAAGGCTATTTAAAAATTAAAGCTATTGCCTTTAATATATTCACAATACTTTTATTTAGGAAAACAGTAATTTCTTCTATACTGTTGTCAAATTCTTTGAGATGTTGTCATCACACAGAGGATGGACCTATCTTACCCAATTCTGAAGAGTATTAGGCACAGACTGGGAAGACCCAAGGCTTGGGAACCCAAGTATGTGATTTGGAGTTTTGCTGGATTTAACCACATTAAACTGCAAAGCTTGCCATTGAGAGCACTGCCTGACCAGCTTACCACTGCTTATCCAGCAAGACATTATGGTTTTGGCTTGCAGGATTAATCAGTTGAGCAGGAATAATCTGCTCCCAGAGACCAGTGCTGCCAATGAGCCGAGATGACTGATCTGTCATCAGCAGTACCCTGGAGTAAGTGGACATGCCAAATTTAGGAACCGGATTACCGAGACCGCTACAGAGGGTTAACTTGATTCCAACATTCTGTTTCCAAACACATCATCTTGGAGCCAGCTCAACTCCAAGGAGACACTACTTCCCTTCCCCCCCCCACCACAGGACCTGTTAATACTGTGCCAGAATAATACATACCTGTGAGACCTTCCTCGTCCTATTTCATTGTGTTTTTAAAAGTTCACCACTTAGAAGAAGTAATGTGAAGCTGCTGGAAACCACTAATGCACGATCTTAGAAACATTTCTATTTGGTTTCTTTATACACTCTTTTTAGTGTGCTATCCTAATGAAAGCTTTGCTCTTAAGTGTTTCATCTTTCACTAATTAATTTGGCAACCTGCTTGTAAGATTTGATTCCAAAAGGGTGAAGTGAGGGTTTACTCCCCAGTTCACTGCCAATGTTGACGTCAAAGAGGCAGTAATTATTTTATTTTCCTAGCCCCTTTGGGTAAATGTGTCATTAGCCAAAGTAAACACTTTCCTGGTAAGTTATCTCAAAACAACTTAATTTAAGTATATGTAGTTACAACCGAGCTTGAGCTAAGCATGAGACAGCCAAGTCTGTCAGTGATTATGGTTTTGCTGTCACTTTCCTCCTATTTCAGAAATGAGAATCCCTTGTTTCAAATATTAACCGCAGAAAGGCTAAAGCACAAATTGTCACTTTTTTGAAAAAATTGATGTGAACCTGATCTTATTTTGCTCCAAGATGCTACCCTGCATGAGGGGCTCTATGTAAATGCAAGTTGTTGTTGAGATATCTCAAATTTTATTCGTGATATTTCAAGCCTCGTACTGTTTTCAAATCTTTGTGTGAACTGTTGAAAATCAGATAGCTTCTCATTGCAAAATACTCTTCAGTTTGGAAATTTTCAAATAAAGAATTTTGAAACTTCAAACTCTTCATAAGAAATGCAAATTACTTCCATTGTACATGGATACTTTTCTTAACCTCAAAGTGCCGTAGTTAAATAATATTTTCCAGGCGCACTATATCCAACTTCTCATGTTTAGTGATCGGACACTACAAAAAATATCTATCTAGCAGTCCTTCTGACAGATTTCTATAATCGAGTAATGACTTGAATAATAATTATTTGATGAATCAAACTGGCTTCTGAAATTTGCAATTTTTTTGCATCATATGCATATTCTATTGCAGAAATAGTTAAATGAATGAATGCAACTCATTATATTTTTATTGTCCCAGCTCAATATCCACATTGTGTTTGAAGGAAAAAAGGAGTTCCAGCACAAAGTGAACTTGTGGGGTGTAAGTATAGCAGCTTCTCCAGTTAGAAATGTCTGATTTCTGAAATCCACTTTGATTGAAACTTTAAACCAAGGTCACCATTTGCCTCCTTAAGATGGGTATTAAAGTTCTCATGGTACCAATTGAAAAGAGAAGGGAATTTCTTCTGATATTCTGGCAAACAATATTTCAAATGGAATTGGTCATTTGATGCAATCTAAACATTGTGTGCAGCCTGGTAGCACTTTCGCCTCTGAGTTAAGGTTGTGAGTACAAGACCCACGATGGGACTTGGAATCACACAGTCCAAGCAGACACTCCAATGCAGTGCTGTATGGTACTGCATTATTGGAGGTGTCTTTTGTATGATACGTAAAACAAAGTTCCCATCTGCCTATACAGGTGGGTGTTTAAAGGTCCCATGCCACTATTCAAAAAGAGAAGGGAGTTTCTCCCAGTGTCCCTGCCAACAGTCACCCAAATAAAATAGGTCACTTGTCTGCTGTTTGTGGGACACTAGTGGTTGCTGCGTTTTGCCTACAAAGACAGTCAATCCACTTTTAAGTATATTCTGTGAAGCACTTTGAGACGTCTCAATGATGCGATAAAGCGCTATATCAAATTCAAGGATTCTAATTATTATTATTAAACATAGCCGGTAACCTGAAAATTCAGTCTTTATGCCATGAAGTATCCAAATTTCCAAAATGTCTGTTAACTTGTTCAGAAATTAATTCATGTTTTTAATTATTAAAAACATGAAAATAATGTATTCTGTTTTTCTTTTCTTTCTCCACTGTCAAAGGTCATTGATGTTACTAAGAGTCATATGAATATGATGCCTACTAAGGTTGAGGTCACTATGAGGAAAGCAGAGCCAATGTTGTGGGCTAGACTTGAACTACCTCCACTGCAGCCTCAGAAAATAGCACAAGAACAAGACTTGAATGATGATGACGACAATCAAAGTTGAAAAAAAATAGGGCCAGTTTAGGAGGGGCTTTGTGGGGAAGGGGAGAAAACATTTACTGTTAAACAGTAAATCTTCCTTACTGCTGATGAATCTGAATTCCATGATGTCATTTTGAAAATATTTTGTTTCTATTTTGCAGAATTCCTTTATATCTTGTATTTTGGTGCATAGCATGAGAAGATACTTGGAAGCAAAGTGGATTTTAGCTTTCAGCTATACAGTTGCTCTATGTGTAACCTGTATAACTTCATTATCTAAAACATCTATAATATGTAAAAAACTACTGTATGAAAACATTTTTTCAACCTATTTGAAATTAAATAAAACTGCACCTTCTTCAATGTCTGAAATGCTGCTGCCGACTATATTCTTCATGCTCTTAAAAGCACATTTTTATGGAACTTTGGAAAACAAGCAAATGAGTTTCCCTATTCTGACGAAGGGTCGTGGACCCGAAACGTCGACTCATTTTCCTTTCTCCATAGATGCTGCCTGACCTGCTGAGTGTTCCCAGCGACTTCTGTTTTTGTTTTGAGTTTTCCTATTGATCACTTTCATAATTGGGCTAACTAAATTTATTTCAGTAGGAAATTTTAATTTCCATTCAAGTTAGAGGAGGAAAATTATGTAACATAATTCGAATACCTGTTAGTACCGTGCCTCTCTTACTTAGTTCTGCTATTATGAAATTAAAAGTAAATGCTTATAAAATAATTTAGTCTAATTTATTCTTTGTTGTATTTTGAAAAATCATCTTAACCACTTCCAAAACAGCAATGTTCGCATAATAATATTTGAATTTGATATAGCACCAACCTGGCAGCCAAATTGCCCACAGAAATGTCCCCCACACACACCTATGATGTTGCTTACTGGTTAGAGCACTTGCCTTGCAAGACCTGGGTTTGATTCCCAGCAGGGCGAAATGTTGGGCAAGTTTCCTTACTCCACATGCCTCTGTTTACTTAGCAATAAGTAGGAATCCGGTTGTCAGTTGATTGGTGGACTGCTTTTCCAGGGATAATAATCCCTTCAAAACAATACAAAAGTTTTTTTTTAAATAATAATAATTTGGTCACTCAATTCACAGCTGTCTATGAGACTCATGCTGTTGTGCGCAATTGGCTGCCATGTTTCTTCCACAAAATATTGTCAATTCACTTTACAGCATATTCTGTGAAGTGCTTTGAGACATCTCAAAGATGTGATCAGGGGCTATGTCAAATCCAAGAATTATTACTTATGAATGATCAATTTTTATCTGGAGTATTGCTGGCCGGTTTAGCTAGAAGAAAGTTCTCTATTCAAATAGTGCAACGGGCTCTTTAATATCCACCTGAACAGGTAACCAAAGCAGCTGAAACCGTCGTCCACGCCTTCATCACTTCTTGGCTGTAGTATTCCAATGTCCTCTTTGCTGGTCTCCCTAGCTCCACCACACATGATTAAATTAATCCAAAACTCCGTCACCTGGATACTCACCCACACAAAACTCTGTACCCCCATCACACCAGTCCTTGCCACGCTCCACTGAAGCATGAGACATTTAAAAAAAACACCAGCATGGACTGATTGGGATTTAAGACTTGTTGGTGCAGCATTTTAAGAACTGCTTTGTGTTGAAATAAAGTAATAATCTTTGCATTTGACATATTGCCTCTGCACATTGTTGAGATGGCTCAAAGCACTTCACAGGCTTTTACTGTATTGGTCTATTTGTGGAATCAGAGGAGCTGCTGTTCTCTCAATCTGGCGATTCTTAAAAAGGCTTCTTTGGAAGTTTTTGAGTAAAATATAGATGGAAGAGTAACAACAGTGCCCTCCACCCTAAAATATCAGGTAAATGTAAACCAGCTTGAGTGTGTTGTAAATTTGATTTTTTTTTTGGAAATCAGGAGGGCAATGTATTGCTACTAATAACAACTCCATGTGCACAAAGGTTTCTCAAGGCCATGATTGGGAGGTAGACAGTCTCAAAGATAAGAAGCTGCACTTCATTGCAGTCTACATCAATGACTTAGAGCTTAATAGAGCAGACGATACAAAACTAGGTGAGAAAGTAAGCTGTGAGGAGGACACAAGGGGTTATAGACAGGTTAAGTGAGTGGGCAAGAAGGTGGCAGATGAACTATAATGCGGGGAAGTGTGAAGTTATTCACCTAGGTAGAAAATATAGAAAATCAGATTATTTTCTAGAGGGGGAGAGACTAGGCAGTGTTAGTATTCAGAGGGATTTAGATGTCCTTGTACACCAATCACAGAAAGTCAGTATGCAGGTACAGCAAGCAATTAGGAAGGCTAATAGCATGTTAGCATTTATTACAAAGGGGTTAGAGTACAAGAGTAGGGAAGTCTTGTTGCAATTGTATAGGGCCTCGATGAGCACCTAGAATATTGTGTGCAGTTTTGGACTCCTTATCTAAGAAAGGACAAAGTTGCCTTAGAGGGGGTGCAACCTAGGTTCACTAGGTTGGTTCCTGGGATGAGGGGGTTGACCTACGAGGAGAGGTTGAGTAGACTAGGCCTATATTCTCTAGAATATAGAAGAATTAGAGGTGATCTTATAGAAACCTGTAAGATTCTTAAGGGAATGACCGGATAGATATTGTGAGACTGTTTCCCCTGGTTGGAGAATCCAAAACTGGGGGTCATAGTCTCAGGATTAAAGGTCAGCCTTTTAGAACTGAGATGAGAAAACATTTCTTCACTCAGAAGGTAGTGAATTTATGGAATTCTCTACCCCAGAAGGCTGTGGATGCTCAATCATTGAACATATTGAAGACTCAGATCGATAGATTTTTAAAAACTAAAGGGATTAAGGGATATGGGAATAGGGCGGGTAAATGGAATTAGGTTAGAATATCAATCATGATCTTATTAAATGGTGGGGCCGAATGGCCTACTCCTGCTCCTATTTCTTATTTCTTATGTTCATTGCACATAAAACTAACTTTTGTCTAAGGAACAGATTATGGCTGATGGTTACAAATAGCAAAGAAAAGTAAAGTTTCCCTTGAAGGAACATGTACTCGATTTATCTGCTGTCCAATCCATCAACTGTAAACAGCACTGGTCTTAAAGCAGACTAAAACAGAAATAGCAAATCGAAGAGTGGTTTGAACCCCACATGTTAATGAGGTCAATTTTAGCTTTTACGGTGATTATGTCAAACACCACAAAAACACCAATAGAATTTCACTAGGATTTAAGACTAGGTACTTTATTTTACTCTAAAATTCTATCATTCATGCTACTAACGTTATGACAGAATTTCAGGTGCTAAATGATAACTGCTATTAATCTACTAATCAACAGATGACGACTGTCACATAATAAGATTATATCACATATAAAGATCTTGAGTACTTTATACTGGCAGAACTTTGCTGAAAGTTACATTGGCTTCTGGCTTCCACTACTCATTAAAACTTATTATTGAAAACCTTAAAAGGGAATAAAACTATGCCACTTCTTCTAATGTTCCTGCAGCAGCCTGTACTGTAAAGGATGCAACAGCAATCTGCCTCTTCACTTCCTGCCAGGCTTTGTCCTGATCTTGAACATTGGCTATGTCGAACAGGGCATCATAGATTCCTGGAAAAGATTCGCCTGCATACTTGTTATGAGAGCTGGGAGCAAAAATGATGTGTCTAGAGGAGTGGATAAAACAAGAAAATTAAAAACATCCAAAGCTCACAATGGACATGTGTACATTTAATATCCACCACACACCAGTGGGTTAACATCTTGCAAGACTAGAACACAACCTGAATCAGCAAAGCTTTTTTTCTTAGTGCAATGCTGTAATTTTACCGCAATGCGTTTACAAGTACAGATATTAGCTTTGTTATGGAGTTGAAGTATAACATGCAATACATCTAAATGATAAGGTGAGCAATATAATATGTAAGTTGGAATTATAACAACGATAACAACAAATGACATTTTTACAGCACCTTTCACATTCGGAGGAGGTTCATAGGCACTCGACAGTCAAGGATTTGCACTCGAAATGGGAATTGGGATCAAGAGGGTTGGCGGGCAGGGAGGGTGAGGATCAGAGGATGACTGAAGAGGAGAGGAGATTGAAGAGGAGGGCCTTGAAGGAGGCAAGGGAGAGGGTGAGGCAAAACGACTATGGGATGCAGTTCCAAAGGGTGGGGACAAAAAGCCTTGGTTTAATGTCTCATCCAAACCAGGGCACCTCCAACAATGCAACATGCCCCATCGCATATTGCACTTGAGAGTCCTAGACTATATGAGTTGAAAGTCCCAACGGCTTGAACCCGCGACCCAAGCAAAAGTGCTACCAGGCTGACACATGACAGATTAAAATCAAGAGGACAAACACTATTGAGAATATCAGGAATTTTCAGTAAACATAAGCAACCTCCCTTAGAAATTCCATAAATATTTCTGTCTGAATTTTTCACAATCTGAACATTCTGGGGTGAGGTATTTGTACTGGATTATTAGCAACTTGCTACATCAACAACTTCAAATTATTGTTTCCTGCTACAAGCTAATAAAGTTGAATATATTTTCTGTGTCAGATAAACTTTCCACAACCTGAAGAAAGAATGCGTTTAACTGTTTGTCTGGAAACTACAGAAGCAAACATTCAACTAATAAAGAATTTTCAGTTTTATAGCACCTTAACATTTCAAAGTACTTCATAGAATACTCCTGTTGAGTGCAGTGTCCATTTTGGTAGGCAAATATGACAGGGAAGGGAGGGAGCGAGGAGGGGGTAGAGAGTCGAGAGGGGAGCTGAAGGCTCGGTCAAAGAGAAAGGTTTTGAGACCGGCCTTGAAGGAGGAGAGGGAGGAAGCAAGGCGAAGGCACTGGGGGATAGAGTTCCAGAGCTTAGGGGCTGAGAGGCTGAAGGCCCGGCCACCGATGGTAGGGCGGTTGGGGCGGGGGATGTGGAGCAGACCGGAAGTTCTACTGACGTAAAAGATGCTATATTAAATTCAAGGATTACATCACATAAACATGAGGTGAATGACCAATTAATTTGGAGGAAAATCCCTTCTCTTTATAAATATTTGTAACCTCCATCTGAATGTGAAAATGGTACCTTTGGCTTAGTGTTTCATCCGAAGGATAGCACCTTTGACAAGGCATTGTATCTGTACTATTATATTGGCTTGTCAGTCTAGACCAGGGATGGTCAATTTGACTATTGAACACAAGAACAACTTGTACTTATATAGCACACTGATTATAGCGGAGCCTGACTCCGAGCCGAGGGGAGGTGGGAAGTGACCGTAAGCATAGTTGAAAAGGAAAGTTTTCAGGCGGGACTTGAAAAACGGGGAGAGAGGGGGCAAGGTGGAGGGATTGAGGAAGAGTGTTCCACAGTTTTGGGGTGTAGTAGCTAAAAGTGCAACTTTCAATGGTGGAGCAGAGGATGCAAGGGATAAGTAGGAGGCTGGTGCCAGTCGAGCAGAGGTGCCGGGTGGTGGATTGGGGAGTGAGGAGGATGGAGAAGTAGGGAGGTGCCAGGGAGTGAATGGATTTGAACACGAGTGTGAGGATCATGAAGTTGATCGGTTCGGTAATGGGGAGCCAGTGGAGCCTGGCTAGAACTGGTGAAATGTGGGTAAGAAGGTTGGTCCAGGTAAGTATGCGGGCAGCAGAGTTGTGAATGAGCTGGATTTTTGGAATAATGGAACTGGGTAGACCGGCGAGGAGTGCATTTGAGTAATCCAGACAGGAGATGCCAAACACATGAATGAGGGTTTCAGCTGAATTTGGGGTAAGGTATGATCGGAGGTGGGCAATGTATCGGAGGTGGAAGAAGGCAGTCCTGGTCAGGGACCGGATGTGGGGGAGGAAGGACAGCTGGGGGTCTGCAGATGACATCGCCCAGAGGTAGCATATAGATAAGGCAACGAAGAGCGCCAAGGATGAAGCCCTGGGGAACCCGGCAGCTGACCGGGTGGGGGCGGGAGGAAATTAAGTTTGCCAAAATTAAATGGAGGTACTTGGTTAAATAGGACTCGCACTTTGCGAGTGTGGTTCCCCTAAGGTGGATGAGGGAGGAGAGGTGGTGGAGGAGGGTGGCATGGTTGACTGTTTTGAACGTGGGAGAGATTCAGGAGGACAAGGAGGCAGAAGTAGCCCTGGTCACAGATAGAGAGGATGTCATTCGTGACTTAGACAAACGTTGTCGCTGTGCTGTGGGCAGGGCGAAAACCAGACTGCAGAGGCTCGAGGAGGAAGTGGAGGGAGAGGTGTGACCGAAGTTGACCTGCAACAATGCCTTCCAGGACTTTAGCAAGGAAGGGTAGCTTCCTTGCTACCCATGTGTAATGCAACCCGCATGAGGCCTGAGGCCATCCTTGGTCTAGATCATGAGCTCAAGATTTGACATGGGGCTTGAAAGCACAACCTTCTGACCCAGAGGTGAGAATGCTACCAACTAAGCCAAACTTGTCACCCTAGTTATAACACCTAGACAGTGTTACAAATCTAGATGAGTGCCTACCGGTAAAATGGTCTCCCAGGCAGTCCCAGGGGATCAATGAAAGATCTTTCCAGCAGCATTATCTGATCATTCATTATTCGCACAGTTAGTGGACTGAAAAAAATCATGACAATATTTTTAAAGTTACATTTGGGGAGGAAGAACATTGGACTAAACATTTGACATTTACTACAAGTGAAAATTGAAACTTGAGAAGTGATCCACTCCTCCTCCCATAGTTGAATAGTACCAATACACATAGCCATAGGTTACAAGACCAGTTGGTGAAGTACAGACAGACTAACATGTGGAAACCTACCCTAGCAAGAGTCGCACATAGAATTCTCTGTCTTTGAAACAGGGCTATTGCTGCTACTATCAACTAACTAAAATTGATATTCCCAGTCCAAAAGATTTCAAGCTTACTTTGTGATGTCAATTGTTTCTAGGCGTTTATGGAAATCTTTGGCAACACGTGTGAAGTTCTCGACAGCAGAGAATAGAGAGGCTGAAACAGAAGAGTGAATGTCAGTCAGACAGACCCTCAATTTTCAATAAAATTGAACCACAATACTGTTTTTTTTTGTTGTTTAAAAAAATTGGGTTTCTCCCCTGGTATGAATTTAGTCCACAAGAAAAAAATCTCCTAGCAGAACGTACAACATCTTAACCCAACTCCCCAAAGTATATCAAATACACTCAAGTCCATAAACAAATTATAAACCTCACAAAACTGCCAAAATAGGCACCTGTTCTGATCTTAATGATGTTATGACCATCTCTATATGATCAGGCACCTGTTCTGATCTTAATGATGTTATGACCATCTCTATATGATCAGAAGACACTGGTTTTCACATGTATTACGAAGACACTGGTTTTCACATGTATTACTAAGTGCAGTTAAAATGCCAAAGGACCACAGTACTGTAAGTGATTACTTTAGTGATTCACCTACCAATAGTTAATAGATAATATGTTTAAGTTGGCTTCCAAGTATAAATGCTCCTCAGACACCCACCTCAGTCTAAAGAGGTTTAAAGAATTAGGGGGATAGGGCAGAGAAATGGAATTGAAAGTATAGCTTGCTCTGAGAGCCGGTGCGGACTAGATTGGTCAAATGGCTTCCTTCTGTGCTGTAAATTTCTATGATTCTATAAAAGATTAACCGACATATTGCATTGTATAACCAGTATTTTTCATATCTTTGTAGTCCATCTCCCTGATATTCTGATTATCTTTGTACTCCAATATTTTGACACAAAAAATCTAAATGACATGAAGTGAATTTTGTTTCAAAAACTTGAGAACTGGCATAATGTTATTAAAATAGGCAGGTCAAGCATAATTCTTAAAAGGTCACCTCAAATAATACAATTCATAAATGTTAATCAGAATCAAAAGAAAAACATCAATTGATATGCAACAATTGGAAGCAGGCTAAAGTCCCAACATTTACATATTTACAAACTGCATTTACAATCCTGCTCAATTTATTAACTTGGTCAGTTCCCCAATGAATTCCAGCAACCTCAAATGACCCAGTTTTTAAATCTACATTGCATTTTACGTTATTGAAAATGTTAAGTATCCACAAAGCATGCAGTGGAGTCAATATGCCTGCTCTCATATCTACTTTGATACTTTCCAACCCACTTTCCAGCTAGATTTGAGACTTAAACCTTTTTTGCAAGTCATCTGGATGCCTGAAACATGTGGAAACCCATCACTATGCTTAAGAGTATCCAAACCAGACAGTTCCACATATGTATTATAATAAAAATAATCCTTGCATTTTATATAGTGCCTTATCACTTCTTTGAGTCGTCTCAAAGCGCTTCTCGGAATATACTGTAAAAATGAGGGTGAAATGCAGCAGCCAATTATACACAGCAATGTATAATAGTCGTGGATTGAAGTGACCAATTCATTATTTCTATTTTTTTAAGGAATTATTGCCCCCAGAAAAGCAATCCGTCAATCACTAACAACCAGGTTCCTACTTACTGCTAAGGTAAACATGAATGTGTGTGTAATAACGCAATTTACTGGGAATCGAACCCAGGTCTCTCGCTTGCAAGGCGAGTGGTCTAACCACTGAGCTACTGGGCTTCTATGCCACTTATGTTTGCAAATTTCTCTGCTTTCAGGAATGGAATGTCTTCCTTGCATTTACCTTATACCTTGAACCTTGTCAGTGTAATAGGCATTGAAAGCTGCATTCAACTCTATCTTGAATTGCTTACCCAAGCACTACACTTTATAGTGAAATGCTCCGAGATGTTTTGTCGAAGTGATAAGGCAATGTATGAAATGCAAGGATTATTACTTTATTGTTGTTGATTTTGAGGTCGAGAGGTTGCAATTGGTCAGTACAGGACCAAGGATAGAAACCATTTATATGTTATTGTTTCAATTTATGTATCAGTTATGGCACACAATGGCCTGCAAAAATATCAAAAACATACAATACGGTTTGTTTCACATGTATCAGTGCCTTCTCCTTTGCTAATCTGCCACATTCTGTTTCCACATAGGGAACAATAGACTTTGTCAACGTAGCACACCATGTTTTTTGTATTGCACCAAAATGGTTATCTGTCTGTGTGATACACATCCCAATCTGGGAGATGTTGGAGATTATGGTGTAGCATTGCTTTATTCGAAGTGGAACCCAAGCAATGTTGTAATCTCATGTTTATCGTCAAGGGCAATAATATCAATTTTCTCAACACCATTTATAGCCAAAATCCAGTTTCCATGGGGAGAATTTTTTTACTTCCTGCAATTTATTACTTATTAGCGTTTCCGATATTTGTTTGGCTTCGTTGCATCTCGAACAATTTCTATAAACTTTTTCAAAATCTTCCCATGTTTTCCTTGCTGCTTGTGTATCTTTTTGTTTGGTATAAACTATTTCATTTAGTGGTAAAACAAATTCATTTAGGATAAATTGTTGTTGTAGAGCCAATTCTGCATACAAATAATTCTATTCATTTCTTATCAACAGTGAACAAATTGCATTAATATAATGCCTTTCGCATGGGGTAGCATCTTGGAGTGCTGAAAAATGTATTTATATTAATATTAATGGCTGCACCATATTCTGCTAGTAGAGGCACAAGGGGTCATCAATTGCTTTGGCTGTAGCACAGATGACAGAAATGTTTATGATCCCTCCAACTCAATACATGAGCATAGTCATACATGTCAAGTTAAGCTAACCCAGCAGTAGCAGATGGATTCTTCGCTTAGATTGCATCATTTCAAAAATTGTTTTGGTCAGCAGGTGTCTGAGACATACTGAACCCATACTGCTGACTGTTGCATTAGCAGTATCAGTCTTATAAGCTTCAATATCATTGGAACAGATTCATATCTGGCAGTGAAGACTGCAAGTTTCTCATTTCCTGTGCATTCAGCCACTTGTACATTTTGAGCTCACCAGGTACGAACTTTCTGTCTCTAATAATAATCTTTGCATTTGGTATAGTGTCTTACCACATCGGAAGAATGTTTCAAACTGTTTTGCAGCATTTTCTACTGTGTACTACCAGAAAGAGCAAAAGAGTGAAATGGTTGTTACCAGATTTCTGTCATGAGACCCTCGTGGGTACTAAACATCTCTCAGTCACCTAATTATTCAACAAAGAGGTTGGTCATTGCGCTTACAAATGCTGGCCCAAAATTAGGTCTGCACAACATAATCCACAAGCTCTCCAGTCCTAGTCTAATACTTTTCTACAGCAGAAAACCCAGTCAATGACAGCATCACAACGCACACTTTGAGGTCCCCAAGCCTTGACACTTGCCAACCTGTGCCAAATACTCTCCGGAATTAGGTAAGCAGGGTGTGTCCCTTCAGGGAGATACTGTGTATTCCAGTCCAGTTAGGATACTCTTAAGCACGGTGATGGGATTTTAAATATGTCTAACCCGCAAAAAATCCTCCGGAGACTTCATTAGGGTGAAATTTTTAACCTGTTAATTATTGATTGTTGTTGAGAAGTCTGGTCAATGAATATAGTCAATAACAGGACTGGCATCAAATGGCATTACTTTCCCCTCCCCAATTCTCTCAGTACTCACTCCTAGCACAGTACCAGCCAGCACTGTTAAACAATTTGGGATATCCTTCTGTTATGAAACGTGCTGTATAAATGTAAATTTGTATTGTATTGTCCTTCATAGAATGCTTTCCTTGACATAAGATTTCTGAGGTTGGGACAGATAAGGAGCCATTAAGTTCCACACAGCACCTGCTAATCTTCTCGTCTGTACTTATCCTTATAATTCTGTTCTTAAGCAGTGAATTATACAGCTCATTTTAAGAGAATTAATATGTACAAGATTAAATGCTTCAGGTAAGAGTTTATTCAATTTATATGTAATGCCAGGGAGAAAAAAGTCTTGCTCAAGTCTTATCTGAGCCTTGACTCATATAAGACTTGAGAATTTACATTTATATAGCGCCTTTCAGGTTGGGAGGATGTCCCAAAGTGTAGACGCTCAAGGATTTACACACAATATCCACCAATTTCTAGCATCTACCTGGTTTAATTGTTAGCACTTTCACTGCTGGGTTAAAAGATTATGTCTTTAGCCCCACACTGGGATATGAGCTCAGTTCACATTTCTTTTGGTCTGGCACATACAGAGTCCCATCACCATATTTAACAGTATCAAAAACCAATCTGAGATTTCTATGCATCCCACGTGTATATTGAAATTCCAGAGATGTTTATTGGAATAGAATGTGCTTTGCTCCCTGGACGGTCATCTTGCTAAGCTAATTCCTGTGGAGTATTAGGTGCAGGCTGGCAAGAGCCAAGGCTTGGGAACTCCAGAGTGTGCATTAGGGTACTGTTGGGGTCGAACCAGCTAAAACTGTACAGTTTGCCATTGGATGCACTGAGTGGCAAGCTTTCTCTCCGTTTGCCCAGCTAGTTTGCCCACCCTACCCGTTAGCAGTGTTAACAGGAACTGAGTGGAAAGTCCCTGAACCCAGTTTTCTTTTTTTGCTGACATTCCGTTACAATATATGGGGGAGAAGGGAGTTTCTTCTGGTGTCCTGGCCAATAATCCCTCAGTTTAATTGGTCATTAACCCCATGCCTGTTTGTGGAATCTCTCTTGTTTCATGTTTATCTGGATAAACTTGCTAGCCTTGATAGTAATTACCTGTGACAATTTGAAGTGATTCAAAGTGATAAAATGCTATAAAAATTCAAAGTTCTTTCTCTTCTTATTCTGCTTTTCTACAATAAAAATAAATACAGTTGTATGAACCCTTCATAATTCGAAGCCACAATTTATAGATAGAGCTTTGTGAATTGTCTCCAAGACATGAATAGTCTCCAGGTGGTCAGATACTGAGAATTGCATGCAATTGGGTGAAAAATTGCAGTAATTTTCAGGGACAATCATAATAACAGACAATCTACAAGTATTGCAATTTTGCGAAGTCCAATTAAATCTAAAGCTCAGGACACTGGAAGAAACTTTCTCTCTATTCAAACAGGATCTTTAGCATCCATCTGAAGAACAGTCACCCTGGACCTCAATTAAGCATCTTACGCAAAAGACGGTACCTTCAATTTTGTAGAAATGAATGAGTTACACTGGTTCAGTGGGTTAAGTTTCTAAGATAGTATTTCAAAGCTTGGAGGAAGTTTTACCCTCTAACCAGTACATCTTACCCTGCCTTTGGTAGTGCTGGATGCAAAAGTTGGATGGTCTTTTTCATTCACTGGCCCAAATTTTATCAAATAAAAAAGAATGACTCACTCATCCATAGTAATAGAATGATACTTACCAAAAGATACCTGATGTTTATCAAGATGTAGTTGATATTTCTGTGCTTGGTCATAAATAACGTCTGCATAGTGTTTCAAAGCTTTAGCATAGTCTCTGCAATCGAAAGGTATTATTGTAGAATCCGCAATCTCGTAAACCAAGCCTCCTCGTATCTGAGCCACGGTGAGCAGTTTCCTAAAGGAAGGGTCATAGAACCGTTCAACCAGTTCAAACGTCTCATAAATGCTGTGATACACTGGATAACTACTGTATGTGGCAGTATTCTGAAAAATATAAACAAATTGCAGATTGTTAGACAATACCACGTAATTTTCCTCCTCTAGTATCAACTCCAGATCCGCCGATATTCTATTATCTTGTCTGGCAGACATCAGGGCCTGGATGAGTGTAAACTTCCTGCAGCTGAATATGAACAAGACGGAAACCATACTCCTTGGCTCCCATCAATGTCTTCACTCCTACAGATCTGAACTCCTCAACCTCCCTGGACTCTCCCTCAGACTCACCGAACCAGTACACAATCTAGGCATTCGATTCAACCCCCAGCTGTCTTCCTCCCCCACATCTGGTTCCTGACCAGGGCCGCCTTCTTCCACCTCTGCTATATTGCCCGTCTCCAACCGTACCTTACCCCAAATGCAGCCAAAACTCTTGTGCATGCGTTTGTCACCTCCCGACTGGATTCCTCAAATGCACTCCTCGCCGGTAACCCCAGCTCCACCATTCAAAAGATCCAACTCATTTAGAACTCTGCCGCCCACATACTGACCCGAACCAAACTCCGTATCCACATCTCACCAGTTCTGGCCAGGCTCCACTGGCTCCCCATCACCGAACAGATCGACTTCAAGATCCTCACACTCGTGTTCAAATCCCTTCACTCTCTGGCACCTCTCTACCTCTCCGACCTCCTCACTCCCGAATCCACCATCCAGCCCCTCCGCTCGACTGGCACTGGCCTCCTACTCGTCCCTCGCACTCTCTGTCCCACCATCGGTCACGCTTTCGTCCACTGTGCCACAAAACTCTGGAAAGCTCTCCCTCAATCCCTCCACCTGGCCTCTCTCTATTCTTTTTCAAGTCCCGCCTGAAAACCTTCCTATTCAACGTGCTTATGGCCACCTCCCACAACCAGGCTCGGAGTCAGCCTCTACCAATGTTAAGCGCTCTAAAACACTACCCTGCTTGGAGGGTACTATAGAAGTGCAAGTTGTTGTTGTTGTAATACAGTGTTGATCAATTGCACAGTTCATCAGGGAGCCCTATTCCATCAATTCACACTTGTGTCACCTGAAGCATCTCACCTCTTGAGTGCTGAAAAGGCTTCTTGGTTTTCAAGCGCACACTTAACATTGTAAACAGATTCTCAGTATAACTACAAATGATGACAATTCATCTGTGGAACTAAGGAATCTATCAGAATTACATAGAGTAATACAGCATGAAATTAGGCTATCTGGCCCAACTGATCCATGCTGGAATCAGAAAAGTGTTACAAAAATACTGTACACAGGGAGTTGTAAATGTATGACATGAACTATTCAGGGATTCAGTGAAGGCAGATTATGTCAGGAAATTCAAAAAGGAATTAGAAAGCTGTTTGGCAAACAATTTATTATTTATAAAAATAATAATTCTTTCATTTTATATAGCACTTTATCACATCTCAATGTCTCAAACTACTTCAGTTTTTCTTTTGGTGGAGGTAAACAGGATCTCATTGGAGTTGAACTGGCTCCAAGGTGACATGCCTGGCAACAGAATGTCGGAATTGAGCCAGCCCTCTGTGGTGATCTTGGTAGTCCAGTTCCTGAGCCAGGCAGGTCCGCATTATTCCAGGGCACTGCTGATGACTGCACAGCTAGCCTGACTCATCGTCAGGACCTGGACGGGCAGACTAGAAACTGGGGGCAGGGAGTCATCCCACTCAGCTCCTGTTAACCCTGCAAGCCAAAACCCTAATGGGTAGGGTGGTCCTGGCTGGACAAGCAGAAGGAAAGCTTGCCAAACAGCAATATCAATGGCAAGTGATGTGGTTTTAGCTGGTTAGACTCCAGCAGTACCCCAAAGCACACTCTGGGGACCCGAAGTCTTGGCTTTTGCCAATCTGCGCCTAATACTTTCCAGAATTAGGTAAGCGGGATGCATCCCTCCAGGCCGAGAGTGTACATTCCATTCCAAAAAAAAATCTCTGGGATTTCCATGTGTAAGTGGGATGCATGGAAATATCAGCTTAGTTTGGATACTCTTAAGCATAGTGATGGATTTCTGCATGTGTCAGACACCCGGCTGAACAAAATAACTAAATAAACAATTTCTGTTAAGTGTAGTGATTACTTGTAGGCAAATATGGCCCCTAATTTGCACACAATGTCCCACAAACTGTCATTAAGGTACTAACCATTTTGTTTAAATCTGGGGTATTGTTGGACAAGGCACTGGGAGAAATTCCCTTCTATTTTTGAATAGTGCTATGGGTTCTTTAACATCTAAATGAACAGACCAATAAGATCTTGGTTTAACATCTCATCTGAAGGAGATCTCGTTGTGGAGCTTGAACACAAATCTTCTGACTCAGAGTCGAAAGTGCTACCAACTAAGCCAGGCTGATCTCCTCTTGTGTCTAACACCATTTGGATTGATAGTGCCATTGTTCATTTTCCTTCCAATTTCATTAGTCTGCAAGTACACCACTTTCACCACTCTCACTGGGTGAACAGCTTATTTCTTGTCTCACCCCCTCAAAATAATTTCTTCTCATTTGTGTGGATCACATTGCAAGACATATAATTATACTAATCTAGATAGTCACACATAGATTGAGAATGACAGAACCTCAGTGTGGTCCATATTCAATGTATTTTCCTTGAGCATAATACATTCATTCTATGCTTTCACTAGCAGTGGGAATATAACAGATTCTGTTTTTCTTTCCTATTAATAGTAAGTTAATCAATTTACCATGGAGCTGATCCACATATCAGTAAATTTTATATTTTTCATTAAAAACTATTTTAGATTTAATTTTTTTGAAGAATATTTGTAATATCCTGAAATATAAATAACTCGGCATATAAAAGAAGGAATGTAATCTGCTGAACTCCAGTTTTGATACACATACCTTATTTTTTGTGTATCGTACACGGCCTGAGGCAATGCCAAGTCGCTGAAAGTAAGCTTCAAAGTCACTGCCAGATCCCAGTTTTCTTATCCTAAGCAAATTAATAAACAATATTAGGTTACATTAAAAACATTATTTGAAAGTATTTTTATATTTGCAATATTTTAAACATCCAGTTGAAACATAAACCAACATCTAAAAGTAATAATAATATTAATAAAGTATCTCCTTTGAATTTGACATAGTATAATAATAACCCTTGCATTTGATACAATACTTTATCATGTCTTTGATATGTCTCAAAGCATGTCCCAGGATTTACTGTGCAGGGTAGTGACTGTGTATTTGTAGGCGAACATGGCAGCTATTAGGTGAAAGACCAATTATTATCTGGGGGATTGTTGGCCAGGACACTGGAAGAAACTTCTCTTTTCAAATAGTACCATGGGATCTTTAATTTTTACCTGAACAGACAGACAGAACCTTGATTTAGCATCTCATCCAAAGGCCAGCATCTCTGACAATACAACTCTCATTAACAACGACAACAAAATTACATTTATAGAGCGCCTTTCACAACAGGAGGACGTCCCAAGGCACTGGAGAATCAAGGGTCAGGACCTGAGCATTGGGGAGGGCTGGGTCAGGGGTGAGGGAAGACAGAGAGGTGGGAGGGCGTGATCGAAGAGGACTGTCTTGAGACCGGCCTTGAAGGAGGCAAGGGAGGAAGGGAGGCGGAGGGACTGTGGGATGGAGTTCTAGAGTGTGGGGGCAGAGAGGCTGAAAGCCCGGTCACCGATGGTAGGGCGGGTCGGGCAGGAGACACGGAGCAGGCCGGAGCCCGCTGAACGGAGGGAGCGGGCAGGTTGGTAGGGAGTCAGCAGGTCAGAGAGGTAGGAGGTGGCAAGGCCATGGATGGCCTTGAAACTGAGGATGAGGATCCTGAATTCGATTCTCTGAGCAATGGGGAGCCAGTAGAGTCGGGCGAGGGTGGAAGTGATGGGGTCACGGAGCCTGGTGCGTGAGAGTACACGAGCTGCAGAGTTTTGGATGATCTGCAGCTTGTGAATGGAAGAGTTGGGAAGGCCGATGAGGAGGGAGTTTCCATAATCGAGCCTTGATGTGACGAATGCGAGGGTGAGGGTTTCGGCAGCCTGAGTGGTGAGGCAGTGGCGGAGTCTGGCAATGTTGCGGAGGTGTTGGTAGGCAGTGCCGGTCACGGCGCAGATGTGGGGGAGAAAGAACAGTTCAGGGTTAAACAAGATACCCAGGTTCCTGACTGGCATAGGGTGGTTGAATGTGCAGCCATGGAGGCTGATGCTGCCAGCGCCAGAGGTGCGGAGTCGCTGGTGCGAGCCAATCAAGAGGGCCTCGGTCTTGCTGACGTTCAGTTGGAGAAAGTTGTCCCTCGTCCAGGACTTGAAGTTGGACAGGCAGTCGACAGTAGTCCTGGAGTTGAGCGTGGAGTCAGAGAGATAGAGTTGGGTGTCATCCGCATACATGTGGAAATTTACCCCATGTCTGCGGATGATGTCACCAAGGGGGAGCATGTAGAGGGTGAAGAGGAGGGGACTGAGGACAGAGCCCTGAGGAACACTGCACAAGATGTTGCGGGGGCTGGAGGAGAAACCGTTTGTCGCGACGAAGTGGAGGCAATGTGAAAGGTAGGACCTGAACTAGTCAAGGACAGAACCTTGAAGGTTGAGGTTGGAGGATAGGCGGTGGAGAAGAATTGAGTGGTCCACAGTACCAAAGGTGGCGGAGAGGTTGAGGAGGACGAGGAGGCAGAAGGAGCCCTGGTCAAACATGGTCAAGATGTCATTTGTGACCTTGACCAGAGCAGTTTCCACGCTGTGGGCAGCACGAAAACCCGATTGGAGGGGCTCATAGAGGGAGTGGGAGGATAGGAAAGAGCAAAGCTGGGAGGCAACAGCTCTCTCAAGGACCTTAGACAGATAAAGGAGGTGGGAGATGGGCCGGTAGCTGGATAGCTGTGATGGGTCAAGGGAAGGTTTCTTCAAGGTGGGATGATAGTCGCTGCTTTGAGGGGGTTAGGAACAGTGCCAGATGACAGGGAGAGGTTGATGATGTTGGCAAGTAGTGGGGCAGTAGCAGGTGGAGTTGAGATTTAAGGAGAGCGGTGGGGATGGGGTCCAGGGAGCAGATGGTGAGCTTCATGGTAGTAATGAGAGGAGGGGATGATAGATTCAATGGTGTGGAAGGAGGGATGGGTAGTGGTCGGAATGTGGTGGGGGGATAGAGAGAGGGTGGTAGTTGGGAGGGCAGTGGCAGCTGAGCAGATTCCCTTGATTTTGGACTCAAGGCAATCCATCATTTCCTCGCAGTGGTTGTCAGAGGAAAGAATCTATGAGCATGGCGGGGAGGGCGGAGGAACCGGTTGGTGGTGGAAAGCACGAGCCTGGGGTTGCCTTTCGCCTCCAGGATTAACCTGAAGTAGAAGGACGATTTGGCCGAGACGAGAGCAGAGCGGTAGGTTTTGATGTGGTCCAGCAAGATGTGGCGATGGACTGTTAGGCCGGATTTGAGCCAAGTGCACTCGGCAGCCCGCACCTGATCCTTGAGCGAGTGGAGGATCAGGAATAGGAGGCAGTTCGGGAGGTGAGAGGGGCAAGGGCGTTGAGTGTGGTGAAGAGGGTGCTGTGGAGGAGAGTAAATGTAGAGGATGGGTGGGTGCAGGAGATGGGCCAGAGGGGGAGGAATTCAGAGGACTTCAGGGCAGCGGAGAGGGATTGCGGGGAGATCTTCTTCCACGGGCAGTAGAAGATGGTGGTAGGTTTGGAGGCAGTGGGGAGAGGGATATAGGAGTTGAGGGAGATGAAATGGTGGTCAGAGATGGCCTTGTCGGTGATGGTGACATCTGAGATGCTGAGGCCCTGGGTGATCACCAGGTCGAGGGCATGACCGTGAACGTGGGTAGCAGAGTGGATGTGGAGGGAGTGGTTGAGAGAGGAGGGGAGAGAGGAGGAGTCTGAGGAGGTGGAGCAAGAGAGGGTGAAGTGGAGGTTGAAGTCGACTAGAATGATGAGGCGGTCGGAGCAGAGGCAGATGGAAGCTAGAAGGATAGAGATGTCAGAGATGAAGGTGGGGGAGGATTGTGGGGAGCGTAAATTAAGAAATTTTTTTAGTGAGAGATGGGAGGGATGGCAGAAGGTAAGATTTTCAAAGAGGGGAATGAGCCAGCGGAGTAAGGGGATAAGTAGAGTCCTGTAGCTCAGTGGTTAGAGCACTCGCCTTGCAAGCGAGACACCTGGGGTCAATTCCAGGCAGGGCGAAACCTTGGGTAAGTTTCCTTGCTCCACACGCCTAATAATAATCCCTCAAAAAAAAAATAAGTTGGTCATTTTCAATCCATGACTGTTTGTGGGACATTGCTGTGCGCAATTGGCTGTTGCGATTCGCCCACAAATATACGGTCAACTCACTTTACAGTGTATTCTGTGAAGTGCTTTGAGACGTCTAAAAAACGTGTAAAGCCCTTTATCAAATGCAAGGATTATTATTATTGTTATTTATATTATTATTATAAGACAAGTGACGCCCTGGAGATGAGGGCCACACCACTGTGTTGGGGCATGGGGCATAGTGGTAGGTATAGCTGAGTGGTGCGACCTCAGTGAAGGGGAAGGTGTCACTTGGGGTGATCCAGGTTTCCATGAGGGCCATCCTATACTCTTGAGTTCAAAGTCCTGACATGGGACTGGAACCTATAATCTTCTCACTTAGATAGCAACTGAGGTGAGAGTGTCACCAACTGAGCCAGGCTAACATTGAAGGAATCATTTCTATAGGCACGAGAAGTAAACCAGAGCTTAAATATTACGTTATTTCAGGCTCAAATAAATTTTAAAGGGGAGCTCTGCCATTGCAAAACGTTTTTTCCATTTAACAGCACAAGGCAGGTCACCTATTGGTGGCGTATGTTTCACTAAAAAAAACATACAGCTTCTTTTATGATTATTTTCCCCAATGCAGTAATTCTCCTCCCTTAATATGGAGGCATGGCACTTCTCCAAAGGAAGGGAGTCATTTGTGTTACACCCCAAATGTGTCATTCAGCATTGAAAACTATAACTCAACCCTTCATAAGGTTAAATTCTTTTTTTGGCCAGGTCCCAGTTCTTCATCTGCTCCACTCCATGTAAACACACTTCTTATCAATTCAATCAAGGAGCAGAATTCAGAGCAAGTTCACCTGCTTGCACAGCTTAGGAAAGACATAAAGATAAGTGATCATGGATTGACTAGCTTTCTTTCATTTTGTAATATTTCAACATTAAGTGCCAACTTCTCAAATATACTGCAGGTTGAGGATAGCACCAAATCGTCTAAATAATCGCCCCTCCCAAAATAAATGATTAAATTGAACCCACAATTTTCTGAGTCAGAGGTGGGAGTGCAAGCAACTGAGCCATGCTGACACTTTGTCTGACACTAGACTTTGTTCCAATAGCTGTTGGTTCTAAACTCACCAACAACTGAAGCTTTAATAGTTGCTCTTACAGAATATGTCTGATAAATCTGTGAAATGTTACCATTACTCTGAAGGTAAATAAAACAATTAATTACTGGCCATACCTGGGAGCATCGCTGTGTACTAGCCAGGGATCTTTTTCATACCAGCTCTGGTACAGAGATTTTTTTTCATAACCATCATCGGGGCTTGGGATCTAAAATGGTGAAAGTAGGAAACACAGAGGTGATAAGGAGTTTACTTCACTAATCTGCTAAATAAATAACCAGTGTTGATAGCACTGTTTGGACAACCATTGCAGGATACTTATCTGCTTACTTACCTCTTTGGTTATGTTATAAACCAACTGGTAGAGCAAAGGGGTGCAGTCAACCCTCAGTGTGTAGTTACCTGGAGAGAAAGAGAGAACAAATCAGCGTTGAGTGATTTGACCTATGAACAAAGATTGGAGGAACTGGGCATATATACGTTGGAACAGAAAAGTTTGAGGGGAGATATAATAGATTAGCCTGGGAGAAATTATTTCCACTGCTCAAAGAACAGTGACATGAACACATCACTTTAATATCAATAGCAAAGGACCAATTCACAGAGGTGTGGAGAAAAACAACCAGATTACATTTGTATAGCACCTTTTTTTAAAAAAAGCAGGTAATTGGAACTGACTGAATTGTTCTTTCAAAGAGCCAGAAAAGACATGCTGGGCCACATGATCTTCTTCTGTGCTGTAAATTTCTTTGGGCTTTATAGCATAATGTGAGGTTTCATAATATTTGTGATATCTGTTATATAATACTTAGCACTGTAAAAATCATGAACAGCAGAAGACAAAAGTGAATGTGGTTGCAATAGGTATCCTAAATAGTGAACTAAGCAATTTGTCTTGTTACTTAAAAACAAAACCTGAATTAGACTGCAACAAGTTCTAAACACCAGACCAATGACTCACTAATTCATAAATGAGTAATTCTTAAAGAGGAACTATCTGTACTCTTCCCCCCTTCTTATAGTGTTTTATAGAATTCACTGTATAATGTGAAATTGTGCAGTTGTTCTCTAGTGATATGTGAGTGTCCAGGAAGCTATTTATTGCTCTCTGTTACCATAGCAGAAGTTTCATGTTGCTTCAGAGAGTTCAAAAGAAAAAATGTGCCACATGGTGCCTAACTGTTCTAAAGCAAAATACATTAACAGAATGCATGGAAACAATATGGGTAAGTGAGTAACGCAAACCAAATTCTGGGTTGCATTGAAAGGACAATATTGAGCTAAAAGGACTGGACTATGAGGAGTGATTAAGTAAACTGAGCATGTTCAGGCTGGAAAAGAGAAGGTTGAGAGGTGATATGACTGTAGTTTTTAAGATTCTAAAGAGACTGGATAATGTAGACCTGTTTCATCTTGTCCAGAACAGTAGGCCTGTGATTGAAGGGGGCAAATTCAAAACAAATCTGCAGAAACACTCTTTCAGTGAGTGCAGAGTAAATGTATGAAACAGGTTCGCTGGGGAGACGGTGGAAGCACAAAGTGTTGATTCTTTCAAAAACAAATTAGATAGATTTATTTTAGGAAATAATATCTTGCGATACAGTATATAGTTTGAAATATGACATGTGCATGCGGTTGCCAGGATAGTGAAAGGTGAACTGGATGGCCTTGATCTTCTTTCGTCTAGCAATTCTTATGTTCTTATGTATAAGTGTACAGATGTACCTCCTATTATATATTTAATTGTAACAAATTGTAGCAACTGTCACAGTGTAGCACTGTGAAATGTTGAAATGTAGCACCTTTGCCAGAAAAAATGCATTGTCACATGAAATGTTCCTCCTCTATGGAACCCTATGTGTGACATGTTACACCCAAGAACATTCACTTACGAGATTTTCCAAGGTGTCAGCCTGGCTCAGTTGAAAACACTCTCGCCTCTTGAATTAGAAGGTTGTAAGTTCAAGCCCACATCAGGCCATTTTTAAACCCAAAAAGTGAGAAGTCAAAATGTAAAAACAAAAGTCCAGTTGATCAAGTTACCTTCTATAGCTGAATCTGCATTGATGTATGCCACACCACGTTCTTGAAGTAGTTTAACGTTGTCCTTAATATAAAAAAGATAAAATGTTACATGTAATCTCTATTATTTATTCATTTATGTGATAAATATACATTAAATCCTCATCCTCACCCTCACCTACAAGGCCATTCACGGCCTTCCTCCCTCCTACCTCTCCGACCTACTATCCCCCTACTTACCTGCCCGTACCCTCCGTTCCTCTGGCTCCGGTCTGCTCCACATCCCCCGCCCTAACCGCCCTACCATCGGTGGCCGGGCTTTCAGCCTCTCAGCCCCTAGGCTCTGGAACTCCATCCCCCAGTGCCTTCACCGCCTCCTCCCTTTCCTCCTTCAAGGCCGGTCTCAAGACCTTTCTGTTTGACCGTGCCTTCAGCTCCCCTCTCTACTCTCTACCCCCTCCTCGCTCCCTCCCTTCCCTCCCCTCACCCTGACCATTTCCCCCCTGCTCAGGTCCTGACCCAACTGTCCAGCGCCTTGGGAGTTTCTCCCGACGTGAAAGGCGCTCTATAAATGAAAACTTATTGTTGTTGTTGTAAATGTACATGTTCCTGGGACCTGCTGTTCACCCAGTGAGACCTCACACCTGCACTTGTCAGATGGCAATTACCAATAGAGACTCCTCGGGAGGAGGGGCAGGTGGTGGGATCTCTTTGGGCTGAAGAGGCTCCAAAATGACGTGTCTGGCAATGGAATATCAGCATCGAGTTAATCCGCTGTGGCATCTTGGTAGTCCAGTTCCTTAGCCCAATGGGATCTCCGTACTCGCAGCATTGGTGATAACAGAGCAGCCAGCCTATCTTGTGAGAAGGACTTGGAGGGACAGACCAGTCACTGAGGCAGAGATTCTTTCCATTCAGTTTCTGTTAACCCGACAGACCAAAGACCTAATAGATATTTGCAGTCCTTGCTGTACAAGCTATGGGAAGCTTGTAAGACCGTATTTGAAAATTACATGGCTTTATCTGGTTAAACTCCAGCAGTACTCCAATGGAGAGACTGGGGTTCCCAAGCCTTGAATCTTGCCAAGCAGAACCTAATACTTTCTGAGATGAGGTAAGCAAAGTGCAACCACGCCAGGAGAAAGTGTGCATTCCATCAGATGAGAAAAATTTACATGTGTAGGTGACATACACGTGTGGGACTCTTAGTCTAGTTTGGATACTCTTAAGCATGGTGATGGGTTTCCACAAATCTATGAAACCCGGCCAAGCAAAATAATGGCTATAACTTTGAAGTGAAGCTATCAAAGATTTCCCAGCTATTGGTTAGAATTGGGAGAGGTATCAAGAAATTGGTTCTCAAGAAATGGGAAAGAAAATAATCTCATTGCCCCTTCAAATAACATGAAGAACACAAAAGTGCAGTCTATGCAAGATAAAGGAGATCAATGAATCTATTTGGAATCTACAACTTTGTATGATATTTATGTGGATTTGAAACAACTCACCTCTGCCCATTCAGTGGAGCCCAACAAACCATACTCCTCTGCATCCCAGCTGGCAAACACCATTGTTCTTCTCGGCCTCCAACCTATATGGAATCACATAAGAGGAAAAATATTAAAGCTACAGGGAAAGAGCAGAGCAATAATAATTATAATAATCCTTGCATTTGATATAGTGCCTTATCATGTCATTGAGACGTCTCAAAGCGCTTCTCGGAATATATTGTAAAGTGAATTGACTGTGTATTTTGTGGACGAAAAGTAGTGTAAGATGTTGTGACCTTGTATTTTTTAGACAAACACGGGAATAAATTTGACACTAATATTTTATAAACAGCCATGAAGTGAGTGACCATTTCCATCTGGAGGATCGTTGGCCAGAATACCAGGAGAAATTCCCTAGAGGCGGTGCAGAGGTGAGCAATCAGCATGATTCCCAGGTTTAGTGGAATCAGCTATGGGTAGGGCTTCTGATTTTCGGAACCCAGACGCACTTGCGCACACGGAGGGAAGAGAAGCTCCCGCACACAAGCTTAGTTCCTCCCTCCATTCACAACTCATCTTCAGGCGTGCCTGAACACATGGAGAGAAGACAGGTGCTCTCACGCATGTACAGTGCATGCTTGAAGCATTTCTCTCCCCTCCTTATGTGCAGGCATGTCTGAATCTTCCATTAAAAATAAATGAAAAACACTGAAATCTCCCAATTTGTAGAACTCAAAAAATGCTAATATTAAACTAAAAGTAAAGCCTGAAAAATTATTTTTGAAACCCCCAAAACACAGAATCCCTAACTATGGGCAACAACTAGACAATATAGGGCTCTTTAGTCTTTAGAGAAGATGACTCAGAGGGGATCTCATAGACGTTTACAAAATTTTAAATGGGATTTGAAAAGTAAACCTAGATCAATACTTTAGAATGTATCCTGATAATAGAACCAAAAGAACATAGGTTTAAAGTTGTAAAGGGCAATTTCAGAACAGATATCAGGAAGATTTTCTTGACTCAGAGGCTAATCAGTGACTAGAACAGGTTGACAGGAATGTTGGTAGAGACCAGGACACTGGAGTTATTTAAAAAGCAGCTTGATGCAATGATGGGAGTTAGGTGTTCTGGAGGGATGAGATCTGATAGGCTGAAGTTTTGTCATCTAGAATAATCTTATGATCATGTGAACATCTCATCTGCATGATCACACCTCTGACAATACAACACTCCTCCACTGCAAGTTTAAAGTCACAAAGCAGGGCTTGAATTCCACCTCTCTGACTCGGAAGTGAGGATGCTACCAACTGAGCCAGGTTGACACCTGAATGATTTGAATCACCTCATTCTGAGTTGTAAGCATTCTGCAATTCAGGGTTTTGTGAAATTCTTGAACAAATAGTCTCAATACAGTTAGCACCAATTATTACTCTGGTTGTGCTCTATCAACAATAGCTGTCAGCCGAATAAGTGAAAGAGGAGGCATTATACAGATGTAGGTATAGAGTAAGTACTTTGGTCTATTTTAACCAAATGGGGGTAAAAATTCTTTTAAAATCAATCATGTGCTTAGCTTCATTTGAAACACTACTGTGTTCACTGAGAAATTCGTACCTTCCTTCATGAGCTTTCCTGCACTTCTCACCACCTCGTGCACCCCAGCTGCTCCAGTCATTGGGTCAATCCCACCAAACACCCATGAATCACGATGTCCTCCTAGTATGACGTACCGATCTGTCACAGAAACCAGAATCCTTATTCATTTTGTTAGTAATTTAAAACGCTGATTTGAGTAACCTCTTCATTGCCATAATACGCATCATTGACTTGAATAGTTTGGCAGGAAGGGTGGTAAAAGTTACGACTCGTTTGTTTAAAAACAGATTGGGGATAGGGGTTAGGTGCCCTGGAGGGAGGAGGTTGGATGGGCCAAAGAGCTTTCTTCATCCAGGCCAATCTTGTGATATTATCATACTCAGAAACCATCTCACCTGGTTCTACTGCTCCTCGAATTTTTCCAATGACATTGTAAATTCTTTTCACCTCATTTCTGGTGTGAATATTCATTCTCACTTTCCTGCACAAAAATGAATCCAATTTCAAGTAAACCTTTTTAGAATAAATGCAAAGTTTACTCTTCTTTCACCCATAACAATACAAATTACGGATGCTTTCAATTAACCTATTGGTACAAAACCATGCCATAAAATTTCCGAACTAAAGGATTTAAAAAAGAAGATGGGTATGCTGAATGTTAAGCATTAAACTGTTTTTACTAGTACAAAGCTGAGTCTTCCAGGTGCTTTTCCTAACAGTGCACTTAGCAATGTACATTTTATATAATGCACAGCAATGACCATTTTAGATTGCACATGTGCCTGAAGGGCATTCCATCAACACTAATGGAGCAGTGTAAAAGCAACATGATGATGGAAAATGGCATTGTACAAGCATTGGGTGGCTTGCAGAAATATAGATTTAAGAAGTGGTTTAGTACAGTAGAGCACTTTATAATGAGTTTCATTACAGTATTGGTAACTTACTGGGAGGAATGAATACCTCTGAAGCCAGGTCCAATGTTGTAGGAAACATTTAGCTGTCCTTTCCACTGAATTGGAGCCAGAATTCCTCCCATGTGCCTATTTGAAAAAGCAGAATGTTAATACTACTAACGAGATCTAAAATTAATTTTGGGCTAATATGTTTGCGCAAGACCTAACCACGTTGAAATTATATAGTTGTTCTGAATTATGTAATTAACTATCAGATGATTAAAGGTGATTCTATAATCCTTTTTATTAGTTAATTGCACGATAAAAGACATTAGGATGCATTTGAACATAGCAAGTTAATGGGCTATTTACCCATTTAGCCCAATCTGTGTTTTTGATGTCAATCAGTAGTCTTTTAAGAACTGCAGAAAACAACCGACTGAATTTAAGAATCTCCGAAAATTATGCACTATCTCAAATTAAAAAAAAATATCAAGTATAGGATATCCCTGACATGATGAGGAGTGGAAAGCAGAGCTACAGAAGAGAAAGAAACAGCAGAACAGAGCCCAAAGTGGAAGATTTGGATGCAGATAAAGACAAAACAATAACCAATGGAAACAGAGAGAAGTGTTTAGGAAAAGATGGAAGATTTAAAACATTTTTGAAAAGGAGATCGCCATAGAAAAAAGATATGTATGGCTGGATTGTTGTGAGCAGAAAATAAAAGAATTACTTATTACACAATTGTTCTTGTTGGAGAATCATTACATTAAGAATAAGACTATGAAAAATATCAGATTTCAGATTTTTCTTCCTTCATTCCATTTGATTTAAGTTTGCGCTCAGAAGTTGCAATTCTTTCTGAGCAGAAAGGAAGCTGTTGGAAGTACACAGCGCCCAGAACTTAGGGGATATAAGAAACCATTAGCCCTGTGTATTCAGTGCATTATAAAGTAAGTTTACAGCAATGACTTGAATTGTAGAATACTTGCTCCTCAAAGGCAGTAAATCGTTGCAATTTTATTCTCATCAAAACAATGTTAGTCAGGTGGGTCCTGAGTGAGTCAAACCACTGGACGAATTATTTGCAAAAATTTACATAATATACAACTTACCGTAGCAACCTTTCTGCATCACGATAACTGATGGGGTGAACAGGAATTTTTGGAAGACCAACGCCTTCATCTAACCTGAAAGCATATTCTGGCAAAAGAACAGCAGGAGATAAACTGAATATCTCAGAAGCCCCTGCCCCATTCCCTGAGTTTTAAGGATAATACTTGCCAATGGGTAATTGAAAAGGACTGGATGTACTAATTTACTTGCTCACCATGTTATTCACCATGTCCAAAAGGTGTAAGATAGGAATAGAGGGACAAGCTAAATGATATGTTACTTTGACAAATCAGTTAAGTTCAACCTTCCAAAGGTCAGTCACTATATTATGGTATCTCATTGGGTTCTTACCTGGAATACTGTGTACAGTCTGATTACCAATTACCAATGACAACAACAAAACATTCCTTAGTGGCAATATAGAGAAGCACAACAAAGTTTAGAGAGATGAACTTTGAAGAAAGACTGAAAAGGTTAAGGTTCAGCTTCGAAAATAGACACCCCAAGGGGTCTTTATAAAAGTACATAAATGTTGAATGGGATGGAGGAAATAAATTCAGAATAATATTTTAGAAACACTAAGGAATCACATATTTAAGATTATGATGGGGAATTTTAGGATAGACACCATGAACTATGCATTATCCAGAGAATAAGCAATAGCTGGAACAATTGCCCAGAAACTGCAGTAGAGATCTGGACAATGGAGTCATTGAAGAAACAACTCGAAGATGCAATGAAAGTTAGTGTTAATATTATGGATGGATGAAACACATGGACCAAAGGGCCTTTTTCATCTAAACCTCTCTTGTAATCTTGTCCATGACCATAAATGCGATCTGAGCCCAAAAATCATGTAAAGCATCATATCAATCCTTAGTGTCTGATTTTGATATTCCAGGTGTTTTACAGTAAGTAGAGCGCTTTTGGAAATTATGCCTTGAGATACTCAATTTAATCTTTGTGTTGGAAATGCTGAAAGCTCCTGTAAATAAACAGTAATTTAAACTGAATGAAATGCAATCTGGAACAAGTCAACAAGACACAGTCCAAATATTGTATCAACAAACCTTGCTTTGTGGAGGACTGAGAAACGGTGTCTTTAGCTTCTACAGAAACCTACCATTAGCAGGGTATCCTGGGGTTAGAGGATCTCCAGCTCCATTTAGGTTCAATACATTCCCACGCTGAACACCATCTTCAGGTAGGTTCCAGCCATTTGGGTAAGAGCGCACTCCAGGTGCACAGTAATCCATAGGGTCTGAGAAAAGGATTATTCCTTTAGCACCAGCCTTCATAGAATTCAAAACCTGGAAGATAAACCAAATTAAAAGAAACAACCACAATTTGAACTTATAAGTTCCCTTTCACGTAGGGAGAACATCTCAAAGTACTTCACACAGACAGAGTGGGAGCTGAAGGTGCAGTCAAAGAGATAGGTCTTTTATATGGGTCTTGAAAGCAGAGAGAGAGAGGATGCAAGGTGGAGCGATGTCACGAGAGAGTTCCAGAGAGATGGAATAAAGTGTCTCAAAGCTCATCCATCGAAGATAGGGACATGAAGCAGACCGCAGTGGGTGAGAAACTGGGAACAACTGGGGCCTTAGGTAGCAGGATATCACAGAGGTATTATGGGGAAAGGCCTTTGAAGGTAACAATAAGAATCTTAAAGTCAATCCAGTGGGGGCATAGGAAATGAGTGGAGCTGGGTGAGGATGAAGGTGATGGAATTCCAGAGACTGGTGCAGGAGAGGGCCTGAGAGTTCTGGATGGTATGGAGTTTGTGAGAGTTGAAAGGCCAGCAAGTAGAGCTTGAAGAAGTTAAGTCTGAAGGTGATTCAGACATGGATGAAGGTATTGGTTGCATTGGGAGTGAGGTAGTGAAGTTTGGGTAATGTGTCTATTGAAGAATGTGTATTGTTGGCAGTCATTTGCTACTAAAGATGCAGTACAAATAGGTCGCTAACAATATGAACATTGAAAGAATCCTGCTCCTGACATCACCTGGAGGAGATGCATTGGGGTTCTAAGGATTTTCACGCAACCAAGTTTGTAGCCGTCCTTGAAGTTTTCCCTGCAGTAGCATTTCTGTACTACCGCATCAACTTGCATTCATATATCGTCTTTCACATAAAGGAATGACTCAAAGTCCTTGAAAAATAACGTGGTGGACACTGAGCAAGGAAATAAGAGATTCAGAAAGCTGGACTGAAGGCAAAATGAAAGAGGAACTACCTACAGAGGACTTGAAATTCCGTTAGACATACAACAGTTGAGTAAAGCTGCCTGGACGGTGGTCGCATGTTTTTTGTCAGGAAAGTTGTATCATTTAAGTATCAATCTTGAGCAGAGTCAAGAACTGATGGCATGATGTAGCTAATCAGAAACTGTTTCAGGAGCAAAGCTCTAACACTGGTTGAACAAGCAGAATGAGATCATAATTGCTGGCTGGATATGGTGCCTGAATTTAAATGTCACTTTCAACAAGCAATGGAAGTGCAAACTTCATGACAAGCAGAAGAGTATGGTGAGGCTAGAGGAGGAGCTACCTGAGTTCCAGGGGTCAACTTGCCCTTGCCCATTCCTTCATGAGCTACAAAAGGATTCTTTTTGTTGCCATTGACAATCTTGCCTGGTGCAGATAAAGGAGGGATGGATAGAAGTTAATAGTCAAAGGAATTATGTCAGCGCTTCCAGTCTCACATGGGTACGAATGCAGATGGCATAACAGGATCTGAAGGCTAGTGTGAAGGTAAGAGACATACAAACCTGATGCTGGACTGTGTATCCATTTGCAACATGTCTACATGTTGCATGTGTCCTCACTAATAGGGGCCAACATAATGGAGACCTTTCTTCCCATTGGAGATTCTGAGATGGATTCAAAAGCCATAGGAGGAAGCATGTGAAGTTTTAGAGACATAGTGAAATTGCTAGGGAGTTATTTTCTCCAGGAGTAGAAAGAAAAGGCAGTGAGGTTTGAGACGGGCAAAAAGATATGAATGGTGAAGGAGATGAAGAGTGATTGAAAACAGCCTTTTCTGAATGAAATCTGTACCTTGTTTCCTCTGAAGATTTTTCCATATCTGGCAATCACAATTTTTCCTGTACAGTTTATGTCCAGTTCTCTTTCCAGCTGGAAGAAATCCTGAGTTCGAGCATAGTTAACGTAGACCAAGTCCCCCTGAATATGAATACACAGCGCCAAAATAATAGTAATAAAAATAATAATTCTTACATTGAACTAAATCTTGTCTTCTCCCTTGCAGTTTTCTGCCTTAAGATACATTTTACACTTCCTTGCTTTCCATTGTGAACAGTACAAGGAATAATAAAATAATTTTAAAATGGGAAGGGGCAAGCATTTTGGCATTTCATTTTTTAAATATCCTCTTCTTGAAACATTTTCTTACCACTTCGACCTTTTATAATCCCTTAAATTATTATAATATTAGTGTTCCTTACCATAGGGGTTCCTTGTGGAGAATAGGCATTGAATGGTGCTACCAGCCCTTTTATATTTTCATATCCAGGGGGCACTGGCTCAGCTAGAGATGTGTTGAAAATCTGCAAATAATGTAACAAGTCTATTAATCACATATATTCAATGCTAAGCAGCAAAAAAATCAACAACATGTAGACATAGACATTGTGGGACAGATGTTTTAAAATCATAAAAGTTATTTTCACGCCTTCATCGCATCCAGGCTTGATTACTGGACTGCCCAGATCCTCCCAAAACAAGCTGAGACAATCCAGAGCTCTACAATCTGTGTCCTCTCCCGCAGCTGGCTCCGTGAGCCCATCATCCCTATTCTCGTTCGTGCATGTTACATTGGAGCCAGTGCAGTTCCATGGAGAACCACGTCCCAAACCCTGGGTTTTGGCAACAACATTTACAGTTGTATATTGTACAGTTCACTTTACAATATATTCTGTGAAGTGCTTTGAAACGTCTCAAAGTTGTGGTAAAGCGCTATATCAAATAAAGGATTATTATTATTATTTTCCAGCAATGTACAGGGTGACCAAAGAATCGTGATAACTACCCTATTATCTACATTAAAAAAATCTAATTTCTTTAAGACTTATTAGACATTGTAACGGTATCACGACTTTTGGTCACCTTGTGCATCTTTTTACGATGACTCATTTACAAATGGCCTCCTGCTGCCAAAAAAAATAATATTATGAAGAAGGTAGATACATTGGAGCAATTTCCAGGCTGTTACTTGCTCTCAAGGGTAAAAATAACTATTACAAGAATAAACTGACTTTAATTGCATGCTTATTTCCTGAAATAACCTAATACCTCAGTGAAAGCTCCCACATAATCACATGACCTAGTTTCAGCCAGTACAATCTAGACCAAAGTTCACAGAGTACAGCAAACCTACATATGTCATATCAGTTGGGACCATACATGACTTATGCAAAGTATGATTCATATCAAACTTACATAGAATATAAAATCTTGAACAAGACTTGGTCAGATGTGTGACTTAGGCGATTATACGATTTATACAGATTAGACTTGGGCGAGTTTTATTCTACTCTTAGAACTTTTATTACCAATTTCTCTTGCCATATTTACTTAGATCTAAGGCTCACTTTATTTCATTTAAATGTTCAATGGAACTGGTATAAATCCATAAAATTCAAACTCATGTTTAAAATAATAATAATAAACATAATAATATTCATTTGGCATGGTGTCTTTCTTGTCGGGAGGACATCCTTCACGGAATTTAATGTGAAGTGCAGTGACTGTGTATTTGTAGGAAAAATCTTATAGTGAGAGGGCATAGCGGGTTTGACTCCAAATGCGGACAGCTGGTCAGCCCACTCCATATGTATCAACCAGTTCCTGCATTAAAGAAAAAATCAGGATGTGACATTAGAAGTGACCTGATGACCTAGGTTTTGGCCTTTTTTTAGTGCAGAAAACTAAAATGGCCGATGTCCAGGTCAATAGATAATCGGTTGCATCACATCCTGTTTTGCTCATGTACAGCAAAGCATGAAGTGACGTTGATAGCAACATAATGACCTGGAGGTGTGAAAAGCTGGCTGACTTGCGGGAAGTGAGCAGGCTGACTGCCTGCATGAGCATGGAATGGGGTCCTCAATTGTGTTATAAGCAAAAGTGAAATGCGTTATAATAGAGTTGATCCTCCGAAATTAGTGTGCGCCTTCGAATCAATGACAACTTAGAATTGTAGGAAAGTTCCCTTTTTTCTCTAAATCTTCTCAAATCTGCCTGTGCCTTAGATTCGGGGATGCCTTAGGTTTGAGGCACTTCAGATTAACAAATGTAGAGATGGAATTAAATATATAGATGTAATGAAAGGGTAACACTTCACCTCATTCTCATGTTCATCCATAATAGAGATGTAATTAGGACTGCTTTCATTGGGATAAGACAGCAGAACATCATAGTGGACCAGTTCAACTGAATCCAGTCCCCAATTCTTCCATTGGCTGTGAATCTGTTGGGCTAACTGGAGATTCATTTCAGTCCCCGCCAAATGAGGATGCAGAGTCCAGTTTCTGGATGAAACAAAACAAGAATTAACTGAATAATGTTAATAATCCTTGCCTTTGATATCGTGCCTTATCACATCTTTGAGACGTCTCAAAATGCTTGACAGAATATACTGTAAAGTGAATTGACTTTATTTTTGTGGGTGAAATACAATGCATCATCAAAATAGGAATTAGATTTGTATGTAGAATAACCATTGACAAAGAGTCAACATTATTTAATTTCTTATGTGGTCCAGCTGGACTGTCACATAATAAATTGGAAAACATAAAAGTGGTGAGATTGTTCACAAGGTCACGAGATCCGGCTGGATGAAGAAGGCCCATCTGATATCCAGAACACCCACCCCACTATACCTCCATCACAGCATCAAGCTGTTTTTTTAAATGAGTCCAGTGCCCTGGCCTCGACCACTTTTCCTGGTAAAAATCGCTGATTACCCTCTGCATAAAGAAAAATTTCCTGGTAACTGTCCTTAACAACTCTAAATCTATGTTCTCTACCATCAGGATACAATTTGAAGTATTGTATTGATCTGCGTTTACTTTTTCAATTCCATTCAAAATGTTGTGCTCCTCTATGTGTTCCCCTCTGAGTTGTCTTCTCCCAAGATTTCAGAGCCCTAGCTTGTCTAATCATTGATATTAATTTATATTAATTGTTGATATTAATTCAGCAACAATTTAGGTTTACATAGCATTTGTACAGCCAGACACACATCCCTAGAGTTTCAGTAACAGCTGTTTATCTCTATTTCTGCATACCAATCAAGGTACATTCAAGCCCTAGATTTATGAACAACTTAACCATAATTTGCTGTTCAGACTTTAGAGGAAAAATATATTGCTTCTTACTGTAGATATGTTCTGATATTTCCAGCTTTCATTTCATTGAGCAGTTTCATCCTCACATTTTGTAGGTTTGCAGAAGAGTGGGAGGAGGGTCGTCCAAACCAACCTAAAAGAGAAGATTTTGAGTTGCAGTGTGGAACAACAGAAGTAATTGAAACACTTTTATTGAAAAGAAAGCAGTAACTACTCTTACTAAATACTCTGAAATGCCACCTTACATGAAGGGCATTATATAAATGCACAGTCACTACATTTTACAGTAAATCATATGAAGGGTTTTGAGACACCCTCTTGAAGTGAAAGGCACGATAATAACTTATTATTATTACTAGTTTTAACCATATGGTTATCCATCTGTATGGGTTCTTAAATACCTGTATTACTTCAAATTTGACCACATTGTGATTTAGACACTGATAATAGCAGAATTCCCCAAGACAGAAAGAATCCCTTTGCCCCATCGAGTCCCGCACTGGCTCACAGAGCAAGAAGGTCAATTTAATCACACCGTACCCGCCCAATTCCTGCCCCCCTTCAAGCCCTTCTCTTTCATATCCTGATACCCATTCATCAAGAGCTTGTCCAATGCAACTCAACAGCCAGAACTTGCATTTATATGGCAGCCCTCATGCAGGGTAGTGTGCCAAGGTACAATCAGTCAGGAGGTCGCTAGTTGCGCAATCTAAAAACTCAATCCAAATTAAATCCAAAATCTAATTTCAAATTCATTTGAAATCTGTTTTATGCTCGTCAAAAAGCCTAGCCTCTGAAGACGAGAGCGATAGCTACAAAAAGCTGTCCTTTCACTTCATTTCACAAAGTGAAATGCTACATACTTACCGATGATAAAACCAAGGAAGAACACTCCAGTTAGTATAAGCAAGATGCACAACCATCTGTAAGAACTGTTGCCCGATCTCATATTTTCACTACTTTTTGTGGTTTACAGTAATCCTGATTTATCCCTTCCTTGTTGTTATTATATTCTTTCTCTCTCTCTCTGTTACTGATGCTGATCTCACTTGCTCTGTTTTTCTCTTTGCTACCAAAGTATAAATAACAAATTGCAACCTTGGAGATTTGCATCTCATTGCCAAATTTGTGCAGGAATGTGAACATTTTTCCTGGAGTGTAAAACATTAACCCATTCACACATTGTGTGTCAGCCTGGTTCAGTTGGTAGCACTTTTGCTTCTGAATCAGAAGGTTATGGGTCCAACAATAACAACAAATTACATTTGTAACAACTTGGATTTATATAGCGCCCTCCATGCCGGACGGTGTCTCAGAGCGCTTCACAGTAACGGATCCCTGGCCCGAGCCAGGGGGAGGGGGAGGAAGGTGACCAAAGGTGCAGTCGAAAAGAAAGGTCTTCAGCCGAGACCTGAAAATAGGAAGAGAGGGGACGAGGCGAAAGGAGTGCGGAAGGGAATTCCAGAGCCTCGGGGCGTAGTGGCTGAAGGCACGGCCGCCGTTGGTGGAGCCGAGGATTCAGGAGACAAGGAGTAGCTGGTGAGGGATCGGATGTGGGGGAAGAATAATAATTGGGGGTCGAACCTGACGCCTAGGTTGCGTACGGGTTCGCAGAGTTTTAGTGGGAGGTCGGGTAGGTGGAGGAGGTGAAAACCATGTGATTTTAGATGTTGACAGGAGCTAAAGAGTATTCAATCTTGTCAAAATACAGCTGAAGGAAATTTGAGTTCATCCAGCTCCTGAGATCTGACAGAGCATCAGGGGACTAGGGTGTCGCAATGTGAGGTGGAAAAATAGAGCTGGGTGTCATCTGCATACATGTGGAAGTGTACCCCATGTCTGCGTATGACATCCCCAGGATGGAACATGTCGATCAGAAAGAGGAGGGGGCCAAGGATGGATCTTTGGGGTACCCTGCAGGTAACTGGGTGTACAGCGCCTTTCGCATTGGGAGGACGTCCCAAGAGGCTGGATAGTCAGAGATTTGTACCTGAGCAGAGGGTTGGGATCAGGCAGGGTGGAGAGCAGTGAGGGTCGGGGTAGGAGGTTGGAACCCAAATGCGCGGTCGAAGAGGATGTTGAGTCCAAGCCCAAAGTTGAGACTCGGAACCCATATACTCTATCAGTTGGGACCATACATTTAATATGACTTATATAACGTATGAGTTAAGTGAAACTTATAAATAATAGGAAATTCAACAGGATTTGGGCAGATGTACGACTTACTCGAGTTTTACTGTTGCTGTAGTGATTCTAATATTTCAATCCTTTTGACATTCTGTTAATTGGATTATTATGCTCTTTTTGTATGTATTTTGTGCATAGTAGATTTTGACTAATTTATACTGTTTTTCCTTTCTAAATGTTAGTCTGCTAAAACTATCTGAAAACCTTTGAGATAAAACAGAGTCTCTCGTTGGATCTTGCTGTGCCTAGGATTGATAATTTTAGGTCATTATTGAAGAAAGTTGGGTCCCCTTATTTCAACTTCTTATTTCTACAGATGCGCTCAAGCAAAGAAGAATGTTTTAATGAGATGTTCTACGTTACGTGAACAGAAGGGGAGTTTGGCATATTGTGATGTGATTGGAAAGTAATGATTGACTGGAAAGAGGAAGAGTAAGAACTAGATCAAGGAAAAAATGTTGTATAAGTATTGGTACTGAATAACTGAAAGTTGAAACAGTCTCCATAAGAAATAAAGGCAAGTGTTTCCCGGTTTGGTAAATAAACCTTTCCGTACGTGCACTGGCTATATAAAGGTCTTTTTAATAAAATCGGTTGTTGAAGGGGCATCTGTATCTGTGAGCTTGATTATCTTGGTGTTTGAAATCTTAAATTATGAATAGTTAAACTTCAAGGAATTTATCTGTAGTAGATATAATATACGATTGACCCACCTGCAGTCAACAGAGAGGATAGGTTGGTATGGAGTTAACAGGTCACAGAGATAGGGAGGAGCAAGGCAGTGGAGGGTTTTGAAAGCAAGGATGAAGACTTTGAACTCTATCCTCTGGGGGATGAGAGCCAGTGGAGCTGGACGAGGGTGGGAGAGATGGGGTCATGGAGCTTGCTGCGGGAGAAGACACAAGCTGTAGAGTTCTGAATAATCTGCAGCTTGTGGAGGGCAGCATTGGGAAGTCCATCAAGCAGGGAGCATGATAGAGCCTGGATGTGATGAATGCATGGATGAGGGTCTCAGAGGCCTGAGGAGAGTGGCAGTTGTGAAGCTAGGCGATGTTGTGGAAGTAGAAGAAGGCAGAATGGATCATGGCATGTGTGTGGAGATTAAAGACAGTTGAGGGTCAAACAAGATGCCAAGTTTCCGTCCCAAAATTCACAACATTTTCAGAAATTGGTTGATAAAAACAACTGTCAAATCTCACACTAATGTGTTATTTTACTTTTATACTGCTAATACATGCTTTTGTTCGAGTTTTGAGTAACCTAAGCATCAGGACAGGTGTCCTTCCTACCCCATATCCAGTCCATGACCAGAATCGCTTTCCTCCATCTCCGTTACATTGCCCTCCTCCGACTATACCTACATCTAACGCAGTCAAATCCCTTATTCATGCTTTCATCACCTCTCGCCTCAATTATTCTGATGCCCTCCTCGCCAATCTCCTAATTCCACTAGCCACAAAATCTAATTAATTCAAAACTCAGTCGCTCATATACTCACCTGCTCTAAACTCTGTACCCCCATCACACCAGTCCTTGCCAGGCTCCATTGGCTCCCTATCATGGAATGGATCAACTTCAAGATCCTCACACTTGTCTATAAATCCCTTCACGCCCTGGCACCTCCCTATCTCTCTGACCTGCTTTCTCCCCACTCCATGACCCTCTGTCTCTGCTTGGCAACCTCTGGTCTCCTGCTTGTCCCTCATGCCCTCTGCTCTACCGTCCGCAACCATGCTTTCAGCCACTGTGCCCCAAAACTTTGGAACTCTGTCGCGCAGTCTTCCCACCTTGTCACCTCCTTACCCATTTTCCGATCATTTCTAAAACCTTCCTCTTCGACAGTGCTTATCAGCCCCCTCTCCCTGGCTTGTTGTTGTTTTGCTGCTGTCTGTGTGGCATTCTTGGTGTTCACTTTGTTGCAAAAGAGAATGACATGCTTATAAATAAATATATTGGTGCACATTTTTTTATGATTTGTTTCATTTTTCAACTGGTTTGGCTCAGACTGTTGTTCATTTGCCACACTTGTGGCTCAGTACAAATCTGTTTTTGACAACACTGTACTGGGTCAAGTGTTTTACATCTAATAATTCATACTGGAAGCACTGACATACCTTACTTAAAATCTGTACTCAGCTGCCCTCAGCCTTCTGATCATCTGGCAGGTTGCCAGTGGAAATAAACATGGGAAACTTAATTTCTAACATAGTCAGTTTCCTGAAGTAAGGCGTTGCAACTCCAAATAAAACATTTTAACTCAGAGATCCCCTCACTTGAGGTAAAATTCCTTACCTGGACTTACCTCTGAATTGCAAAGGAACCGCTTGGGGAAAGGTAAACAGGGGTTAAGCAAGCTCACAGATGATGTGTTTGACAGCAGACTGTTGGAATTAAATCTGTGGTGGTCTTGGAAGACTGGTTTCCAAGCCAGTAGGATCCACAGTACTCCAGGACACTCCTGATGCCATCTCCCCTCTACTTTTCTTAAATTCCTACCATAAAGCCTATCCAACCACACCTAAGGTTACTTCCCCCTCCCATTTCTCCCTTGCTCAGCATCTTATCCCATCACTATGAAGCATTCCAAAATATTATCCTCTGTGAAGGACGTTATATAAATGCAAGTTGTTATTGATGATGGTATACCAGCCAGACTTACTCATCAACAGGACTTGGACAGGTAGAACAGTCACTAAAAGCAAGGATTCTTCCTATTCAACCCCACTAATACTATAAGGCAAAGCACTAATTGGTAGGTTAATCCTACCTGGACAAACAGCAGGAAGCTGCCAGATAGTGCTCTCAACAACAACAACAAGATTGCATTTATAGAGCGTTTTTCACATCGGGAGGATGTCTCAAGGTGCTGGACAGTTGGGTCGGGACCCGAGCAGGGGGAAATGGTCAGGGTGAGGGGAGGGAAAGGAGGGAGTGAGGAGGGGGTAGAGAGTCGAGAGGGGAGGTGAAGGCACGGTTGAAGAGAAAGGTCTTGAGACCGGCCTTGAAGGAGGAAAGGGAGGAAGCAAGGCGAAGGCACTGGGGGATGGAGTTCCAGAGCCTAGGGGCTGAGAGACTGATGGTAGGGCGGTTAGGGCAGGGGATGACCGGAGCCAGAGGAATGGAGGGTACGGGCAGGTAAGTAGGGGGATAGTAGGTCGGAGAGGTAGGAGGGAGCAAGGCCGTGAATGGCCTTGTAGGTGAGGATGAGTATGAGGTTCTTGAATTCGAGCTCAATGGCAAGCTATGCTTGCAGTATCCCAACATATCCTCTAGGGCTCTTAGGTAAGCAGGATGCATCCCTTCAGGAAAAGAGTGTGTAATCCATTCCAGATAAAGCAAAATTTCCATGTGTTGGCGGAATACGTACGTGGAACACTTAAGTATGATGATGAGTTTTGGCATGTATCAGGCACCCAGCTGAGCCCCCCAAAATTCTAATTGAACTACATTTTCCCAGCGCCCAGAATAACAATCTTCCAGAAAGATTGAACATTAATTTCATGTCTGTTTGTGTGCAAATTGGCTTTTGTGTTTTCTGACAGATACACAATCACTACACTTGACAGAAATTACAGGTTAAGTTCTTTAAGATGTTGTGACATAGTTAGAGTTATATCAAATAGTGTTAATTTTAATGTGCCAGATTCAAAAAATGGCCTGTGAATTAAGTTGAGGATGTTGTGTGAATTCCCTCACTGTTTTATGAATCACAAAATGGATGGATCAAGTTTCAACTTTCTGCATAATTTCTATGTTGAGTACTACATCATAGAAGTGATTGGAATTCATCCTTTGCAGGCATGTACGTTCTTATAGGCCTTATGGGGCGAAGAGGCCCCTATTGCTCTTCGCCATTATTACCGCACTCACTTTTTTCCCCAGCTAGGCCTCATAAACTGTAAGACCTATTCTGCCCCCTGCAGTACTTTTCTCTGTGAGCTTTGAAGCTTGGGCTCTGTTATTATGTGTTGCATAAATAATAGTAACAATAATCCTTGCATTTGATATAGAGCCTTATCACCATCGTTGAGACGTCTCAAGGCGCTTCACAGAATATACTGTAAAGTAAATTGACTGTCTATTTTGTGGACAAAATGTGGCAGCCAATTGTGCTCAGGTGTGTCCCACAAACAAATGTGAACACATTTTTTATTTACACTGGTTATGTTCACTAAGGAGTTGTTAGACTTAAGAGTTAAAGGGAAGAGAATGTGAGGGAATGAAAGGGAAGCAATGTACCTTAGCCCTGATCTCAAACTATTCATAATCAAATTTCATGGATTGTGCTTAAATATTATTGTGCAGTACAGCTTATTTGAGTATATGTTGGGGGGACCTTGTTCAGACATCGTATTTTTTTAAATCTTATCTCACAGTCCTCTTTTAAATAGACAATATACCAAATACCAAAGGATTATTAACCTTATGACTATTGGTTACGAGTGATCTCGGGACTTTATTTTTCCAATTTGTAATCACTGATACAATTGTGGCAGACTTGTTGAATACCCAAATATTCAATTGTTCCTTTGTACTTAAATGTAAAGCTGCCTTTTTTTAAAAAAAGTACAAAACTCAGCAACTTTGGGGTCCAGGTTTGACTTTTTTTTATTTGAAACTGGTTGAGTGTATGTACACTGGAGAACACCTGGAACTGAGGGCTTAGCTCACAGCTGCTTGGAAGACAAGCAGTGCATTAACCTGATGTTTAGCTTGTCTGTTCCCGTTTTCAAGCAGATTCAAGTTTTTCTTTTCCATGAGAAAATCTGATTCCTGTAGTTTTTTTCAAAAAGAAACTAAACATTTTGAGAAACAAGAAAAAAGACTCTGGTTTTAAACCTACGTTTCTCAAGCCTTTTGAGGTACACAGAATAGGCAAACAGAGTGGTTAGAGTTACTGAAGCACGTCCATAAGTACCTGCTATTATCTCTTGAATCAGGCTCTGCACATCTCCTATCTTCCCATCTTTTCCCCTATCTTCAAAACCTCTATTATGCATCACAGTCCTGTAGCTCAGTGGTTAGAGCACTCGCCTCGCAAGCGAGAAACCTGAGTTCGATTCTTGGCAGTTGAAACCTTGGGAATGTTTCCTTACTCCACACGCCTGATAATAATCCCTCAAGAAAAAAAATAAATTGGTCACTTCAATCCACAACTGTTTTTGGGACACTGCTGTGCGCAAATGGCTGCACATGTCGCCCACAAATATACAGTCAATTCACTTTACAGTCTATTGTGTGTGAAGCGCTTTGAGACGTCTAGAAGACATAAAAAGCGCTATATGAAATGCAAGGATTATTAGTATTATATTATGTCTGTACATGTGTCACTGGCTCAGTCACTCTCGCCTCTGAGTCAGAAGGTTTAAGCTCCACATCAGGAGTAAAAATTACAGTCTGAGTTGAAACTCCAATGCAGTGCTGGTGGTGTGCTGCATTGTTGGAGGTACTGTCCTTTGGATGAGATGTTAACCTGAGGTTTGTCTGCCTGATCAGGTGGATGGTAAAGATCCCATGGCACTACTCAAAAAGAGAAGGGAGTTTCTCCTGGTATCCTAGCTAACAATCCCTCAAACAGAAATGGTCACTCACTTCATGGTTATTTGTGGGATATTACTGTGTACAAATTGGCTATCATGTTCGCCGCTAGACTTCTCAGTAAAACCAAATGAAAAGATTATTTTTATCATCTGTGGTATCATTCTCTTAAATCTCTACTGCAATATTATGCAACCCCATCAACACTGGAATAACAAGAGGTATTGAAGGAGTGGTATGATTTCCAGAGTGGATGAACGTAAGCCACTATCGATATGTAAATAGTCCTTTAGCTGTGTGGTTCACATAGAACCATGGTTTAAAACTTTTCCGAAAGCTATGGTTCAACAAATGGCAGTTACTTATTTGCCAATTTCTTAGGACTGGTCCACATTAATGTATATGGTTTTGTTGAATGTTACACATGAAATGCTGGAGACATCACCTGTAGTTGCACGTGTTAATGGGCAATGAAGCAAGCACCACCTGAGGTGCTACATTTACATAGCATGCAGCTGACTAGCAGTTGAAATAGTTACACTCCAAAAAGATTTATGTTTAAAAACTGTTATGGAGCTGAGAAATTGTCTACTGTGTTTGCCTATAAAATACACTAAACAGTAAATCCTGTAAAGTGTTTTGAGCTGTCCTCCCTACATGAAAGACGCTATATCAAATGCAATAATTAATAGGTTTATTATTATTAAAGGTTCAGGGTTGTGAAGAGCATTTTGTGGACAGACACCAGGATGTCTACCTTTACACAAAGGGTAATCAACAGCTTGAACCGATTAGATTATGTTCACAGAATTGTTTGGAATGAGTACATCTGAATGGGTGACTATAAATGTTTGTTCAAACATTTTGTTCTTTGAGTCCTGAAAGCCAATCCAGAAATGTTGGATGTTGTAATACTGTAAAAGATTAACTTGTTGGGATAATCAAATAAATTGTTTCCCATTATTACCCAATTCCACTAATTGTATTTGGTTATGAAGAACAACATATTTTTCTCTTTGAGTTAGCTGCAAATATATGAAAAGGGAGTTGATTATTGTACGGCTCCTACTAATAATAATCGTTGCATTTGATACAGCGCCTTTCACATTGGGAAGATGTTTCAAAAAGCATTTCATAGGATTTACTGTCAAGTGACTATGTATTTCATAGGTGAATTTCACAGTCAATTTGCACACTGCAATGTCCCACAAACACCTGCAAAGTGAAATGACCAATTTTATTTGGGGATTATTGACCAATTGCTGTGCGCAATTGGCTGCTGCGTTTCGCCCACACAATATACAGTCAATTCATTTTATAGTATATTTTGTGAAGCGCTCTGAGGTGTCTTGAAGACGTAATAAAGCACTATATCAAATGCAAGGTTATTATTATTAACTCCTTTCTTTTTTCAAATAGTATCATGGGATCTTTAATGTCCACCTGAACATAGAGATAGAGAACATAGAGAACATAGAGATGGGGCCTTGGTTTAATGTCTTATCTGATTGATGGCACCTCCAACGATGTAGCACCCCTCAGCACTCTATTGGAGTGTCAGTCGAGACTGTGAGTATAAAGACCTGACATTAGATTATAAACTCAAGTCGTGGTGTGGGGCTCAACCCTCAAGCTTCTCAACCAAAAGGCCAAAGTTTAACCAACTGAGTCAAATTCATACTTCCTCATTTGAACAGTTTTCCAAAAGAATCCTTCTTTGGGCTAATTTTGTACTTTCATGAAATCAAATCATTCCTGTACCAGAAAGATATAATCCAATGGGAGTACATCTCCTCCCTCTTCAGATCTCCGCCTCTTCTCCATACTTATAACTTGACAAGAAGGACATCATAGCTTTCCTGAATGTGAGGGTGAATACAGAGAGATTGAGAGAAGTGTGGTTGAAAAGCTGAATAATTGGTGCTTCAGAATGTTTTGTGTGGTGAAGGTACATTTGCAAATCCTGTTAATTTTGAATTTTCTTGAACAGATTTAATAAATCTTGCATAATGCTTTTCTTTTCTTATTAGGGAATTTTTCTGACTTTCATCCTTTTCCAGTACAGCAATGAAGATAAGAACTCAGTTGTTGACAAATGCTTGAAGGTAAGTGTTTCTGTCAAGCCCCCTCTAGATTTGAAGAATCATAGAATTTAAAATATACAAGGACGCCATTTAGCCCATTGTGTACATAAAGTAGCTACTCATTCAGTCTTTAGCTTTCTCTTTCTCCATAACCTTTAACATTTTTCTTTTGCTGTTTGTATATTTCTGTTTTTCTTCTTCTTTCTTCTTTATCTCTGATTCTCTTGGTCTCTTTCCATTCCTCAATCTGTCACAGACACAAATGAGACTGTGTTTGTCTCATTTTTTTCTCTACCGTCTGCCTATTTGTCCGTCTCTCTTTCTCTCTACCTCTATCTTACTCTATCACTTTCTCTCTGTGCCTCCATACATATCTCTCTCATTCTATGTCTTCTCTCTTTGTTTATGTACCTCTCTCACTGGAGTCATGAATGAAGCATTCCAAGACATTATCCTATGTGAAGGTAGCATAAATCCACGTTGTTGTTGTATAGCAAGAGGGATAAAACATAATTCCCAAGAAGCAATAAAGGGTTTGTATGTATCCAACTCCATGTGTGCTATCTTGGTGCTCATTGTACAGTATACTACAGTAGAGATATCTTGCTTTGGTGAGGATGCAAAGAAGGGCAATTCAGTTGATGCATGGATTCAGTCATCTGAAACTAGGAATGTTTATACTTATACTATATAAAAAAAGTTTATACTTGAAAACCAAAAAAAGGGAACTTGTCTTTTCTGTACCTTCTTATGTTATTTGGTCATTCATGGCATGTACTCAGTGTTTAATTGATTATGAAACTGATACTTAGCATATTATCTGAAATCTTTTAGGGAATCTCGATGGCCCCATGGATACAGTATACAACACGTCTGTTGAGTGATATAGAAAACATTGTTACATCATTAGAACACGACATGGAATCCTGTAAGTGTATTCAGATTCAATGATAATACTAAAATTCTGTAAAATTTATTGGTACAAAATGAAGTCTTAAAGTTTGCGGCATTTCATAACAATTTTCTTGTGTTAAGTAACCTGTTAAGAAATGTTGCTACTTTCTTACTATGTTTTAACTAAGGATCAGCTGCCATCATTGACTCACCTGCTTTAACACTTTGTCTCATCTCAATCCCAGCTGCCAATTTCGATGCCGTGACCCTACTTAAATCTGTCGGCCAGGAGGCAGGAGTAAAGGTTAATGACTCAATTCAGTTTCCTCTTTCAGAGAATTGAAATGCCCACTTTATCTGAGTTTTTCTACAGATGTTAGCAAATAGCTCATGATTGCTAGTAAGTGATAAAGAAAAACAGGGGGAGGCAGAGTTGGCTCTTTGCCAAAGTCCCCAACATGAAGATCTGAATTAAACGATTGGTGCTGAGTACACCTGGTATACAGCAAGCTCTCAAGTTCTGCACCTCCAAATGGTGGAACCATCGCTCAATGGGTAGGGATGTGTATTCAAGCAGAGGGAAGGATGATGATAATCCCACACATTTCATGCTGTTGACCAGGAATCTCACTGGCAGTTCCTGGCACCAGTTATCCCCGACTGAAGGTTCAAACCTGGGTTTGTCAGATGTCAAATGACCAACTATCCTTCTTGCGGGGATTGGTAGGAAGGATCTCCTTGGAGCTGATGTGCTTGGCAACTAAATGCTGGAATTGACTCAAACTGCTGTGGCAGTCTCTGCAGTCCAGTTCACTGCAGGCATTCTTCCCATTCAGCTCTTGTTCACCCTGCAAGGTAAACTCTAATGGGCAGGGTGGTCCTAGCTGGACAAATCAATGGGAAGCTTGCCAGGCAGTGCTTTCAATTGTAAGATATGTAGTTGTTGTTGTAGCTGGTTAAAACCCCATCAATACCCCAATGCCCATTCTGCCCCACTCTCTGGAACTCCATTCCGCAGTCCCTCTGCCTCGCCCCCTCCCTTGTCTTCTTCAAAACCTTCGGTCACCCTTCTTCCCTCCTGTTCTCCACGCTTCCTGATACCGACCACCAGCTTGGGTCCGAAACACTGAATGGCCAGTGCCTTGGAACATTCTCCCGATGTGAAAGGCGCTATATAAATATAATTTTGTTGTTGTTATTTTGTTCCCTCCACTTGATTACGTGCGTGCTCTGTTATGCAGGATGCCACAGCACCACAGTCAGCTGGCGCGGGTACCAGGTGTAACTGCAGTGCATGGTACATACGTATGTGCTCTGTGACGCACAATGCCACAGTGCCACTTTGCCACTTCGGCGTAAACCAGGTGTAACTGCACCGAAAACCGCAAAACTGAAAATAAATATCGATAGGAGATACCCGAAAACAAATATGTGCATATCACTCCCAGGTGCAAGAACTTTTCAGATGAGGTATAAATCATATCTCTATGTCAATCGGTTATTGAGATCCTTCTTGAACCCCAAGACAGACATTGTTGTTTTATTAGTATACATAACAACAAAATTACTTTATAGAGCGCCTTTCGCGTTGGGAGGATGTCCCAAAGCGCTGAACAGTCAGATGTCGGGGTCCGAGCATGGGGGAGAGATGGTGTAGGGGTGAGTGAAGGCAGAGAGGTGGGAGGGAGACCAAAGTTGGTCGAAGAGAAGGGTCTTGAGACTGGTCTTGAAGGATGTGAGGGAGGAAACGAGGTGAAGGCACTGTGGGACTAAGTTCCAGAGTGTGGGGGAAGAGAAGCTGAAGGCCCCTCCACTGATGGTAGGGCGGGAGACATGGAGCAGGCCGGAGCCTGATGAACCGGAAGGAGCAGGCAGGTTGGTAGGGAATCAGCAGTCAGAGAGATAGGAGGGGGCAAGGCCATGGATGGTACTAAAGGTGAGGACGAGGATCTTGAATTTGATCCGCTGGGAGATGGAGAGCCAGTGGAGTCAGGCGAAGGTGGGAGTGATGGGGTCACGGAGCCTGGTGCAAGAGAGTACATGAGCTGCAGAGTTTTGGATGATCTGCAGCTTGTGAAGGGAAGAGTTGGGAAGGCCGATGAGGAGGGAGTTCCTGTAATGAAGCCTTGAGGTGACGAATGCATGAGTGAGGGTTTCGGCAGCTTGAGGGGTGAGGAAGTGGCGGAGTCTGGCAATGTTGCGGAGGTGTTGGTAGGCAGTGCCAATCATGGCGCGGATGTGGGGGAGAAAGGACAATTCAGGGTCAAACAAGATACCCAGGTTCCTGACTGGCTTAGGGAGGTTGAATGTGCAGCCATGGAGGCTGATGCTGCCAGCGACTGAGGTGCAGAGGCGCTGGCACGAGCAAATCAGGAGGGCCTCGGTCTTATTGACGTTGAGTTGGAGAAAGTTGTCCCTCGTCCAGGACTTGATGTTGGACAGGCAGTCAGTCAGGACGCCAGTAGTCCTGGAGTTCAAGGTGGAGGCAGAGAGATAGAGTTGGGTGTCATCTGCATACATGTGGAAATTTACCTCATGTCTGCGGATGACATCACCAATGGGGAGCATGTAGAGGGTGAAGAGGAGGGGACCGAGGACAGAGCCCTGAGGAATACTGCACGAGACAGTGCGGGGGCTGGAGGAGAAACCGTTTGCTGCGACGAAGTGGTGGCGGTGTGAAAAGTAGGACTGAACCAGTCAAGGATGGAACCTTGAAGGTTGAGGTGCAAGGAGAGGCGGTGGAGGAGGATTGAGTGATCCACGGTGTCAAAGGTAGCGGAGAGGTCGAGAAGGACGAGGAGGCAGAGGGAGCCCTGGTCACACATGGTCAGGATGTCGTTTGTGACCTTGACCAGAGCAGTTTCCACACTGTGGGTAGTACGGAAACCCGATTGGAGGGGCTCGCGGAGGGAGTGGGAGGAGAGGAAAAAGCGAAGCTGGGAGGCAACAGCTCTCTCAAGGACCTTGGATAGGAAGGGGAGATTTGAGATGGGCCAGTAGCTAGATAGCTGCGATGGGTCGAGGGAAGGTGGGGGTGATAATGGCTGTTTTGAGGACAACAACAATATAACAACAACTTGTATTTACATAGCGCCCTTCATGTGGGGTAGCGTCACAGAGCACTTTCAGGTTGGGAGGACATTTCAAAGCACTTCACAGGATTTACTGTAAATTGTGATGACTGTATTTTTGGTGGCAAATCTGGCAGCCAATTTGCACAGTAATGTCCCACAAGTGGCATCAAGTGAATGACCAATTTTACACAGGGAATTGTTGGCCACAATACCAGGAGAACCTTCCTTCTATTTTCAAATAATGCTATGGATCTTTAACGTTGAACTGAGCAGGCAGCGCTTCCAACAATGCAGCACACCCCCAGCACTGTACTGGAGTGTCAGCCTGGATTGTGAGTTCAAAGTCCTGACATGGGGCTTGAACCCATAATCTTCTGAGTCAGAGGTGAGAATGCTACCACCTGACCCAGGCTGTCAGCAGGCTGATACTTCAGTGGCACGATTACAATCTCATTAGTAATTTTTAAGATTAGAGATTTAATATAGTTACTTTACAAGATTTAATACAGAAAGGAAAGTCTGGTTCTATGTGAAGAAAAGATTATGGAAAGAGAAGTGAGAAGGGCTGACTGTGTGGGGGAAATAAAAAGAACCAGTATTTTACATGGAAACAGGCAAGAGTGGCACTGTGTAAGGGAAAAACAGAAAGAAAAGGTTAGCACTGGATTGATGTTTGGGCCATTGCTCTGTTAAATAATATGGAAGAAGGAAAGACTGTGAGGAGCAGCTGAGCTCTGCCCCCTCCTCCACCCAAACCCCCATGACTCAGATAGTAAATTGAATCCCGAATGTACAATCCTTGGTTTATGCTGAGTTTGTGGTCCCATCTAAATCTCTGCTCCACTCCACAGCTTTGTCCTGCTTTCACTCTTATCTATTTCAGTATCTTCACTTCTTCTCATCTAAGTCACTTGAGCAGTGTTCCTCAGACCTCTATCCTCTTATTTTCACCATTTATATATTCACCTTCCATATGTGACTTCATCCATAGACATGGGGTCCATTTCAACATGTAAGTGGATGGCATGCAACTCTATCTCTGCCTCCGACCTCGATTATGCAAATACGGGTTCATTGCCTGTCAGACATCAAGTCCTCGATGAGTTCTAAGTTTCTCTACTAAACATTAGCAAGACCAAGGCTTTCCTGCTTGGCTCCTGTCATCACCTTTTCACCTCAGGTGCTGACCACATTGATTTACACGGATGCACATTCTACTTGATGGGAGTCAGTGTACAACCTCAGTGTCTTGTTTGACCTCCAACTGTCCTTTAAGGCATACATCCAGGCTTTGCCTCGCTCAGCCTTCCTCACCTCCACAAAATCACCTGTCTCCACCACTACCTCTCCCAATGTGCTTCTGAGACACTAATTCACACCTTCATCACATCTAGGCGAGACTGCAAGAACAACTTGCACTTATATAGTGCCTTCCATGCAGGGTAGTGTCTCGGAGCGCTTAACAGTGGTGGAGCTTGATTCCGAGCCTGGGGGAGGGGGGGAAGTGGCCGTAAGAAGAGGAAGGTTTTCAGGCAGGAGGGAAGAGAGGGGGCAAGGCAGAGGGATTGAGAGAGAGCTTTCCAGAGTTTTGGAGCATAGTGGCTGAAAGCACGACCTCTGATGATGGAGCAGCGGGTGCGAGGGACAAGTAGGCGGTCGGTGCCAGTTGAGCGGAGACACTGGGTGGTGGATTGGTGAGTGAGGAGGTCGGAGAGGTAGGGAGGTTCCAAGGAGTCAATGGATTTGAACACAAGTGTGAGACTACTTTTCAGACTCACCAGCTCCTCCCTACACAAGCTGCAGGTCATCCAGTACTCTGCAGGCCCCAGGGTCCATCACCCAGTGAATTGAATTCAAAATCTTAGTCCTCACATTCAAATCCCTACATGACCTCTTCCCCATGATAATGTGTGATTTCTTGCAACCTTTCTGGCTGTTCCTTTGGCTAAGTATCTCCTTGAGTTAAATTAAATATAGGTATGTTTAGATAAACAAATATTTTATGGGACATAATGATTTATGTTTGATATTGGAAGTGGGAGAGTATGGGTTCAACAACAACAGCAACAACAAATTACATTTTTATAGCGCCTTTCATGTCAGGATCTCCCAATGTTGTCTCTAGTTTGTCCACAAATACACAGTCACTACACATGACAACACATACCTGTCAACAGTTTTGATGCATTTTGATATTACAATATAATAATAAAACAAAATTACATTTGGAGAGTGCCATTCACATCGGGAGGAAGTCCCAAAGCACTGGCCTGAGCTGGGGGTTGGGGTCGGGGAAGGTGGAGGGCAGGGAGGAAGCAGTGAGATCAAAAGCACAGTTGAAGAGGAAGGTCTTGAGATGGGTCTTGAAGGTGGCAAGGGAGGGGGCGAGGCAGAGGGACTGCGGGATGGAGTTCCAGAGGGTGGGGGCAGGGTGGCAGAAGGCCTGCCCGCCAATAGTGGGGCGAGCGAGGCGGGGGACGTGAAGCAGACCGGAGCCCGCTGAGCGGAGGGAACGAGCAGGATGGTAGGGGGTTAGGAGGTCACAGAGGTAGGGGGGAGCAAGACCACGGAGGGCTTTGAAGGTGAGGACCAGGATCTTGAACTGTATCCTCTGTGTGATGGGAAGCCAGTGGAGTTGGGCGAAGATGGGGGTGATAGGGTTGCGGAGCCTGGTGAGGGAGAGGACGCAGGCTGCAGAGTTCGGGATGATCTACAGCATATGGAGGGAGGAGTTGGGGAGGCCGACACGCAATGAGTTTGCATAATCAAGCCTCGATGTAATAAAAGCGTGTATGAGGGTTTCGTCAGCTTGCGGTGTGAAACAATGGCGGAGCCGGGCGATGTTGCAAATGTGGCGGAAGGCAGAGTGGGTCATGACGCAGATGTGGACTAGAAAGGACAGATGATAGTTAATAATCCATGTGTTTGATATCGTGCTTTATTATGTCATCGAGATGTCTCAAAGCACTTCACAGGATATATTGTAAAGTGGATTGACTGTGTATTTTGGGGATAACATATCAAGGGCAAATATTATTATGATTATCATTATAGAAGGTATAAGGGCAAGATTGAAAGTGTAGATGTTGAAACAGATGACTGTTTTGCTTGATCTCTTTTAGGACATAGCAGCTTGTTCGGCAGAATGCTCCCCTGACAGAAGATAACATAACATCAATCCAATAATAATCCTTGTCCTTCATATATCACCTATAATGTCAAAATGCCTCAAATCAGTTCGGTGTGAATACTTGTGCTCTCAAGTGTAGTGACCGTGTACTTGTAGACAAACAAGAGACAATATTGAACCCTTTGCTTCCCAGCTCCAGAAGCAAATAAAAATCATTATGCAACATAAAATATTTGTTTATCTCAATCTGCACCCATCTTTATATAATTTATCTTGGTTCAGATGAAGTCTCCGATAAAGCAGATTTGGCTTGGCCTGTGAAGGGAGCAGATTTCTTGGATTGAATGATCTTTAGTTACTAAAACCTGTTTCTATTGTTAACAGTGAGGTTTCCAGTGATCTTCCAGATCAGGATGAAAAATTCAGATACAGTAGAACCAGCAGATCCCATGAAATTTAACATTATTATTTTAAATGTCAATGATGGTTACAATGTAGACACTGGTATCTTCACAGCCCCCCTTGAGGGTTTCTATTTCATCTGCCTATCTGTGCTCCCAGTAAACGGAAAAGTGCAAATGTTCTTCAGAAAGAACGGGATAAAGTTTTCTGAACTATATTGTGATAATGATTTGTATACATCAACCATTGTAATATCTGAGATCATATACCTTTTCAAAGGAGACCAAGTATGGATTCATTTTGTAGAAGGAAACTTTCAAAACAAACCACATGCGCTAAAATTTATGGGATACAAGTTCTGATATTAAGTGTTTATAAAATGGAAGTTTGCCTTGTGAGTTACAGTTCCATGTCTTTTTTAGTTGCCTTCTAAATAATTATACAAAATCAGATTGGATTATTAGAACACATAGCGGATTAAAATTTGCAGCATTCCTGTTTTGGTCAGAGACAGATGAACGCTGGAATATAAATATTTGAAACAAAAATAACTTAGGACCCAATGTAGGCCCTAAAATTACAAAACTAAAATTAGCTTTTTTTTTAATAAATAAAATGGAGAGGGGCTTGTACCTGAAAAGGAAGAAACCACCTATCGGGAAAGATGGGTTTCCACCTGGCCACTGATAATTTACACCAAGGTGGTCCAACCTTTTGGCTGCCATGGGCCGGATTCCCTATTAGAGAAAGCTCCGCGGGCCGCATAAGCAATATTTTGTGTTTCGCTTCCAGAAACATAACACGATTTACACAGCACCTTTTTCATATTGAAAGGACATTTCAAAGTGCTCGACACTGCCAGCTGGGCACCTGAGCTGGGGGTGGGGGCTGAGGAAGGTGGAATGGGGAGAGGAAAAGATGACCAAAAACTTGGTCAAAGAGTTAGGTCTTGACACGCCTTGAAAGAAGGGAGGGAGAGAGTGAGTCGGAGGGCCTCCAGGAATAGAGAGCAGGGGCAAAATGATGATAGTGGGGCAGATGGAGTGGGGAGACATGAAGCAAGCTGTTTGGTCTACAAAGGAAATGGCCAGGTTGGGAGGTCGCAGAGGTAGGGTGAGGGCGGGATGAAGAATGTAGAGAAGTTTTTCATTGGGGAAAGAAGAAGCTTTCTGTGGTAAATCTGTACAGTGCCTGTCCTCGGTTCCCTCTCATACTTTCTCTCAATCCCTCTCTCTGCACTTCCTCTCTCAATCTATTTCTCTCCTCCTCTGTGAATCACCCCCTACCACACTCCCACCCTACTCTCTCTCAATCATTCTCTCTACCCCTCACACACAATCTCTCTCTCACTCCCCCTTTCCCTCTCATACACCCTCTCTCCCCCTTCTCTCAACCCCTCTCTCAATCCCTCTCTCCCACTCAGCTGTGCGGTTCACAATCTGGCGTTTACTATAGACGCGGTGGATAAGGAGACGTGCTTGCCTGTCAGAAAGCCCCCCCACCCCCACTCATCTTGGGTACAGAGTGCAGAAACAGACAGCATTATTTCCACTCTCGGTGCTGCGTCCTCCCAACCCCCGGCACCTGCCGCTGCCATAGGAGGACTTTCGCCAGTAAGGGAGGGAGTGGAAGTTGGAATACTGGAAAAGGTCTTGGCTCACAGGCCACACTGATTTACATTAATGCTAAATAAGAAATGGCATAAATTTTACCCCATAATCTTCATATACAGTTTTATAGCTGGGTTGAAAACTGCGGATGATTTGGTCGTTATACAGTAATTTAACAAAAGCAAAAAAACTTATGATTATTCTTCAATAATTTCATGTACAGATAGTTTGTGGTGTTCCATCTAACAATAAAGGAAATTGTTGAGCATTGATTGTTGTTTATTATTCTTAGCATTACTAGGGTGAAAAAGGCTCTAGGAAAATAATAACATTCCTGATGCATCACTACCAGAAAGAAAAGAAAAATTATATCACCTTGTAATAGGGATTAAGGAATAGGTGAAGACTCATGTGGAGGAAAACACCTCCACAAACTGGTTGAGCTGAGTGGCCAGTTTCCATGGTGTACATTCTTTGTATCTTTGATATAAACTATATTTTCTGCAGAGAATCCTTTGTTAATCACATTGACCCATAATAATAATAATAATCCTTGCATTTGATATAGCGCTTTTCACGTCAGGAGGACGTCCCAAAGCGTTTCACAGAACACACTGTAAAGTGAATTGACTGTATATTTGTGGGCGAACGCGGCAGCCAATTGCGCACAGCAATGTCCCACAAACAGTCGTAGATTGAAAATGACCAATTTATTATTGTTTTTTGTTTTGGAGGGATTATTATTAGGCGTGTGGAGTAAGGAAACTTGCCCAAGGTTTCGCCCTGCCTGGAATTGAACCCAGGTCTCTCGCTTGCAAAGCGAGTGCTCTAACCACTGAGCTACAGGACTCCACAATAAAACCATAAAACCACAGCTCTGAGACAAAAGGCCAAGGTCCATTACATAGGTTACACCAAGTTTGGAATGACAAGGACTGAAAACTGAGATTATTAAAGAAGTATTGGTTTGGTGACTTTACTTTATTTTGAATCTTGCCACGAGAATGAAGAGCCATCCCTATCAAATTTGCCTTTTCCTTTCATTTGGAAGTAGTTTGGGGATAAGGGAAAATAAAAGCTGAATATTAGACATCATGTAAATCCAAAAAGAATGTTTTAATGAAATAAACCACAGAAATATGTATACTCATCCTTGTGCAGGAATGCCTTTTGAAAGCCTGAAACTGACACCACTTATTCGCAATTCACCTCTTAAATTGCATTAATAATCTACTGTGAGACAAGGATAAATTTCTACTTTGCCAGTACGGATAAATTCCTACTAGGCGGTGTGTAAAATTCTGTATGCACAGTGAGATGTCCTTCCGATGTGAAAGGTGCTATATAAATGTAAATTGTACTGTACCCTACATTTTTGTTGATCGTCTGTCTGTAACGTTTCACGGTGGCTGGATTCGTTTTTTTTGTTCCGTTATTCATGAATAAGTACGAGTCGATTGGTTACCCTTAAGAGCAAACCTTTTGCCCCTCTACGGTGGCCACTGTGACCTGAAATTTTACCTGCTCTCCCCCTGTGTATGAGACAATTTTGTCTTTGGTCACTTAATCCACAACTGTTTGTAAAATACTGTTGTACGCAACTGGTTGCTGCGTTTCACCCACAAATTATACAGTCAATTCACTTTATAGTATATTCTGTGAAGCACTTTGAGACGTCTAGAAGACGTGAGAAGGCACTACATCAAATGCAACGATTCTTCTTATTATAATAATGTGGAAATCCTAAACTACGGATTAGGTTTAGGTGAGATTGCAAACAGCAGTGAGAATCTTGACTAATACTTCTTTAAGCACAGTGGGTTGAAAGTACTTTACTAAAAATTGTCTCTGTTCTTTACAGTGGAGAAGCCTATGGTCTTCAATCTCAGGACTACCAGAGCAGACAGAGTGACATCAGGAAATCCCCATAAATTTGACAGCATTAAATTAAATATACACTCAACTTATATTCAAAGTACAGGTGTCGTCACTATCCCTCGAGCTAGTTTCTATTTCATCAGCCTTTCTGTCTATCCAGAGACTGGTAAAAGTGTTGACATGTACATTAAAAAGAATGGGGAAAGGATAATTCGCCTATTAAATATCAACCCCAGATATAGTTCGACTATAACAGTCAGTGAGATTTTGTATTTTGTGAAAAACGACCGTCTAAGTGTTGAAATAGTAGGAGGAACATTTAAAAACTCCAATGATGCGATAAAATGGCTAGGATTCTGTTTGAAATAATAAATGTTTAGAAAAGGAAACTCACTTTGTGAGCTACAGTTCCATGTTCCTTTTTAGTTTCTTTCTGAATGATTATACACAAATCAAACTGGATTATCAGAACATATTTCACCCACAACATATAGTCAATTCACTTTACAGTATATTCCGTGAAGCGCTTTGAAAAGTCTTGACGTAATAAGACGCGATATCAAATATTATTATTACTGCATATAGGGGTAAAATTTGCAGCATTCCTATTTGGTTGAAGGGCAGATGAACGATGGAATATAAATATTTAAAACAAAAATAATTTAAGAGCCCATTACTGGGGCCTAAAATTACAAACAAAATTATCTACTTCAATCTATCTAGGTTCCAAAAAATGATCGGCGATTGGACCTGAAAAGGAAAATCGGGAAATGGTCGTTTCCACCCGGGGGTGATAATTTATACTGATTGTAAAGAATGCCACAAATTTTACCGGATAATCTTCATATGTAGTTTTAAAGCTGGGTTAAAAGAAGCAAAGGATTTGATGGTAATACATTAATTTAACAAAAGCAAAACATTTTGCTTTATTACTCAATATTTCTCATCTTTTCATTGCCAGTTTGTGGTATTACATCTATACTAATAAAGACAAAATGTCTGTATCTGTGTATCCGACAATCACGCAATAGCCGATTGATGTAGAGACATGATTTATACCTCATCGGAAAGGTCTTGCATCTGGCAGTTTTAGGGCCATTTTTTTTGGGGGTGGGGGGATCTCCTATCGTTTGATGAGCTATAATAAAAAATGCTTTAATTAAGCCCCAAAATGAGGTATGCATTGTATTCTGCAACTACGTAGCGACAGAGGAAAGCACACACCATTCAGAGAGATACATCTATAGTCTACAATAAATGTACTTTTTTCTAGTTGCCAAGGGAGGCAGAGTCGTCCCATGTGGAACAGACAGAGAGAGGCTGAGAGAGAGAGACTGGATAGTGAGAGAGACAAATACACGACTGTGAGAGAGAATATATTATAAAGGTTAGTGACTGTGTGTTTTGTGGGAGAAAGGAAGACTGGGAGAGAGACTTAGAGACAACACTGAGAGACAGAGACAGAGGGAGACCATGAGAGGAAATATATTATAAGAGTCCTCCCAGCTGAGTATAAAGACAAAATGTCTGTCTGTGTCAATCTACATTCCATATTGGATCATTTGGTTGCAAACAAAGCTGCAATGGGTTTGATATAAACTCCTTTCATGTTTGGAGGATGTGTCAATGAGCTACAAACAGTAAAGATTAGTGACAATGTATTTTGCACACACACCAGTGATGCACAGTAATCTAGTTATGCCTGCAAGCTTTCATCTCGAGAGGGTGCCCCTCCACGTTACTGAAGGGAACTATTGCAAGTTAGTGTGCTTGTCATACATGCCTGGCTCCTTGTCATTTGGGAGGTCAATGAGCCTGAGCTATTGCTCTCATCCTGATATTTGATACAAGATTACATTTATATTGCGCTTTTCACATCAGTAGGACGTCCCAAAGCGCAGTGTGCAGCATTTCAGACCCGAGCTGGGGTCAGAGAGGGAGAAGGGAGGGGAATGGGATGACCAAATGCATAGTTGCAGAGGAGGGTTTTGAGGCGGGATTTGAAGGAGGCTAAGGAGGGGGCGAGGCGAAGTGATTGGGGGATGGAATTCCAGAGGTTGGGGACAGTGGCTGAAAGCTCTCCCGCCAATGGTGGGTTGGGGACGTGGAGCAGGCTGGAGCTGGCTGAGCGGAGGGAACAGGCGAGTTGGTAGGGGGTTAGGAGGTCGAAGAGGGAGGGTGGAACGAGCCATGGAAGGCTTTGTAGGTGAGGACCAGGATCTTGAACTGGATCCCCTGAAGAATAGGGAGCCAATGGAGTTGGGCGAGAATGGGGGAGATGGGGTAACGGAGTTTGGTGCGGGAGAGGATACGGGCTGCAGAGTTCTGGATTATCTGCAGCCTGTGGAGGGAGGAGTTGGGAAGGCCGACAAACAGGGTGTTTGCATAGTCCAGCTGGATGTGATGAAGACATGAACAAGAGTTTCAGAGGCCTGAGGGGTGAGGTAGTGGCGGAGTCGGGCGATGTTACAGAGGTGAGGAAAGGCAGAGCGGGTCATGGCTTGAATGTGGGGGAGAAAAGACAGTTGAGGGTCAAACAAGACACCTAGGTTCCTGACTGGGTTGGTGAGTTGAAGTGTGCAACCATGGAGGTTGATGCTGCCAGAGCCTGAGGTGCTGAGGCGCTGGCGTGAGCCAATCAGGAGGACCTCAGTCTTGTTCACATTCAACTGTAGGAAATTTGCCCACATCCAGGACTTGATGTCCGACAGGCAGTCTGTCAGTGCTTTATCATGTTATTGAGGCATCTGACTGCTTCACAGGTTATCTTTTAAAATGGCGACTATTTTGTGGGTGAATTCAGCAGCCAATTGTGCACAGTAATATCCCATGAACAGCCATAGAGTGAATGACTAATTTTATTGGGGGGGAGGGATTGTTGGTCAAGACCCTGAGAGAAACTCCCTTCACTTTTCAAACAATGTCATGGAATCTATAATGCCCACCTGGACAGGAAGATGGGACCTTGGTTTCTGTCAACTCCGACAACTAAGCATACCCTCAGCACTGCATTGGAGTGCCAGCATAGACTATGTGAGTTCCAAATATCGATGAGGGGCTTGAACCCACAAAGTTCTGACTCAGAGACAAAAGTACTACCGGCTGTCCCAGGCTGACACATATAAGATGGAGGCGAGAGAAACTCTGAACTAATTCTATCTGCTTTTCAGATTTAAGGATCAACATGAAACCACAGGAGAGAAACTGAGTGACTGACAAACAAAAGAGATGCTCAGACTTGAGATTGAAAAATCTAATTTTATGTTATGAATAGCAAGTTGCATTTATATAATCTGTATTTACATAAAATATCTTGAAGAATTTAACAATGTGATATAGACAAAGAAACAGTCAATGAATTTAGAAATAACCAAAGGCACCGTCAAAGAGATAGGTCTTTAGGAGGTTTTTTTTTTAAGTAAGAACATTCATTAGGTAAGATCAGAACAGAATTGATTAAATAAAGACAAGAAAGGTTGTGAGCGAGAAAGGTTGAAGGCTACAGGTGAGAGATGGCTTTCTAGATCAATCAGCAGTGCAGAACAGTTAGATAGAAATGTGCTCTGTTAATGTATTACATCGTGTCCACAAATTCCAGGTGCCTGGTTTTGGTTTCAGTGCTTCAAGGAGATTCCTGTGGAATTGTGTGCTTTTTTGTTTTGTAAGACAGTTCATAACATTCCTATGCAAATCACATGACCATAACAAGTTGTTGGGTCCATAATCTTAAAATTAGAGCTAAAATGAGTAGAGGTGAGACCAGAAAACATTTCTTCACAGAGGGTTGTGAAAATTTTCAATGCACTTCCCAAAAGGCAGTAGAGGCAGAATCAATTGAGCTTAAAAGAGATTGATAAATACTTGAACGGGTAATACTGCTTTAGAGAAAAGCAAGGGTATGGAGAAAAGGCAGGGAAATAATATTAAAAATATAAAACAGGCCTCCTCTTGTTTCCATGTACTCATTTCTAATTCTTTGTAACTTATTTTGTTGAGTTCCATCCTCTCACGTTCCAGATTACTGCTCGTCAGATACAGGCAAACAAAGTGAGAATGTGGATGACAACCCAACTGAACCATCTTAATTCCTTGAAGTCACAATGTTCACGTATCTAGAGAATCAAAGACTAAAAGTAAAAACTATTCAAAACTTTATTTTCAAATATATAGGCAAAAGGAGTTAAGTATATACACCAGTTGCAGACTTATTTATAACAATTAACCAGCACAAGTACAAAAATTAAGTTTATGTGGAACAGTGTTAGACTGTCTAGGGCAAATATGGTTGGAAAGTGAAGCCATTTTAAAGATTGTCAATAACAATGTGAATGACTGGCAATATGGCTCAATATCCATTTTCCAACTAGCACTTGTGAAAAATACATTAGTGTTGAGAAAATGTAAAGAAATCAACACTGACAAATTTATCAACAATTGATTCACACCTACAACTAGGAAAGAAACTAGCAATGGCCACAATAAACAATCAGTAAAGACAACATGTTGCAAATGGTAGATTTCTTGCATTTACAGTTTGGGAATATTCATACTAAATACTAAATGTGGTTATGAAGGCTGCAGATGTCAAACTGGTACAAACTTCTTGGGAATATTAGAAACAGCCGTATGTATGTTATCCAATTAGAATCTTAAAATCAAGCCTAGCTCCATTGTAATCCATCTCTTTTCCACTTCATACTAAAGTAAGATGAGCACTTGTGATTCTATTTAAAATCAAGAATTAGCTTCATATATCCCAGCACTAAATTATGCCTAATCTTTAGAAATGTACACTATCACACCATATGAAATAAGACAATTATATGCATTCCGAAAACTGTCAGCAATTTGAAACCAAATATTTAGCTACAGAATTCTATTAGACCTAACCCAGCTTTTGACTAGATTTTAAAAAAAAAATGCTAGTGTGCCCAATTTTTTCTAATTTTATTCCCAGTAGTACATTGCTTGTGATCCGGCCTCTTCTCGCTGTGGTTCAATTCTATGGGTGCTGGCAGCAAGTATTATCCGGCCCCTCAGCAGCAGACAACATTACAGCTGAGGATGTGGCTTGCTGCCACATGCACACAAAGTAGGAATCTCGAGCAAGGCCGGAGTCATTTCGCCTTCCCATGCAACCACAGCTGAGACCAGCCCATTCAGCACAGAATGGGATTGAATGGAACTTGTGATTCAAGCCAACAAGTCGCTTGTCTGAAAGCTGTAGCTCGATCTACAGCACCATTAGTCTCTATTTTGACGAGATTGATCAAGGAAAGAGGTAGAAAAGTGAACTTCACCAAAATGAGCTATTAATGTCAAAAGTGCATATTTGCTATATTCTACTGAACATGTTCTACATCTCCACTAAAAGCAATTTGCAATTGTCTGAAGGTGTGATTTATAACAGACCAATTTATAGTTACCTTCTGAACTGCCAGTACCATTGTGTTGAGGCTTATTTACAATACCTTGGAAGTTACCCCTCACAACTTAAGCCTAATTGAATGGGACATGGCTCCTTTTTCAAAATAATTTATAATATTTCTTAAATTGTAAATTTAAGGGAAAGACAGTAGGAGGCACTTATCTAGGTCTAACTTTCAAAACCTGAAACAAAAGAACATTTCATACAGAATAAGTTAAATAACTTAATTGTTATAATTTTCAAAAAAATAACTTGAATACAATTCCAATCACCTGCATTGGATGCCAGCTTATGCAGAATCAAACACACAAGGTCTTTTACATGAAGAGCTCATGCATAGATTCCAGGCAGAATTTATAGTAAAATACTTTCTGATCTAGGATTTTTTTCAAATTGTTGCATTATTTACATAGATTTCTTACAGTAATTGTTGTTCCAACTGAATTGACAACATCCTTCAAATCACACAAAACAAGGATCTAGACAAGTCCAGTCACTTGCCATACAGAATTCTGAATGTGATCCTTCTGTAGACTTGTGGCCTACCATTAAAATTTAGGGCTTTTTATTATTAGGTACATCCATTGTAGTCTTTTTGGAAATGTCAGTGTTGGTACAAACAAGAGATCTCAAAAAAGGTCATAGGGGACAAAAATTACAGTACTAACACATTCCTTGTGTTCATTCCTTGTGTTAATAAATAGCCGAGTCAATGAATACCCTCAAGTGTCAATTCCTTAATCAAATTCCAGTCTTCAGCACTTACCTTTATTTAGCACCCTGCTGAGTGGGAGATCCAGCTATGGTGTCAACACACAGCACATTGAGAATACCATTTAGAGCAGTTTTATGCTGAGTCCATTCCCAAACCGTTTCATTTACTTACAAATGTTCATTACTTATTTTCACTTAAAATCTAGCCATTCATGGCTAGATTTGAATCAGAAGCGGAAGGCCAGAATGCTAATCAATTAGCATGGGTAGACTGGGTTTCCTCGTCTACAGTTGTGTTGAGAACAGCTTGAGAAACAATCTACTTAGGTGGTTTATTTTTTGGGGTGCAGTTTCATTCGCAAACGTGGGTCAATCCCTATGTCTGCTGTAATATTGGTGTACAATGGAAACTCTTCCTTCTTAAGTATTTTGTATTCTACAGAGTTCATCCCATCGAATTTCCATGATCTGGACACTTTTACCAGCAGGTCAAATCTGTCAAACCAAACATAAATGAGAGATGGACAGTTTCAACTCCATGTACAAACTAAACAAAATTGCTGTTTTATAATACAATGCAAATTTACATTTATATAGCATCTTTGATATTGTATTAACTTAACAACTAAATATTTTCCTTCTTCACCTGCTGCCTATTATACCACTCATACCTGCGATATTTCAAGATATTCTGTGGTTAAATTTGGAACAGCTAAACAGAATTCCACCCCCCTCCCCCCATACAAATCAGCAAAGCAAAAATAACCAGGTATTTCCCACAGTAGCGGCAGAGGTGTCGAGCAAACATCCGGCAGCGGTGTGCAGAGGGTTGGGACACCCACCAAACTTCATTTGACTGGTTTTCGGGGCGGGTGCTGGTTTTCGGGGCAGGCTGAAGTATGGATATTAAATTCAGTATGCAAGTATAGATTTGACCTGCTGAAAACTCAATTTACTGAACAAAGCATGAATGGTTTATAAACTAAATCAGTTCTTTATGTACCTTTTCTCATTCTTTTCATTCCCCTTGTCCATATCATGCATGATCATTTTGTAATGTCCAAGAGAAATAGGAGTTCGAATTATCTTCATTCCTGATAAATAAATCCTTAAAAAAGGAAAAATAGTTGGAAATTTTAGGAAGCTTCTTTAATTCACAATCTTAACACATCTTGAAAGAACTCTATTTTGTGATGGTCTTTCAGTCAGTTTCCTGTTGCAATGCATGGAAATGTACAATAATAATAATATCTTGCATTGTGTTGCAACGCACAAATATTTAACTAAACTTCATTTGCATATTTTGATTGCTGTGCTTTGGTTTTGTCCAAGTACATGAAGCTCATGGAAAATATACAAAACATTCTGACCTTTATAATGTTTCACCTGGCTGCTTCAATATCCATAAATGGTTGTACTTTATAACTCAATTTGTTCAGAGAAGTTATTGCTTTAAAGCAGGAGCATGGGATGACTCATCTGATTTTTTCAAATGTAACTGAATAATATGCAACATGTTATCTAGTACAGTAATGGATACCTTATTTTAATGCAACATTTAACTGGTTACATTTCTGTCTTAAAAGCTTGAAATATATAATGAAAAAATCTGCAGAGGGCGTGCAGTCACATAACCACTCTAGCTCATTCCATAATGCATTTGATGAAGTTGCAATAGATTTTTTTTTAAAAAAAGGGATTATTACCCCCGGAAAAGTGATCCACCAATTGACAAACAATTGGGTTCCTACTTCCTGCGAGGTGAACAGAGGTGCATGGAGAAAGGAAACTTGCCCAACGTTTCGCCCTGCCCAGGAATTGAACCCAGGGCTCTCGCTTGCGAGGCGAGTTCTCTAACCACTAAGCTACAGGACTCCACATGGAGTGTGGAGAAGGGCAGTAATACAAATTTGGAGCCCAGAAATAAACATCTTTAGGATAGGAGGACAAAAAAAACTGGGTGGGCAGAAAAAGAAAGTCCTGACGACATTAAAAACATGGATGAATATGCTAATTTAACAAAGACACAACAAATACAGAAACTCCAAAGAAGTGGAACTAATTACAACAATTAACTTTAGCTCAAAGTAGAAAGTGGCAATTGGAATGGTTGACAATTAAGCTAACTTGGGGAAAAGCAACTAGTTAACAAAATAAAAAGGCTTTCTCATTTCTTGTGTAGTCTCTCAATAGACAACAGGATAGGCTGGAGGCCACCTCCTAGCCTCCACAGCTCTCCACTACTTCAATGTAAGGGTGTCTGTGTACAGACTCTTTCCAGGTTTGAAGAAACAATCATATTGTACATTCAGGGACGAACCTGTGTCCTACTACTAATAAATTCAACCTTTTTTTGATGTAAAAAAGGACTACACAACTTGATAACTCCATTGAGCTGCATGGTCATGATCTAAGGAGGTGGATAGATCATACAGATTAATAAACATTTAGCCTATGACTGTAAAGAGTACAAGAACACAACTAGCACTTATATAGCACCCTCCACACAGGTTGCATCTCAGAACGCTCAACAGTGGCGGAGCCTGACTCCGAGCCAGTGGGGAGGGAGATGGTCGAAGACGAAGCTTTTCAGGCAGGACTTGAAAAAAGGAGAGAGGGGACAATAATAATAATAATCCTTGCATTTGATATAGTGCTTTTCACGTCTTCTAGAGTCTCAAAGCGCTTCACAGAATATACTGTAAAGTGAATTGACTGTATATTTGTGGGCAAAATGCAAATATAATATTATATAAATTTATATAATAAATAAATAAAAATGCAAGGCAAAAGAATTGAGGTAGAGTGTTCCAGAGTAATAATAATCCTTGCATTTGATATAGCGCTTTTCACGTCTTCTCGACATCAAAACGCTTCACAGAATAGTTCCTACCTGGCAGAAATATCATCATCTTCTCCACCCCAGCCCCAGTAAGTGTTTGGAAAGCCATTCATTTTTAAGTATTGCTCAGGAGTCAAAGCTGAAACACCACCAAAGTACATCCTGTATGGTAGCCTAAACACACAAGGACACAGAATGAAAACATCAGAATGGAAATGAAGAAAATAATTAGGTTGAAATAGCATGCTCATTTTGGAGAATGTCTTGGGTGAGAGTTAGGAAACAGATTTCTATTACCCATGAAATATGGCATTCACCTTAAACAAGCAGTATTCTATTGATATGACAAGTTTATGATTTACAGCACATTTAAAAAAAAGTAATTAAGAGTGCACTTTTGATTGGGCACACAGAAAAGTAGTTCTCGCAAGATAGTTTTCTTAGGTATTTCAAGAAAACTGCGAGAAGCTTTATCTGTCCAGCCTTCACAAAATATGACCATATTCACGGCGAAAAAATATTTTTCTCTACACTTCAACAGTAAACCAGAAAAAACATACTTGCTTCCATCAGTAACTTGCATTTATATGGCACCCTTCACCGTCTGAACGCTGCACTAACGCAGGGTTAGACACGGAGCAGGAGAGAAGGGGTAAGTGACCAAAGGCAAGGTTGAAGAGGTCTGAAGGTTGGATTTAAAAATACATAAAGAGGGTGAGACATAGGGATTGAGGTAGAGTGACATCATTCAGACTACCAAATACTTCAATATGTTTTACAATCCAAGTTAAATAAAACAACCTTGATTATGCTAACTGCTTGCTTGTCGGTCTTCCCAACACTTCCCTTCACAAGATGAAGATTATTCAGAACTCTGTAGCTCGTGTCCTCTACTGCACCAAGCTCCATGAGCCTATCACCCCCATCCTTGCCCGGCTCCACTGGCTCCCCGTCCCCCAGAGGACAGCTTAAAATCCTTCTCCTCGCTTTCAAAACTCTCCAGGGCCTTGCTCCTCTCTACCTCTGTGACCTGCTAACAACATACAGACCTGTCAGCTCCCTCTCCCACACGTACACATACTGATGAAATGTACCCAACTTGGGATGTGAGGGAATTGGGTATTTTTGCATGGAAAGTTTGTATGAAATGTTACGTCTGGAATTCACTTAGTGCTTATCAGATGCTGATCAGAAGACTTAATTCTGAGTACTAAAGCAGTTGTAGATAAACCAATAAATAAATAGAATGCACTACATCTGAAAAATAATGCAGTTTCATGTACCTGTATTTAAATTTGTTCATAGCACTGGACACATGCTTGGGATATTGATCATTGCAGACATACAGATTGTTGTCATTCTCAGGAATAAGGTCAACATCATGTAGAAACAGACAGTCCCAGTCCTCATCCTTCAGTGCTTCCCTCACTCCAACATTTAAGAGTTTTGCCCTGTTAAAGGTGCCATTTCCAGTCTAGAAAAACAATTCATTTAAATGAAAATGTCATTAAACTGCCATTTCATTAAAATATGGATGCTTAAAAGTATTTTAAAATGTACTGCTCAACTCTGCAATTTGTACCTGCTTGGTTGAAAATGACTAACCAATGAAGATATAAAATAATGCAAGAGAGCAAGACAATTCAAACCATTTAAATATATCAAAACTAGCTATCTTAAGAATTGAAATTTACACTAATGCCTTCAACACTTTATAATTATTATTCTTGCATTTGATATAGCGCCTTACCACGTCTTCGAGATACCTCAAAACACTTCACAGAATAAACTGTAAAGTGAATTGACTGTGTTTTGTGGGCGAAATGGGGCACTCAATTGCGCACAGCAGTGTCTCACAAAGAGTTGTGGATTGAGTGACCAATTTATTATTATATTTTTTGAAGGAATTATTATCCCGGAAAAACAATCCACCAATCAACTAACAATTCCTACTTACTGCTGGGTAAATAGAGGCGTGTGGAGTAAGAAAACAATGATTCACCTTGCCGGCAATCGAACTCAGGTCTCTCGCTTGTGAGGCGAGTGCTCTAAACACTGAGATACAAGACTCCACAATGTATACCAAATTGAAAAGTATCCCATTCCCAATAGAGTTCCTGCACTTTAACAAGCAAAAACTGTTGGATTCTCTTCCAAACCTGCCAAAATCATTTCCAAACCCGTGTCCTCGTTCTGCTTCTTTGACCAAGGTTTCATGTTCACATGCTATTATGAAATATACATAGAGATGGTTGAAGGACAGAAAGCAGAGAATAGGGTTACTGGGAGACGTTTTTGGTTTGGCGTAATACAATCAACGGTGTACCTTAGGAGGTATGTGTTTGCGTCTTTTCCCCTCCCATTTGCATCTAAATGATCTGGACACAAGTCTTAGGGGTCATAGAACTTAAATTTACCCATACCCCTTCAGATCACCTGACCAACAGGAGAATCAATTGGTGACCAGAATGGCAAGTAGTTTGAATGTAGAAATTCAATATTGTATTTTGGGAAGAAAAAAGGAAATGTATGCTAAATAGCAGTATTCTTAATGGAATGGAGTAGAGACAAAGGAATATACAGTACAGCCAATGTGGCAGTTGGGGGGGTCCATAAAATCCCATGAGGTGTGATCGCTGATCAACACTTGTGTGTGGTGAAGTCGTCAAGCACATGACTGATGACACAATTGCACATGGAAGCAGAAAAAAGATTATTACCATCACTTCTTGCATGCTGCATATTCCTAGAAAGCTGCCAACATCACAATACACAACCAAACATTCTTTTGCTAGTAGCTTTGATTACTGATCGTGACAAAGCACAACTCAACCTGCTTATAGTTGTCAGTAGATTGTGCTTTGTTGCAATAGCATAAGCCAACCTACTAGCACAAGGAGGTAGGTTGTGCATTGAGCATTTTGTTATGCAATGCATAACCAAACCTACTCGTACAAATCCATGCACAGCGCAAGTACCTGGCCCTGGAATCACAAGGCACTTGTCTTATAAGTGAACCAGCATTATAACCTAGTATGTTATAACACGGCTGCATTATACCTGGGTCTAAAAAGGCAAATATGTAAACAAATAATATTTAACATTTTCTATATATAGGAACACTAAATGTAAGAACAGGGAGGTTGTGTCTGTAATATACTGATTAGACTGTATTTAGCGTATTCCATCAGTTGTAGGAACCATTTATAAAAAGGACAACACAAGCTTCGGGGATACAACTAAGAGAGTACCAGAGATGAGAGGCTGTAGTGTGGCTTGGTTGAATCTGGAATGCTTTATCGCAAATTGGTGTTGGTTGTTGAAACTAACCCAGTAACAGAATTTAAAAAGAAACTTGAAGAAACATATTGAAGGGAATGGGAAAGAACAAGGAATAGGATTACAATAGATGGTGATCAATAAAATTGGCACCAACACATGTAGCCTATTTATCTTCTATAAAGAGGCATGATCAAAACCTTTTCATTACAAAAGAACTTTAATACTGAAGTAAAATTTGAACCGAGTCAGCTACCTGATGAATAACATATATTGCATACTGAAGTTGTTGACGCTGCAAGAATGGATGAAGGTAATACAGCAGATGACGTAGATGTGGCTCTCTGTTCCGATGAGGAATAAGAATGGCAGTCTTATACTGAGCTTGACAGTGTGGTGGAGTGTACCGTCCACCAGCTCCAACATACGGATTTTTTCTTGCAATCTTGTTCATGTTTGGAATTTTCTGAAAGCTGATAGTCAGTGGTCCAACTATGGAAAAATAATGAAATAGAATCAGTCTAATGTACTTCAAAATTAGACTCGAACCACACTGGCACTTACTAGTTATAGCTATAGGCAAATAACTATAGGATATTGGATAGGCAAAGGGAAGAGGTACGAGATAAAAAGTGAATGGGAGAAAGGCAGAAAGACTCAGACAAATAGAAGACAAAGAATCCTTCACAACCAAAATAGTTATTCCAGCTCCCAGTAGCTCCCTCCAAGAGAACTTAATTCTCAGGTCAGCCTTCCTCCCCATTGCTCATCACCCAATGGGCCACTTTACTAGTTATTTAATAAAGGCTAAATAAGAACACTAACATTACAATATATAAATTGAGATTGTAGTGGAGTTACAGTATATGTAATTTTTATTTATTAGAGTTAATATTCAAAAATGAGACTAAGCTGTTATTCTACTGCAAAGTGCACCAAATCGTCTAATACATGTTCATAATCCAGATTGAAAGTTCGGGTAGAATAATCCCTTGACTTTAAACGCCAGGTGTGGCAAATAGATAGGTTGACATTACAATTGTGAATTAAAACTGAATTGATACAGTATAAATTACTACAGAAAACATCATGTATTAAAGTAAACAGCAATGCTACTTCTATACTAATAAAGACGAAATGTCTGCCAAGAACGCAATAACTGATTAACATAGAGACATGATTTATAACTCATCGGAAACATCTTGCCTTGAGGAGTGTCATGGGCATATTTAAGACCTGTGTCTTAAGGGAACAAAGGTGGCTGGTGTACCAGGGTGACTTCTGTGAGGAGATGGTTCAGAAAGTGACCAAAGCAAGGGCATTGAGAGTAATGGAGAGGGAGTTGTTGAGGAGAGTGACCGTGGAGGATAGGTCATCGTAGGAGGAAGCCCAGATGAGGAGGAATTCAGATGACTCCAAGGCAGCGGAGAGGGAGAGGGGTGGAGATTTTTTTTCAGGAGGGGTAGGAGATGGGCTGGATGGAGAGGGATTGAGGAGTTAAGGGAGATGAATTAATGGTCTGAGCTGGCATTGTCGGTGATTGTGAGGTCTGAGATGCTGAGACCCCAGGTAATCACCAGGTCAAGCGGGTGGCCATGGACGTGGGTGGCAGAGTGGATGTGGTGGCAGAGGTTGAGGGAGGAGAGGAGAGAGGAGAAGTCAGCAGAGGTAGAACAGGAGGGGGTGAAGTGCAGGTTGAAGATTTTGAGGGAAAGGTTGGAGGGATGGTAGAGGGGGTAAGGTGCTCAAAGGAGGGGAAGGTTCCAGAGGAGTAAGGGGATAGGCCGAGTACAAGTTATTATACAAAACAGCGCAATTTAAATTCACACTTGTGCTGGGAAGATATTCCAAGGCGCTTAACAGTAACAATAATGTCAGGGAAATAACACGGGCTGCAGAGTTTTGGATAGTCTGCTGCTTGCGTAGGGAAGCACTTTATTAATAATTTCCGATATGGATTAAGAAGTCCTGTAGCTTAATGGTTAGAGCACTCGACTCAAGAGACCTGGGTTTGATACCCGGTATTGTGAAACCTTAGGCAAGGTTCCTTACTCCATACGCCTTTGTTTCCCGAGCAGTAAGTAGGAATCTGTTGCTAGTCGATTGGCGGATTGCTTTTCCAGGGGTAATAATTCTTTCAAAATATACAGTCAATTCACTTTACAGTATATTCTGTGAAGCATTTTGAGACGTCTCGAAGACATAAGATGCAATATCAAATGCAAGGATTATTATTATACGAGGAGTGTATTTGAGATATCAAGGCGGTACGTGGTGAAAGTATGGGTGAGATTTTCAAGACAAACGAGTGTGAGTGTGTGGTAGAAGGAATAAGGAAGTCACATACATCCTGGAAAATAAAAACCTAAATGGGGTAGAGAAGCAAAGGGATTTAGGGGTACACATACACAGTTCACTAAAAGTAGCAACACAGGTTAATAAGGCCTTTAAAAAGCAAACCAGGCATTGAGGTTCATTTCTAGAGGGACAGAAATGAGAAGCAGGGAAGTTATGGTAAACTGCTATAGAACTTTGGTTAGACCACACTTAGAATACTGTGTGCAGCTCTGATCCCCACATTATAGAAGGGATGTAGAGACACTGGAGAGGCTGCAAAGGAGATTCACAAGGATGATCTCAGAACTGAGAGGTTATACCCATCAGGAAAGGCTGAACATACTTGGGACTCTTTTGTCTTGAAAAGAGGGTAAGGGGTGACCTGATAGAGGTCTTTAAAATGATGAAAGGTTTTGATAGGGTAGACATAGGGAAGATGTTTCTACTTGTGGGGGAGACCAAAACCAGGAACCATCAATATAAAATAGTCACAAATAGATCAAATAGGGAAGTTAGAAGAAATTTATTTACACAGGGAGTAGTGAGAATGTGGAACATGCTACCACAAGGAGTTGTTGAGGCAAACAGCATTGATGTATTTAAGGAAAAGCTAGATAGGTACGTGAGGGAGAAAGGAATAGAAGGTTATGTTTGAAGGCTTAATTGAGGAAGGGCAGGAGGAGGCTCATGTAGAGCGTAAGCACCGCCATTGACCAGCTGGGCCAAATGGCCTGTTTCTGTGCTGTACATTCATGATGTACTCTAAAAGATGTATTCTAGCAACATTGGAAGCGGGCAATGTGGCAAAAAGTGGCCCTGGTTAGGGACAAGATGTGGGATAGGAAGGACAATGAGGGATCGAACAGATGCCTAGGTTGTGCAGGGGTCCCATTCTCCAATACAGTACAAACAGTAAGAAGTAATATTAATATATGCCAGCAAAAGGGGAAACTAAGAGATCAGATCAAAGCGAGGCTAAGACCATCGCTCATAGTAAGCAAGCTTTTTAAAACAACATGCAATTATATAGTACTCCCACACAGGATAACATCTGAGCACGTCACAAAGACTGGCTTGGAAATCGGGCAAAGTTGGAGGCAATCGTAGGTAGAATCAAAGAAGTAGGTTTCTAGCCAAGATTTAACAGATAGAGGGGTAGCCGGAGGGAATTCAATAAATTTAGCCTATAGTTGCTGAAGGCTCAGGCACAGATGGTAGTGTGAATATAACAGAGAAATTATTTACTTATAGATGAGGGTGTTTAAGAAGTTGAGTCAAGTTGAGAGGTAGCAAAGGTGCATATGAGAGTATCAGCAAAATTTGATGCGAGATTGAGGGGGAAGGGAAAGAAAGAAGGCAGGCAATGTGCTGAAGGTGAAGGAAAGCTGTCTTGATCAAGGATTGAAAATGAGGAAGAAAGATGAGATGCAGATCAAATTGAAAGCCAAGGTTTATCATTGGCTTAGTGAGTTGGAAAGCCGGAGAAGGTCAGAGCCAGAAGTGAGGAAATGTTGGCACGAGCAAAAGCTTCTATCTTGTTCATGTTAAGCTGCATGAAATTGCGGGTCATCCAGGCTTTAATATTTGACAGGCAAGCAGACAGAACATCAATGGACCTGGAATCAAGAGTAGAAGTGGAGAAATAGATTAAAAGTAACAAAGTTGATTAAATGTAGAAGTAAAAGAGTCATAGTCATCCTGAGTGGACTGCTTCTTTGAAAATATTCAAGAACTGAGCATCTACAGCCTTCTGGGGTAGAGAATTCCATACATTCACTACCCTCTGAGTGAAGAAATGTTGCCTCAGCTCTGTTCAAAAGGGCTGACCCTTAATCTTAAGACTGTGACCCCTGGTTATAGATTCTCCTACCAGGAGAAACAGTCTCACACTGTTTACTCTGTCAAGCCCCACAAGAATCTTATATGTTTCTATAAGATCACCCCTAATTCTTCTATATTCTACAGAATATAGGCCGAGTTTACTTAACCTATCCTCATAGGTCAAACCCCTCATACCAGGAACTAACCTAGTGAATCTACGCTGCACCTCCTCTAAGGCGAGTGTGTCCCTTCTTAAATAAGGAGACCAAAACTGCACAGAATATTCCAAAACCCTATACAGTTGCAGTAAGATTTCCCTACTCTTGTATTCTAACTCTTTTGCAATAAACGCCAACATGCCATTAGCCTTTCTTGTTGCTTGTGGCACTAAAGGCAGGGAAAACCACAAAACAGTGGAGCGACGATCATGATGTTTGCTCTCTGGGGAAATACTTGTATTTGATATAATGTATTAAAAGCAAGAATTATTCACTTCGCCCACAAAATGTACAGTCAATTCACTTATACTTTATTCTGTGAAGCGCTTTGAAACGCCTGAACGATAAAAGGCGCTATTTCAAATGAAAGGATTTTTATTATTAATGTCTTTCATATTGGAAGAAAGTCTCAAATCTCTTCACTTTATTTAGCTGGAACATGTGTGTAGAAGTTTAATGGCACCCTGAACAAAATGCTGTGAGCTTTTGCTGAACAAGCTCCCCAGTTTAAATAATGAGCAACCTAACAATGCTAGGTCTGTTGCAACTTTCCCTCTGGCAAATTTGAGTACTGTAACACCTAGTTACATTTCCTATTATGTAATTTTGCTAAACATTTTAGCTTCCCGTTCAAAAGTTACATCTAAACAGTAAGTCGTGTATCAGCCTGGCTCAATGGTAGCACTCTCGCTTCAGAGTAGGAAGTTTGTGGGTTCAAGCCCCACATCGGACTTGGCATTCTTAGTCTAATGTGAGATTCCAATGTAGTACCGGGGGAGGTGAGGTCCCATCGGCCTGTTCAGATGGATGTTCAAGATCCCATGGCACTATTCGAAAAGAGAAGAGTTTCTCCCGGTGTCCTGGCCAACAATCACCCAAATGAAAAAAATTGGACACTCACTCTATGGCTGTTTGTGAGAGATTGCTGTGGACAACTGCCCACAAAATGTAGGCAATCCATTTTACAGTATAACCTGAGAGGCGCTTTAAGACATCTGAACAATGTGATAAGACGCTATATCAAATGTAAAGTTTATTATTATAAACTGAACCCAGAAATGCTTGAAATTCCACCTAATTTTAGCCTCAAATGTTTTTTGTTAAATTTAAGTGTCTGCAGAATTGTGAGAAGATTTTATTTCAGTGTAAAATTGGTAGCCAATTTTAAGAAATGGACAAAAACAATTGAATATTGTTTTCACAATCCTACGTGGTTAAATTTGAAATTTGTTAACTTCACTGTGTGTCAGCCTGACTTATTTGGTAGGACTCTCACCTCTGTATCAAAAGATTGTGGGTTCACGCCCTTTGTCTGGATTTGGAATATACATAGTTTTAGCTGACACTCCAGCTTTGCTGAGCACGTGCTACACTGTTGGAGGTGCCGTCCTTTGGAAGAGACATTAAATCATGGTTCTATTTGCCTGTTCAGATGAGTGTTAAAAGATCCCATGACACTATTTGAAAAGAGAAGGGAGTTTCTCCCGCTGTCCTGGCCAACAATCACCCAAATAAAATTTGTCATTCATTTCTTGGCTGTTTGTGGGACACTTCTGTGCCCAAAATTGGCTGCCAGATTCGCCAAGAAAGTACACAGTCACTACACTTTCCAGTATATTCTGTGAACCGCTTTGTGATGTCCCCCTGATGTGAAAGGTGCTACATCAAATGTATGGATTAATTATTATTTATTAGTATTATTATAGCAGGGCAACACTAGGTTGAACTGTAGGCCTCTATCTTAATTGTATTAGGATTCTATAATAGAGCGGCTTGGACAGAGTTGAGAGTAAATCTCCATCCTGGAGATTTTACAGACTTGCTGCTTTAAGAAGAAAATTCAGTGACTATACTCAACAGGTTTGGGGAATAATGCACAAAGGAGGAATGAAAGGAGTTCTTTCATTCTGTCAAGTTCTCCTGATGGTTTAATTGAACCTTGGTATATATACTGCAAGCCTACACATAAGCCAGGCTTACCATGGGCCTTCAGTATACCAAAAGTGTGCCTGGCTGAGTTGGTAACACTCTCATCTCTGAGTCTGGGTTCAAATACCATATCTGAACTTTAAGCCAGGTATCAGGACAGTCTAGACTTACAATGTAGCACTGGCTGCATTGTCAGAGGTGCCATTCTTCAGATGAGACATTTAACCAAAATCCTTTCTGCCTTATCAGCTGGATGTTAAACATGCCATGACAAAGTTAACAACAAAATAAGTGCAATAAACATCAGGCTTCCGGCACTGACTGGTGGTTTACTACACATGGCACATAGCGCGGCCAGACAGTTGTACTATAACTCAACATAAACTTAGCGTTTTGTTTTACGGACCCAATCTACTGCAATATTAAGTCATGGCAGATCGTTCAATCCACTTCTACATCTTCCCATATATCCTTATTTTAAGTATTCATGACAGAATCGCCCTTTTAAATGCCCGAATTGATTCTGCATCAACAATCTTCTGGGCATTACATCCTCACCTTAACATTCCTGGCACAAAGAATCTTTTCTCATTTTAGTTCTAGCTATTTTGATCTCCCTACTTTTTTTAAAAAAGAGGATTTATTACACCAGAAAAAGCAATCCAACAATCGACTACCAACTGGATTCCTACTTACTGATAAGACAAACAGGTGTGTGGAGTAAGGAAACTTGCCCAACGTTTCGCCCTGCCGGGAATCGAACCCAGATCCTCTCGCTTGCGAGACAAGTGCTCTAACAACAAAGCCAGAGGACTCCAAAAATTTGGAGGGCAATAATTGAAGGACAATAAATGAAGCGATAAACCGCTTACATGCCATCAAATTCAAAATACTGCCAACATTCATTTCCTGATATGGAAGTTCATACCTGGAAGCAGGTTACCTTCTGACCATAGCTATAAGCATTTGCTTTGGAACAACCTGGAATAACTCCAAATTTCCTTTTCATCTTGGTACAGAACCTATCTGTCATTCAGCCCCTCATCACAACATGACTAGGATTACAAAATCACCTTTAAAAGAGAAACCCAAGAGGAACCCATGTTCTACCATACAATTATCGCATTCTATAGATAAAAATGTATTTTCCATATGTTGTATGCTTCATATTATGCGATATGCGATCTCCTTAACATCGTACGACTCCTCCACTACCTCACCACTCAGGCCGCTGAAACTCTTGTTCATGCCTTCATCACCTCCAGACTCAACTATGCAAACACCCTGCTTGTCAGTCTTCCCAACTCCTCCTTCCACAGGCTGCAGATAATCCAGAACTCTGCAGCCCGTGTCCTCTCCCGCACCAAACTCCGTGACCCCATCTCTCCCACTCTCACCCAACTCCATTGGCTCCGTATCCTTTAGAGGATCCAGTTCAAGATTCTGGTCCTCACCTACAAAGCTCTCCATTGCCTCGCCCCACCCTTCCTCTGTGACCTCCTGACCGCCCGCTCCCTCCCTCCGTTCAGCCGGCTCCAGCCTGCTCCACGTCCCCCGACCCCTCCACCCCACCATTGGCGGGAGAGCCTTCAGCCACTCTGCCCCCAACCTCTGGAATTCCACCCCCCAGTCACTCCACCTGGCCCCCTCCTTAAAGTCCCACCTCAAGACCCTCCTCTTCGAGCATGCCATCGGCCACCCCCCTTCAACCCCCCTCCCTTCTTCCCCCTGACCCCAGCTCGGGTCTGAAATGTTGTACACTGTACTGTGCCTTTGGATATCCTCCCGACGTGAAAGGCGCTATACAAATGTAATCTTGTTGTATTGTTACTACTCAGCAGGTTTCCAAATGTACACCATTATCAACAACACGATTCCATTTATTGAGCGCCTTTCACGTCGGGAGGACGTCCCAAGGCCCTGTACAGTTGGGTCAGGACCCGAGCAGGGGGGAAATGGTCAGGGTGAGGGGAGGGAAGGGAGGGAGCGAGGAGGGGGTAGAGAATCGAGAGTGTGGAAAGTGAACCTTCGCCTTATTTAAATTTATAATTGTAGTACAGGACTAATCAGGGTAACGACCCACGAGTTTCTCGCTAACAATCTGTCTTCACATGGACAATAATCCTGAAATCCATCTGTGTGTTCAGGTGAGCTTTAAAATATCCTATGGCAATACTCAAAAAGAGAAGGGTGTTTTTCCTTGCATCCTTCAATCTTCCAGAAAAAAAATTATCATGGCTAACAGTGGGGCATTTACCTACAAAACAATCACTACATTCTACACTGAATCCTGTGAAACACTTTAATGTCCTCCTGAGGTGAAAGGCACTATATCAAATGCAAGTTGTTTTTACTATTTTATGGATAAATTTAGCAGTTACTTTCCCATCCATAATGCAGGTTTATATAGTTAAGTTCAACCACTGAAAGCATGTGAAATCAATAGTGATTTAAAATACATTTAACAGCAGCTTAGTTTAAATACAGGATCCTCGATAGCAAATTACAAACTAAGTGTTCCCCTCTCCAGCTCGCTAATTCCCCTTACGGTTTTAAATATCACAGACCAAAGTGAATGTGTATGTGAAAACGGTATTTTAAGGCACATTAGCAACAGAATGGTTCAAATAAAGGGTCATAGATGACTATCAGCAAATTAAAAAGCTAAGCCATTCCCCCCCATCGAGCTTGCCAATTCCCTCGTTACTGTAACTGTCACAGGACAAAGTGCGTATGCCAAGATTAAATTTATAATAATCAATCAATTGATTGAAACTGGCTCCGGATGAAAAAATACTTTTAAAAGGGCTAAATCTGAAGAGTTTTTTTAAAAAATATATAGAAGCGCTCTTTAGTTTAGCTCCTCCCAAAGCCGACAGTAGCAAATGAAAACGGATCAACGCAAGGGGTGAAGCCGCCCACTGCCCAAAAATATGAGTGAGCAATAATGCCTTGAAGTACATAAAACTCCATTAGAGACCCGCAAAACTGAGGATTGTGCAAGTGAGTTGAAAGCGGATTGCGTGTTGCAAAAACTATAGCAACATCTCGGTGTTAGGAAGAGAAACGAAAGTGAAACCGGCCACGTCCTTGAAACTTCAGCCAGGCTGCAAGGTCAGCTCTGCGACTGACCACCACCGGGGAGCTTCTTGGACCGTACCCGAACTGGCTCCCTAATAACACCTTGTGCTCCGGGTACAAGCCGCCGTTTAATTTAAGCAGCAAGTGACGCTCACTCCCTTACCGAGCAACGGCGACACGGCCGCACAGAAAGGTAAACGTTTCCGATTCGGGTTCGGGGTGAAGAAGCTGAGGTTAGTGTACACGTCCCGAGTCCTGCTGTAATCCCACTTGCTGGCGTCGGGCTGGTAACCCTCGGTCAACCCGTCGCCGAAGACCCGTCGGTACATGAACAAGACGAAAGCGAACTGTACGAGCGCCAGCAGGACCAGGGTGCAGGGCCGGTCCAGGGTCCACAGGCGGCTCATCATCCGCACTCGAACCGCCCTCCAGCAAACGTTAACGAGGGACGAGAAACTCCAAAGGGCGCCGGATATCTTGTGCCCCTCCCGGGAGGGGCGGCCCGCGCGTCTTCTCGTGACGAGAAACGGTCGAGAGGACGGGGCCGCATTTACCGCTCAGCTCGGCGGGCTGCTCGCTTCCTCGCCGCCGCGGCATGAATCGCTCCCGCGGAAGGAATGTTCTTCAACCGCCACGTTTTTTTAAAGCCCGTGGCTCCCGCCGCCGACCACCACGACGACCACCACGACGCCGCCGCCGCCGTTCTCGCCGTCGGTGGCGGCGTGGGGTCGAATGGCTGCACGGACCATTTTCTTTTTCGGGAGAAGAGAGAGAAAAAAAAGAGAACAAGGGGGGGGGGGGGAAAATCTAATGAATTAATTTGAAGAAAAATAAAAGAGCTCCACCCCCCACCCCCGCGCGCGCGAACAAAAAGTCGCTCACGAGCGGCGGGAAGAAACGGGCGCAGCTCTCGCGTCTGCTCGGGAGCCACCGGGCGCCGCGCCTTCCCGAGACCGATGGCTCGCGCGCCTGCGCACAACCATTCCTGCGAGGCAGGTGACGGTTGGTGCTGTTTGAAAGCGCGTGCACCGCCCCCCTCCCCCCCCCCCCCCCACCTGCAGGGGGATCGCCCTGTAAACGTCAGAGCCCCTCCCCCCCCCCCCACCCACTCCCCCACCATAGTACAGTATTGCCGACATTATTTTTTTTTGGGGGGGGGCGGTGGGGGGGGGGGGGTCAGAGTTGGGGAGGACAGGTTTCCGGGGGCTTTATGGGGAGAGAGCCGGGGAGTGGGATCGAGTCGGGTGACCGAACGGCCTCCTTCTGTGCTGTGTGGTTCCATGATTCGATGCTTCGAGAGTTTCCGAACGAACCCACTCTGGGAAATCCATCCGCCACACGGAAATCCCGGCGATGGATCGTTGGAATGGGGATGCGCCCCTCTCCCCGGAGGGACGCCTCCTGTTTACCTAATTCCGGAAAACGTTAGGTGGAGATTTGTCGAGCGCTGATGCTTGGGGACCCCCCAGCGTGTTCGTTAGACTCTTAACTGGCGACAACCATGCAGCCGGCCATTGAAGCTGTGTGGTTTTATCTTTATTGTTGTTGTTGTCTATTCTTGTAATGAGAATCGTTATTTATAATTACTATATTGTTGTTGTTGTAACCTATTGTTATGACGTTCAAAAATACCTTGACAAAATACCAGGTTGAACAACATATCAGCATCCTGCAAAACGTTGCTCTTTTGGAAAGCTCAAAACATACCCGGAAAAGTTACATCCATTGAGACGTAAAGCGGCAGTGTTGTTGTTGTGGCTGACCCAGCACGAAAAAAAACATTTAGCAATTACCTCTACAGAGTGATTGCCATTATTATTGTTATTAGTATTATTGCATCTTCTATTCCAGACAAACTTTAGAGGAATATGTACCGTATGTGGAGGCTGAAAGTTCGGTTTGAATTTTTTAATAGCTTTCTTGTTTGGTCAGCCAGGCGCTTGGCCCTGCAGAAACCCATCGCCAGGCGCCTAAGTGACCAAACAAAAAAGCTGTTTTAAAAAAAGTCTCCATTTCTGGTTGGCAGTTTGCCGTTCACATCCATCTCATCGGCATCTCAGAATTTGTCCGTGGAGTCCTGTAGCTCAGTGGCTGGATCGCTCGCCTCGCAAGCACGAGACCTGGGTTCAATTCCTGGCAGGGTGAAACGCTGGGTAAGTTTCCTTACCCACACGTAAGTTTCCTTACGTTTCTGTTTATCTAGCAGTAAGTAGGAACTGGTTGTTAGTCAATTGGTGGATCATTTTTCCGGGGCTAATAATCCCTTCAAAAAAAAATTGGTCAGTCAATCCATGACTGTGGGACACTGCTGTGCACAATTGGCTGCCACGTTTCACCCATAAAATACACAGTCAATTCAATTTTTGGCAGATGAAAGATTATAACTAAGGTCCAATCTACCTGCTAAGTGGACATTTCGCCCACAAAATTTACAGTCAACTTACTTTACAGTATATTCTGTGAAACGCTTTGAGACTTCTCGAAGATGTGATGAGGTGCTATATCAAATGCAAGGATTATTCACCTCTGAATAATGGTCACCTCCTTCCTCGCTCGGTATCCATCTTTGCATCCATCCAGCGCCTTGGGAGGTCCTCCCGACGTGAAAGGCACTATACAAATGTAATTTTGTTGTTGTTGTTGTTGCAACAGTGAAGTGCTCCGAGACATTATCCTAAATAAAGGACCCTATATAAATGCAAGTTGTCGTTATGTATTTCTCAAGTTATTCAGGCAATAGCACCGGAAGACTGGCTGACTGTAATGGATCTGAAGCGTCGCCATCGAACCTTGACACAAAATATCTCTGACGTTCCATTTTCAAGGTTGAAGCTAACGCTGTTCCCCTTCTGTCCCTTGTCACAATGTGTTAAAATACCAATATTTCCATTTTTAAAGGAAAAAATTATGGTGCTGGAGTTTCAAGCAGTCGATGGAAGATATATGGAGTCAGTGAATGAAAAGATCTTATAAAATAGCTAATTCCTCTTATTCAAATTGTTGACAAACCTGCTTTGCATTTCTAGCATTTTCTGGTTTAATTTGTGAAAATACCTGCACTAAAAAAAATCCAGTTTTCTGTTTAGGCTTAAACTCTGAGGCAAAACTTGAGCTTGCACAAATTCTTTGAAATGGGAAAATATTGTTCCTTTTTGTGAATGTTGGCATCCAAATAAATGATCTACTGACAGCCTTTTCTTGTGCATCTCAGCTTACAGACTCCAGAGGGCTCTCTGTAAATAATTTTAAATGATACCTGCAAAATGAGCAGTATGAAATATTTCCAAGTTCTCTGGGTCTATTTTGCAGGCAATATTAATTACTACCATATTTCAGGCAGTAAAATTACTACCGGTTAATTATTGGTTGACTTCCTCCCAATGTGAAAGGCGCTATACAAATGTAATTTTGTTGTTGTTGATAATCTTTTCCAGTATAACCATATTTTTTATTTCATACTTGTTAAAATATTTTTTTCAATAAAGAAAATTGTCATAACTTTGATTACTGTCAAAGTAATTGACAAATTTTGGCACTTTGGAAAATGTAATGAGAAATACTAAGACCAATTTGCTGGGGCGAGTTTGAATTCTTTAGCAGTTTGACACAATTTGGTTCCTTATCACAAGAAAATAAGAGCATTTTGGATAAAGAAGATCCTTCAGCCTGTTTTATCTTATTCTTTCAAAATATCCATTACCCTACTGTCCATATCATTATTTTAGAATCAATATTGTAAAATATTAATATTAAAGGAAGATTGCATTACCACTTTATATTTCTGTTTTTTTTCTAGGAAAACAGTGGCATAACTGTGCACAGGAGAATGATCCCATTTGAAAATAGCACTTCAATTAATTATTACTGTCTGTTTACAGACACTTGAAATATATACAGCTATATGCTCCCTCTTGGTGACATCATCCACAGACATGGGGTTAACTTCCACATGTATGCAGATGACACTGAATTCTACCTCTCTGCCTCCACACTTGACTCCTGGGCTACTGCTGTCCTGACAGAATGTCTGTCAGACATCAAGTCCTGGATGAGAGCAAACTTTCTACAGTTGAATGTCAACAAGACCGAGGCTCTCCTGATTGGCTCCGGTCAGTGCCTCCTCACCTCAGGCGCTGAGAGCATCACCATCCATGGTTACACACTCCACCTTACTAAGCCAGTCCGGAACCTTGGGGTCTTGTTTGACCCTCAACTATCCTTTCTACCCCACATCTGCGCCATGACCTGCTCTGCCTTCCCCCACCTCCGCAACATTGCCCAGCTCTGCCACTATCTCACACCGCAGGTTGCCCAAACCCTCATACATGTTTTCATTACATTGAGGTTTGCCTATGCAAACACCTTGCTTGTCGGCCTCCCCAACTCCTCCAGATCATCCAGAACGATCATCCAGCTCTGCAGCCTCTGTCCTCTCCCACACTAGGCTCCGTGACCCTATCACCCCCATCCTCGCCCGACTCCACTGGCTTCCCAACACGCAGATGATACAGTTCAAGATCCTGGTCCTCACCTTCAAAGCCCTCCACTGTCTTGCTCCCGCCTTCTTCTGTGACCTCCTAACCCCCTACTATCCTGCTCGATCCCTCCATTCAGTGGGCTCCGGCCTGCTTCATGTCCCCCGCCTCGCTTGCCCCACTATTGGCAGACAGGCCTTCTACCACTCTGCCCATACCCTCTGGATCTCTATCCCACAGTTCCTCTGCCACGCACCCTCCCTTGTCTCCTTCAAGACCCGTCTCAAGACCCTCTTCAACCGTGCTTTCGATCACCCTGCTTCCTCCTTGCCCTCCACCCTCCTCAATCCCGACCCCCAGCTCAGGTCCATAACTCTGTCTATCCAGCACCTTGGGATGTCCTCCCAATGTGAACGACACTATACAAATGTAATTTTGTTGTTTTTGTTACTCAAATGGGCAGTGTGATTTTCTTCAATGCTGTAAAGTTTTACAGTTCTAAATGCAGTTGTCTGACTAATATGACTGAATATTGTTAATATGCATTTTCGTCCAGAGAGTGATCATCATGAATGATTATAAAGGTCAACCGATCATAATCCTCTGGTATCATTTATCCAATGGCCTTGAGGCTATTCACCCCACTGTAATCTCACAGTTGGTACGAAGAAAATAGTTTTCGATTATCACTCAAATCCCTCTTCCTCTAGGTGGCGATACATATAAGTAAATGGCTTATGCAAAACAGTTCTACAGTAGTGTATTTCATCTTTACCTGACACAGATAGTATGCAAAGTAATTTTAGTTTCAGACTAGTGTTTTCTGCAACAATGTTTGGGATGATCAATTAACTAAAGTTGTTTGCAAATACAAACCAGTCCGTCTGCAAAATGTGGCTGGAACAATAAATAATAAAGTACAGCAGGCAGCTTGCCGCATTACATAATGCAATTGCAAACACTGGTTAATACACAGCAGTTCTTAATTATTGCTTTGAGCATTAAAACTATATTCAGCAATAGATTTTTTTATGCACATGGGCTATATTTTAGAATAAATCTTCAGTCATATATTCAAATACTGAATCCACATATTCCCATTGAAAAACAGAACATTACAGTCTGCAAAAATAGATTAACTGTTCAAGGCAAAATACCATTTTACAAGTACAAGGAGCAAGTATCCCATAGTTTCCAGCAGATGTCAGGACCAGCTGTAA